TTCAATTTGCGTCAGCACACTAGCGCCACTTGAACCTCTAGCGTATATTATAATAACTCTATGGCTACGACAGGGGCCCTAACAAGTGGAGGGGGGGGGGGGGGGGGTAAAGATGGGTGAGGAGGAGTGGCAAATCCCGCGCGCCGACATCCTGGGTCCCGAATGGAAGATCGCGAAAGAGAGCGACAGAACACGAGAGAAAGAAACCAACGTTGCCAGCTGAAGGACGACAGTCGCAATGGTAATCGCGAATACTGAAAACTCCCAGCATAATTTAACGTTGTAAACTAAATTCTGAGCTATTCTAACGCTTATAAAAAGCAGTATACTCATTACGCTGCATTAACTTCCCTTCTGTCGAAATCTCGAAAATCTGGTAGTTGCGCGGTTTCGTATTTCCGGGCTCGTCGCGCGCGCGCCCGGAAATGCGAAACTAAACCAGATAACCGAAGCCGTTTATCTGGTTTAGTTTAGTGTTGACGGGAGGCCGTAGACCTGCGCGCTATGCAAAAAGAAAGCTTCGAAAGCAACGCGAATATCCTTCCACCCAGGGGGGTAAAGGTGGGTGAGGAGGAGTGGCAAATCCCGTGCGCCGACATCCTGGGTCCCGAGTGAACGAACGCAAAAGAGAGCGACAGAACACGAGAGAAAGAAAGCAACGTTGCCATGGTAAACGCAAAGAGTGAAAACTCTCAGCAATATAAACAGTGATAATTTAACGTTGTAAACTAAATTATGAGCTATTCTAACGCTTATAAAAAGCAATAAACTCATTACGCTGCATTAACTTCCCTTCTGTCGAAATCTCGGAAATCTGGTGGTTGCGCAGTATCGTATTCCTCAAACGCGCCCAGCCGCGCCCCACCCCCCACCGGCGAAGCCGGGTATATGGTTTAGTTTAGCGTTAACGCGAGGCCGTACATCTGCGCGCTTTTCAAAAAGAAAGCTTCGAAAGGAACGTGAATATCTTTCCACCGGTAAGTTCGTGAATTGTTGAAGTTCACGAAACTGCTCTGATGATGTAACCGTGTTTGGGACCCAGAGTGTCTGCCTGCATGATCCGCCGCTTGCGGCAGCCAGAATGTATGGGAAAATGGCGGACCTTTTCCTCTAGAGTTAGTATGTATGATCTCTATGCTTCCACCGGTAAGTTCGTGGATTGTTGAAGTTCATGAAACTGCTCTGATGATATATTTGTGAAATCAAAGGCAGTTGGTAACCATGTGGGACCCCGAGGGTCTGCCTGCCTACTGCGCCGCTTGCGGCAGCCAGAATGCATGGGAAAGTGGCGGACCTTTTCCTCTAGAGTTAGTATCAGAGCCAGTTTGGTCAATGGGAGGCGCGGGCAGAGCCAGGGCGTGCGGCAGACTCGGAAAGAGGGCTTGGCATGCTCTCCTGACCAACCAGAAGCCGAAAAGAATCCCCTAGCGGTGGTAGTCAGAAACAGTTCTGATCAAAGGTCTATGTTCGTATATGGTTTTAAAAAGCGCGTAAGAGTGAAGTGTAGTAACTCTTCCTGGTTGAAAATAGGGTGCACGTGTTATTTTGATCATGATCATACAGAAAGATGTAAGAAACGAATGCGCCGCTCAACTCTGTTTTGCGCGTACAGAGTGTGACCGCTCAGACAGCAGATTCCCGGCCCTCGGCGCTTGGCGTACGGATTATGTCGATCGTTCCGCTAGTCGCACCCTTCCACTATCATTTTGAATAAGCGTGATTGAAACATCACGTGTACCATATTTTCAGCCATCGAGAGTTACTCTAATGCAGTTATCAGGTTTGTTTCTCGCGACCACCGCCAGGGTATTATTTCCGGCTTCTGGTTGGTCACATTCAAATTTCTCAAGAAGCCCTGGAACACGCCCAGCCCGCTTTCGGCCAATGGCACCTCCTCATTTGTCTCCTATACTTCCCAACGAATGGCCGAACTCTCTACATATACGGGTCTGGTTAGTATGTATGATCTCTATGCTAACAAGCATCCCCTCCTCCTCGCTTAGCCTTTTTGGGCGAGCCTAAGATCTGTGCCTGAACGGTGTGTCTGAAATTATCTCGGCATACTCAGTCAGTGGAATGCAAGCGCGTGGCCGAGTTTTACCTCGCGTACTTAGGCGTATTGAGAAAAACAGTAACTGAAAAAAAAATATATATATATATATTTCGTCTATGGACATACGAAACAAACAAACTTCCTGATCAACAACACTAATGTAAAGGCGCGAGCTCGATGTATGCTAACTTATTGGCTGCTACAGCTTGTTGATTCGTACACAAGTAAGATTCCCGAGCTTCGCAGCGTCGAGATTCCCAGCACTCCATGGCTCGTCCACATACCTCGAAACGCTAACAGAAAGGCTCAGGTACAAAAATACAACAAGCATGCGTTAAGACAAGCTATACGTCTCGGACTTGTGCTAAAGCTTCGAGGTCTGGCCATTTGGGTTAGTTAGAAACCAAAAATGACGCCCTCTGGACCAAACAAACATGAGAAAACGGCCGTTTATAGTCCACGCTCTGTGTATAATCTTTTGCCGACGTGTCGATCGAAACCGAAACCATTCCACTTTCCTCCCTCGCCAACTAGTTCCCAGAGTGCAATGCGCGCCGTGTTGCATGGAGGGATTTATAAAAAAGTCTACTAAAAAAAAAAAAAAAAAATTGAGGCGACATTTAATTTTGCGCAAATTATTGTAAAATTTTCCTTTATTATCTCAACAACTATTGTTATTCTGCACATTCTCAAAATATTGAAGACAATTTTCTCACGTTCACCCGTGCATTTGTGACAGGAGTTGGAATCTCCGGGCGTTCGCTGCTTGTTGCCGAGATGGTGTTCAAAAGTGAACGAGCTATATAGTGCTCTAGATCCGACACACGTCACTACACTTAACTGCCAGCCACTCTGCTATATCGCTCTTTCACATTGAAAGTTTTACCTGACAAGGAAACCTCAGCTATTCATTAACTTTATCAAAATGTTACACTACCGTAACCTTTGGGTACTCGTTAGCTTTAGCAGATTGTTCCGATACCCCAGATACGACGCATGAGCAAAGGCGGTGGCGATATATTGCGTGTTATTTTCGTAGTTATCAGGACCTAATCAAATTCTATACTAAAGAGCAACTACGCTTTATTTTTGGTTTTGAAAAAAACAATGCGGTCCACTTCAGTATCACCTAGGAAGACCCCACGTCAAATATTACGACGCAGTTCTGTCTAAATGTTTCTTAAAACGGTTCGGCAAACTATGCAACTTGCCAAGTTGCTGAAACCGGCTGACTCAAACGGGCAAATTCAGGCGCAACCAACAGGGCAGTCAAGGCTACGGCATGGGCTTAGCCAACATTGAGCTAAACGTCATCACCATTGCCCCCTTTTGCTTGTTTTTACTTCTCGGTGCGAGCGTAGCGGATCACGTCAGCAACGTTCCCTCTCGGAAACGCCTGGGACGCTGCAACGACAGCGACACTCGTGTTCGCTTGAGCTTTTCGCCAGCATTTTTACGACCAACCGCCAGGATCGCGACATCCGACAGCATGACACTTCGGCGTCTGACTGCGACGTTATTTGTTGCCACTTCGGGACCACTTTTCATGTATGGGCGAGATAGGACGCGGACGCTAAACACACCAGTCGGAGATGCGCTCTAGGCACCATACTGGCGCACGCCCGCCCCAATAATGCCCGTCGTTGCGTAGAGGATCATGCGACATCTCGTACCACGTGATGGCCATGTACAGTGCTAATCACACTTATCTATAACGCGCGAGATTGCGGCTTTCTCCGGAGAGCGCTAGACTGGTGGCATTCGTCACGTGGCGCAACATGGAACGGCCCGCTCGAGGGGTGTCCTGCCCGCTCTATCAGCTGGCGGCGCACGCCGAAGGCTGCTCGCACATTTTACAAACATCATTGCCCGAACAATAAACAAACTAAAGCATGAAAGCGTATCGACGATGTGCTCATCAACAAACAAAAATATATCATAAAGCACTTTACTTTTATCGCTTATCAAGCTGATAGAGTGGGCAGGACACCCCTCGAGCGGGCCGTTCCATGTTGCGCCACGTGACTAGCTTAGCTTCTAAGCTTCTGCGAATTCCACCAGTCTAACGCTCCCCGGAGAAAGCTGCACGTGATTAGCACTGTACTTGGCGGCCCGAGGACAATGTTGCTGAACGGAACCGAAGTTTTGGTTTCGATATCCGCTTGTGTTTAAAATTATTAAAAATATATATGTCCAACTTTTTGCAAAGCAAGCGGCGTGGTGTCTTTTAACAGGGCTTTTTAATACAAAATCAGTCATTATTATCAAAATCACTCATCGTCAGCCTCTGTCATCTATACGTCGTCCTCCTCCCCTCGTACACCTCATAATCACTAAACGTGGCACCGCGGGCCTCCATGGTACGGACTGTCGCCTTTCCGCGGCGCCATGGCTCTCCTATGCCAATAAAGATTATTATTATTATTATCCTGAAATCTTCGGAATTGAGCGAAGTTGCCCTTTATGCCAATATTCAGTAAATTTTCTACCCTAAAGGGTGTTGAACCCTCTCAAATGCAGCAAGGCGAGCTGAAGCTTTTTGAACATGCAGAGAAACCAGAGATCAAAGGCGAAAGCAAATCACAGAGTAAAGTTTGTGTTTTTTGTGGCATATTCTACCTCTATATCCTTCCATTACACGTTCATATATCAAATCAGGCTGTCATGCAACTATCAACCTCAAGTTAACTGACGAAGTCTCAAACATTCGCTACACTAGGGGGCAATCATTGGGTGGCAGAATAAAACATGGTAATAAAACCCGAGACTCAGGAATACAAAAGGGGACGAACACAACTTCTTCTGTGTTCCCGAGTCTCGGGTTTTATTACCATGAATCATTACCAGCTCGCTTGTTTTTTAAGTATTATTGCAGGATAAAACAGCCTGTCATCAATGCAGTAATGTACGCAGAGTTGAATGACAGAATAAGTCCCAACAAGCCAGCTGAGGTACATCCAGAATCCTTTTTATTGTAGTGCTCCAAGCTTGGTACCATTACTTCAAGATTGAAAAGAAAAAGAAAAAAACAAATCGTAGGCCCTACAACAAAACCTGGAGAACTGTCATGTAGCTGTTAGCGTCTCTTTCTCTCTTGCAGTAAACAGAACACAAACTGCATTCTTTCTGCAGCTCAGGGGAATTGGCAGACGAGCGTTACAGTCACTCACAAGGTGATAACGGCAGGGAAGGGCTTCAGTTGTCCAGTCTCCAGCGCCAGCGTTCTACCTTCGACAATGCTTCAATGTATCGCGCACTCGTGAAGCCAAAGCACAGTTGAAGGCACGAAGTGCATGCTGAAAGCTGGGCATTCGAAAGACGCACCCTGCCATTGTCAGTGAATACAGTGCACCGCAGCTCAGAGCACTTGGAGAGAAAGCTTGCGCTACGGAACCAAGAGGTCCTGGGTTCGATCCCCACACCTGCCCGTCTGGGGCCCTAATCTGGACACTTGGTGAAAAGTCATTGCGAAATCTGGCGACTACGATTGGCCGGCGCCGAGGTCAAGTGCACCGTTGGCCAATCACAGCTGCCAGATTTCTCGCAGACTTTCTCACAAAGTGTCCCGATTAGGGCCATCGATGTCTCCGAGCATTGCACGGACGTGCGGTCGAGTATCACTTCTCTGTGGTGCACTTTAAATGTGCCAAGTTATGGAACGTACTGCACTGGCAAAATTTTTCAGGGTGTCGCCATATTCCGGCAGTTTAAGATCACATTGTTTAAGAATCTAATTTGCTTCTTTACCCCTGCACCTCAATCGGAAATGAAACTAGTGCGATGTGCTTGCACAACGAACCGACCTACTAAAAGAAGCCAAAAAAAGAGCCTTTATTCGAAAGTCTCGCGCAGAAAATTTCGGAAATGCCCCGAGACAAAGAGAATAGCACGAGGATGCACAAATATTTTATTGCCTTCTCCCTCCCGTATTTCAGGTGCCTCGCCTCGCAAAGGAGGTGCTAAAAAAAAAAAAAAAAGCTTTAAACGCAGCCACGAGAAATTCTGCCCAAGTTTCCCCTTTGCTACACAGGGTAACCTCCATTTGAATCCCGCTCACCCGCTAAAAAAAGAGGCTGCACGTGCAGACGCAAAAAAAAAATGCCCAAGACGCGTCGATGCGAGCACCCTCTTCCAAGACGTCGAAGGCACGGCACAAACCTCGTGCCGAGACCAAAGACCTTCTATCCTTTTGGAAACTATGCGCAATAAATAAGAGTACTGCTACAAACACACACAACAAGGAGCAGCTCCCGGGTACTTTAGCGGAGGTTTCCGAGCTACGGTCTCCAGTCCTTCGGCCTATCCTAATGTTACAAATTTCTAGACCTCCCCGTTTGTCCCTTAAAAACCTTGCCAGCGGTGGTTTCCCCTCGAAACGCCGCGACACTTCTTTCGCTTGGGCCCTGCCCGGTCGCAACACCGAAACGCCCAAATGCACTTCCTCACTCGAAAAAGAAAAAAACCCAAACAAACAAACGTCATGATATGAAAAGGGAGTTCTTGCGGTAAACGCAGGGTGAATGACAGACTCTCGAGCGCACAGTTTTGTCTTGGTGTTGCCGGGCAGGACTCGCATCGCCCCAAAAAAATGCAGTTGCTCCGCTCGACGTTGCGCGGCGTTCTCGGACACGTCGCGACAAGCGTTTGCGAGACTTCGCGACATCTTCGAAAGCAACATGGTGTTTCACTACTCGGGTCGGCTACCAAATAAGTGGAAAGCAGAAATGACAAAGAAAAAAAAAAAAAGAAAGGGGGAGGGTTAATGAAAAAAATGGTGGCCAGTCTTGAAATGACAGGAGCATCTTAGCGTCGTGCATCGTTTCGGAGCCAGAGTTGCGCAACCAAAGTGCTCCCTGGGGTGCATATATTGGGGAGAGACTGTGGCTGGGAGTGCGGGGAAGGGGGGACAGAAGGAGGCTGCAGTCTGGAAAAGGTGGTCAAGAGACGGGAGAGGGCGGAGACTGGACAAGCGGACAGACTTGTTAGATCTAGGGCAGAGGTACAGCTTAGAGGAAGTAGTCTGGTGTGCGGCGGGTCACATGAGGCTCTCCTCTTCTCGGTGCCGGGTCAAACTGTAGGCTGCGTGAGAGAGGAAGAAAACGCAAATGTTACAGGGTGTCCCACCTTCAAGGCACTTCATAGTGCAACAGGGCACAGCAAAGAAGACAAAAAATTAATCGTCACGAGCCTAACTTTTGCGCACGTCCTCAACGCACACCTTTCACACGCTGGATGCATCAAGGGGAATTTACATACATTCGAGCATTCATGGTCATCGCTGTGATTTCTAAATGGCTGATATAAGATAAAGGATGCTAGCTCTACTTCCTAAATGTACCAAGAGAGCCTGTAAACACATGCCCTCCCCCCTTCTGACTACTTTCTGCCTAAATTCTCAGGGTTTTGCCAGTGCTGTAAAACTTCCCAACAATTCCAGCCTTCACTTGCTTGGCAAGTTGGTAGACACTATTTCTTAGTAATAAAGCTGCATTACAAAACCACAATTTTACATTTAGTCAATACAGTCTTCAAACCAGTTAGAAGAATGCCTCTTTCCAGGAGCTGCCACAAAATGGTGGCGGGTGAAGGTGAACCAAGGAGTGACCACTCACAACGAGTACTTGAGTGAATCGTCCAATTCCATAATGGCTGCCTGGTTTCCACACCGGTAGCAGTAGTTGGGTGCGCTGAAGATGGTCACGACATTCCGGTCATGGCACCAGTTGTAGCCCTGCACAACCACCACAACGAGACACACGTTTGTCTATATTACGCACACGCAGTGAATGACAGTCCAAAACACCAATGCGTCATTTCCCTCTGTGTCATTCAGTCGTGAAATGAGATGGCACCAGAGATGTGACGCCACCTCTAGAACTAATGACAAAATACAACTCACAATCTGATTTTTCTTTCCATTTGCACACGAAATCTGCTTCTTTTTTAATGGAGGCGGAGTGGACACGGGCATAAAGCATAACGCAACGTACACGAACTGCTCTCCTGGCATAAAAAAAGAGAAAGAAATTATGGTGATGCGGTAACTTTCTATTGAGCGCAACCCATGCATGCACATCAACAGGAAGCCAAGCCCCAACTGAAAATCTACAAAAAAAATAAAAGGTGAACTTTTATATCTTACATACCGGGACTTTGTGCGAACATTTAAAAAAATCTCTCCGATAAAGTGGTTAAAAAAATACTTTCTTGGAAAAAAACTGTCAGCCACAACAAGCTGTCAGATTGCAAAAAAAAAAAAAAAACAAAAACAAAACCTAATTGGCAAAATAATCTGAAATTTACTAATCAACTTTTTAATTAGTGAAAATGAACAAAAGTTTACAGTTAGAAACTTGCTCAGCGTCACCGAAAACCCATAAGTAAACTTTAGGAAGACTTAAAGCACAGGTAAGCGTGTGGATGGACTACGAACGTTCCCACTTCTGCAGCAGGCGGAGGAAGGTAGGCCGGAGATGCTAACGCGCAGACAATGACAAAATCATCGGCGTCTCGGGCTTGGAACGTGGAGTAGTCCTTAACCCCCCCAGCAATCGGGGGTTAAGGACTACTCCAAAACTCAAGAATATCCGAGGCCCTGAAATCATTCATTTCGTATTCAAGACAAACATTTCAAGTTAAGGCCCATTCACACACTTGCCTTTGCTTAGTACACCCGAGGATTGAGCTCTTGCGACGTCTCATGAGAAGAGAACACACTGGCCAGCGTGGTGCCGTCTATAAGGTGGCTCTAGAACTGCATTTCACTGGAGCGAAGGTTCTGTTGTATTTGCGAGATCAAATGTATGTATTAAAGGGAAGAATACAGTGTAGACCGCATATAACGTATGTCGCGGGAGTCGCGAAAATACGCACCATAAGCGGTACCGCGCTATAACCAAAACATCAATTCTTAGGCCAAAATACATGGGAGGGGACAACTTACCTTTGTAAAAGATTTTATGTTAGATGAAAAATAAAGCTTAGTTTGAGAAAAGTCTTTATTTTACCAGACTATAGTCCGTTGCAACCTAAGAACGAAGGGCGAGGGTAAGACGGGCCGGGGAGGAGGAAGCAGACAGAATGCTAAAGAGAGAAGGAGGTTTCCCTCTCTTTTCCAGCGTTCCGTCTGCTTCCTCCTCCCCGGCCCGTCTTACCCTCGCCCTTCGTTCTTAGGTTGCAACGGACTACAGTACACTTCTCTCTCAAGTGTGTCACACATTTTGAAAGAAATGAGCGACTTTTGCCTGGCGCAGCCTTTTAACGGCGTCGCGGGTTGCGGACGGACGTTGCGAGCGTTCAGGATTGCTAACCCTAATCACTTTTCTCCGTCTTGAGAGTGCCACCACGACATCGCCGCACGAGTAGGTGGACCTTCCCTTCTAGTACGTGCTGGGTTATCATAGCGACACACAACGAAAATTCACAGTCAAGGATAGCGCTTTTACGCGGAATGATGAGCTTCCACCACGCCGTCTACGACAACGATCACAACCGACGCCATGTTTGCGGATAGAGGAAGCCGGCCCGCGACCGGCATGCAACGCGCGCGAACACTTCTCCTCGACCTGCGATCGGTTTGTCGTTGCGGCTAACTTGTTTCCAACCAGCGCCTCCTCTACAACGCAGCGAAGGGACGCACGCACGCACGCGAACGACACGTGCGTGTGTTTCTCCGTCGCTATGGCAACTGATACCTCTCTCTTCGCTTCTTCGAGCAACCTCCTTGCCCCGCAAGTGCCGCTTGCAGCTAATGCCGTTATCTAGTGTCGCACTGGGAAGCGTGCTTGCAGCACCGCTCGGCCGGCGCGGTCGGCGGGCTGTTCCAGAAACCGAACTATAACCGGTGTTTCCCTTCGCGCGCCTGTATTTTAAGCGGTATGTAATTACATGGAGTTCTATGGGAGGCGAACCGGTGGTTTAAAAAAGCCGCATTATACCCGGTCCTGCACAATAAGCGGTTACGTTGTAAGTGGTCTATACTGTAATAATAGGGAGACAAGAGAAGTGGTGTAACTGAAGTGGCTTGTTTTTGCCAGAACTGATACGGGTCAGCTTTTAAAAAGACGCGCGCGATCGTCGTTCTTCTTTCTGGTCTCCAGGCTTGTCGTCTTCTTTGCTACATTATTATCTATGAGAATTATTCAATCCTAACATTGTCAAAAGATTTCTGAGCCAAGAAAGAACGGTGCTCATAAAACAATAGGAAATGTGCGGAAACTGCACACGGTCCTAAGCAGTCACGAGAATGCACGAAAGAGGCAGGCATAAGAGACAGCACTTAGCTCTCAATGCCAGCAAGGTTAAGCTTCTACAAACAAGCACACTGTCGGCAGCAAGCCCTTGGCTCGACTCCTCGAGTCGGCGAACTGCGACGAAACGTTTGACGCACTGCCAACAGGAGCATTCACCGAGTTGCTCACAATATGCCCGACATCTCACACTGTTGTGGTGCACAGAGACTGCTCTTTAAGTTGACATCTTGGCTAAGACGCTATACTTCTTTTTAATTTAAAAGGCGGTGCAACAATTCTTATATTTTCGGTAAATACCGCTTAGAATTAATCTTTCCTGTTGATAACCAACAAAACACGCGTCAGTTTTCCTTTCTGAACCGAGATCGAAGAAGTAAAACTAGTCCCGTACCTACACCAGTGTTTGACAAACTGTGGGTTGCGACAGTTTCAGCAAGGGGTCGTGAAGCTGCTCGGGAACTCGGAAAAAATGCAAACTTGGCTCGTGTGTGGTGTACAAAGTATGGGTCGAAGCTCAGCATCGAGCCAGAGTCCAGAGTTGCAGCCTCCAAACACCACCCTCATTTTGAGAAACTGTGCTCTAACAAGTTAGTCACTCCCGATAGCATGCATTTAATATTTTGTTAGCGATGGTTTCTAATCCAGCTAATTTGATCCGACCATGCTAGCTGCCAAATAAACTTTCAGCATCAATTCGCTTCAAATTGAAAATTTTGTGGCATTGCGAAAGGCTAGGGGGAAGAAAGCAATGGAACTATTTATATTTTTGGTGGGTTGCAACATATCGGAGTTTGGGAAGCACTGGCCTACACAATGCTGCCAGGGTAGGCCTCGCGGAGAAACTCCAGCGACAGAGGAGAGGCCCCTGCAGGGGACACCCACCTCCATGACGAGCTGATGTGCTCGTGCGACCAGGGTTAGTCCGTTGCTGTGGTTGAAGGTCTCCGAGATGTCCTGGCCAAAGGTGTAGCCCGCCCCCCTCGGAGAGATGCCCCAGCCACCACGGTCGTCCGGGTCGGACCAGAGGAGGTCGCACATCGGGCCCTGAGGGGGACAATGTCGTCCACGGGCTTTGTTTCACTCCTCTCTCTCGCGACGAGCCCCTTATAGATAACCACAAAAAAGCGGCCATTGACTCCAACTACTCTTTGAACCCAGGTAAGCAAGGAGGCTCCCATAACTCAACCGACTACCGGGTACTTTGATCAATAAGATTGTCTTAACCCCCAGTAATGTAAAGACGCAATTTTGCCCCACCGTCCCTTCGATGCGAGTGAAGGTTGCAAGTGCCAACTTATAGACCTGCAGGAACAGCCACTGCACTCACGTAGACTTGTCTGGAGGAGCAGATGACTGTGCAGGCAGTCACAGTGTGCACGCTCATGTCAGAGGAGCCGGCTGCTGGGCAAATTATACATACAAGCTTGCATCTTCCCTTTTCCTTTCACACGTATGGAATCGGGTTCCTCGACAACTTGACTAAAAATTTTCTTTCCAATTTGAGGATTTTTTAAAAGATTCCTCTTGGCAGGTGTCTAGCCAAGGCCGCCGATTCTTGAGATTTGAGGATAGAAAAATTCTTTCAAAATTAAGACCCTGCAAACCGAGCCTAGGTTGCAGTATGCACAGTCCTCCAAGTAGTTAACTACACCACAACCTCTCGGCTCATTTTCCCAGTTAAGCCGTCAGCACTTTGGCTTGGATTGCTTCTGCTCAATGCCTTGTACATAGGGTTCGTTTTTGGGTTTTATTGTTTGCCAACGACTATTTTATTGTCCACTAAGTTTTACCTTGTTCCGATGGTTGTATTGTCCTTCGTGTGCCCTCGTATAGAGTCGCTCTTCCTATTTTGAGCCCCCTTGTTTAGGGGTTCAAAGCTCCCAAAGTCTTCAATGGGTTTTGCCCATTTTCCTGTTGGGGCCATCCAGCTTAACCTTGAGGTTTCTTTTGTGTGCTTTTCTGCATTTAGGGCCGTAACCTAAAACAATTTCAAGAAAAATAAAAAAAAGTATATATATACATATATGAAAAAAAAAAAGCTTTTGTTTGGGAAATGATGTTACAGACGTGAAAATAAAAACAAAACCCAAAAACGAAGACACCTACTTAGAGACTACTATTCCAAAACAGTTCTTCTGCTTCTGCAACTTTATTGAATTCATATAAGGGCCCCCAAAATTAAAGGGAAGTTGAAGTATACTCTGAATGAGCTCCCCTTAATTCCTTTAAAAGGGGCAGTGGTAAATGTAAACTTGTTGAAAGTTCAATACATCTGGAGTCTTGAAACTGGACACGTTATAGGACTACTCATGCACTTGACTCGGGCAGCAAGACAAGTAGCACCTGTCGCCAGTACATAACCTCACCGTAGCACGGTGAGCCAAAGCAAAGACGAGTCGCGAGTATGCTAATGTAACATGGCTACATAAGCTATTGATTCAGGAGAGTTAGTGATGTAGCTACAATTTTGTCTGGTACTAATAGGCCTTCTGAAGCTGTTCAACTGCGTAAACAGAATACCAAGATCCTCACAATCAGCAAAAATCATGTACTTTTCATTAAAAAAAAAAAAAAAAAAAATATCTTTAGGACGTGTTTTTGCAAGGTGCAGTCTGTGAAGGCTGGCACATACAGGCAACCCTTTGGGGTTAATTCTAGGAAAATGCATTGGCTCTTATCTTGCGAGCCTTTACAAGTAGCAAACAAAACAAGAGTCTGCTGACAAGAAGCCAGGGCTTTCCTTTTTCTTGGTCATACCAAAAATGGTAGTTGGTGCTCACTACAACCAGCTTTCCGACGCATGAGCATCTTTGGGAAGGGTTTGGTAAAGTAAAGAATTTTACTTCTAAACGGGACAGACTCATTTCAGCAATATGACTCCAGAGTTTCACTCAGTTTCATGGTCATAAGTGCTCCAGGACAGAGCAAGCCATGTTTCTGGCAAGACACTCAGCTGCAAACTAACATAGGGCACATTTCCGAGAGGGACCTGTTAACCCTCAAAGTGACATGCCCCCAAACAATGACAATGGAGCAGACGAGGACAACGGAAATGTTCAAAGAGAGAATTCCAGAAGGGTGGTAATGCAACTAACGCACGACATTAGTCGCAAGAATGTAGCTAATGCAAACAGTGAACCTCTGGGCTGACTTGTGCACAACAAGTCTCCCTTTTGAAGTCTGCCACAAGGATTGCCGACTTGTTGTCGGATAAACAAGGCCAGCAACAATGCTCCTATATAAATATGTACACCATAGCTGTCCAGCATTGCCCCTTCCAAGCCTACTCACAAACCCTCTTATGTGCATTCCTTTATCTCGGGCTGCCCACTCTCGCTTCTTCGTCAACGCCACATTCCACATAAATCAGTGTGAAGGACGATACGCAGCCTCGGTTTTTTGCAAAGAAGATAACCTAACTTAACGTCCTTCTCTCCTAAACTATGAGCGGGGCTGCATTGGGGCTGAGTAATAAATGGGAGAGGATATGGGAAACGAGCAGACAGGCAAAAGTGGAAAGCACGAAGCATACGTCTGCCTGCCTTTAAACTAGAATGTTGGGGACGCATCTTCGACCAGTGGGTTTAGCATCCCCACCACCTGCGTATCAAAAGTGGTCCCAAAGTTGGAAAAACTTGCCTTGCAGCAGACGGCGCGTCGTGCTGTCGGGCGTCACAATCCTGACGGTTGGTTGTAAAAAATTTAGGCAAAAAGGGATGAGCCAATGAGAGCAACGTTGCAACACCAGGATCACGGCAGGCGACAACGTCGCCGGGCGGCAATTGAGGGACCACGCGCGGGGACGCGATAAACACGCCGGCCAGAGACGCGCTTTGGGCGCCGCGCTTTCAACAAAGTCCGGATATCTGCAACATCTGCGGTACCTCATGAGGCACCTCCTGGAGCCTGTCCAGAGCGCGGATGTGGTCCAGGGTGTCGATGGACGGCGAAAGTCCGCCGTGCAGGCAGAAAATCTGGCCGTCCACCAGTGCCGTCAGCGGCAGGTAGTCAAACAGGTCCGTGAAGTATTTCCACACGTTGGCATTGCCGTACTTGCGCAGGCACTCGTCGTAGAAGCCGTACACCTGCGTGATCTGCCGGCTTTCGTGGTTGCCCCGCAGGATCGTGATCCGCTCCCGGTACCGCACCTGAAACGCCACTCTCTTTTGTCACTGCCGTCTTAACGAGTTCAACTGAAGCTGCTTCGTTACATTCGATTCGAGGCTTAAAAGCAAATTTAGACCGAAGTGGTGATGTGATTAGTCCGAGCCATTTTGGAGCCCCTTTTGGAGCTGCCAAAAGTACTTGTAGAGCATAAGTGCATGTGTCATTTTAATTCATGAGTTTGAAGATCATGTTAAGATATGTGTTTCATGTCTACTTTGCCTCCCTAGTTCTGTGCAAGAGCATGGAAGGTTTCATTCCCTAGCTAGCAGTTTAATTGCGTGTAGAAGCACAAGGCCCGGTAGCAAGGTGCTGATTGATGAAGGGCGGCATGAACAACTAAATATATATTTATTTTTAAAATATGAAATCAAACTTAAACCAAATAGAATATTCCACTGAAATAACATTAGAATATAAAAATTTCAACCACTTAAATTGATTTTTGTTTTGTTTTAAGTTTTAATAAAACTGCAGTTATTAAATTAGATACAAACAAAGCTTTTGTCATTTGATTATGAACATCAAATCAATGGTTACAAAAATTAAAATGTAAACAATGAAAACACCTTAAAAAAAAAAAAAGAAACAAAGCAAGGTCAGGTTATTTCCAAACATGCATTTACTGCTCCAGCTAATTGTGTTTTAATCTACTGTAGTTACTGTACCATCAAACTAATGGAACCCATATAAAGGTAATTACTAAATGAGAGTTGACATAAAAACTAAAGTCTATAAAAGTACACTCACAATATTCAAGTATCCCCAATGAATCTCCAATAGGCACAATATATCGTCAGAATATAGCAATCTGTCATATATACTAGACATAGTTTTATTCAGAAACCGTGTGTAAAGTCTCGCTCTGGAGGAAAGTTTTTATTTTAGTACGAGGGTGCACTGCGGCGAAGCAAAATATGGAAAATTGCGGCATATACACTCCGTGCGGGAACTATAGGGGGCGCTTTGAAAAACGTGCGGAGCGCCTCTAGCGGAGGAGCTGGCGTTCGACTGTGAGGCGCGTTCAGCTGCCTGCGGCGCCTTTTCGCATGCCAAGCTGTGGCGGCGGAAGCGAGCACGGACAAAACTTTTCCTTTTTGAGCGGATAAGTTGAGGGTGACGTTGCATGAGTGCTGGGGCAGAAGGGCATTTAGCTGTTCTCCACTTCTTACGTATTGAGTTTGAGTCGTTATTAGGGGTAATTTCTCTAGTTGCGGCCGAAAAAGGAGTTGGAGCTATTTTCCGAAAAACAAGACGGCCGCCACCATAATTGCTCCGAGTGGGAAATTTATTTCGCTCGTCGCTGTAAACCTAGCACTGCTGGAACAATGATATTTGGAGGCGAGTGAGATGTCCACTAAGTTTGTGCACGAAGAGTGCCAAGTTTCTTTAAGACAGCAGGTGTGAAAGTTATGTTTCTAACTAATAAAGAAATAAAGCTGTACGGGATATCCAATATTGGGCCCAAAATGTTGCGTTATAGTGGGCTGTGCAAAGTGCAGATTTGGGCACACAGGTTCTTGGACTTGACAGTAACATGAAAAAAAAAAAGGTGCCATAGGGAAATTAGGTGAAAATTTGGTTTGGACGGCGTAACTCAGTGGGAACCGGTTTTGACCATGAAAAAGCTGTCAAGAGAATACCACTGGTCGGGGGAGGTGGAGACTTTAGAGGTAGGAAGGGACTCGTGGACTGTACTTCCAATTGAAATAACTTTACGAAAGGTGGTTCCAAAGCCGAGAAAACAAAGTTGTCGGCCAACACACGGTTTGGCCACCAAGGGCTTTTGCGGTCAGCTGTTGTGCAATAACCTGCTGTGCGAGGTGCTGATTTTCGGCGCACAGGTACTTTGACATGACCGTCACTTGGCACAACACTTATTTTAACAAAAAGAGTTGGCATAGCGAAACCAGGTGGAAATTTAGTTTGGGCGGCGTAACTAAATGGGAACTGGCTTTTACCGTCAAAGGCTATCAAGAGAATACCACTCGTCGTGGGAGGTGCACAATTTACAGGGAGGAAGGGACCAGTGGACGGTACTTCCAGTTCGAACCACTTTGCGATAGGTGGCTCTAAAGCCCAGAAAAAAAATTGTTGTCTACAGAACTCGGGGTGTCAGCGTTTCCACATCCAAAAAGGAGGCTGATCAAGAAAGAAAGCACACCACATAAACTTCTATACTCAAACGTCGATTCTCCAGTGATTCCGGGTTTCATTATTGCTTTCTTTAGATTTATATTTGTCACTTTTTTTACCGTTCAAATCTTTCTTCATGAAGTACATATTGCGTGCCATAGGTTTCCGGAAATATCGACATGTGCGATGGGGACGAAACTTCCTTGGAGGGCATTCCTCCAACGAAATTGGCACTTCATACCCGCGAGTGTGGGATGGCATTTAAGTTCGTCCCATCGGCGCAGACACATGTAGGCGTTACTGGTACGAAACCAAACGCAGAGCGCAAAGCGGCTGCGTAGAGTATGTCAGCCGTGCCGACACAGTGGCAGACATGATCGGGAGACCAAATTTCTCGCGTCGTACGGCACGGCTCCATCGTTGTCGCTGTCCCACAAAACGTCGGCCAGGTGAAAAACTGTGAAACTTTGTCTCCACGAGATACGACGCATAACTATTGAAGCACTTAACGACGCAGCACAGGCAGCACTTCATGCTGTGAACCCAGCGCAACCGCACCACTCCGACTTCAATGCGTACCAACGTACGCGGCGTGATTTCGGTTTCGTTTTCTCTGGGGTTCTCACTGCCTACCTTCGGTACCGGCCGCGAGGCGGCGCGCCAGTCGCGTCGCACGGAGTGTATACTACGGGGTCGCTTCACCGCTGAACACCACTGCGCAGTGCTAGCAACGATGCTAGCTATCAATGAGAAGAGACAGCAATCACGCGAAAGACTGAAAAACTTCCGAGCACTGCCAATGCTTGATACAGAGGTCACATGAACATGATATTGTTTGAGGCAATAATCGGAAGTTTCGGAAATGTAGCAGGACACAGTGTGGTAAGTGCTATGGCGCAGTTTGGCACAAATGGCGCAGCAATCGCATCATTGCTGAGGCAATGTGTCAATGCATTTTCTCTATCCTCTCGCTTCCTTGAGGAGTATTCAATTATAGATGCGCTCGCAAATGCACATATTAGGTTGTAATTATGGCAGTGTTTCCCAAACTGGGAAATGATGCCATACATTTGGGGGGGGGGGGGGAGGTTGCGAGGCAGCTCGGGAATTTGGAAAAAATGCAAGCTTGGCTACCCTGCGATGGCGCCGACAAAAACGAAGTACAGGTCACAGCTCCCCAGAATTAAAAACAACAATCAAGCTGATTGCAGGGTTTGGAAACCATAGACCAGTGGTCTCAACTCATTTGAGTTTGGGGGCCAGATATCCAACACCTGAAATGACGAGGGCCAACATGAGACGCGAGTGGGGGGGTAAGGGTAGACCTTGTGCTTTATGCTTTTTGTAAACTCAAAGTCTTGCCAGTGACAACTTTAGATTTGATTTTTTATAAGACTACTTTGGCCCTTGACGTGATGTAATAATAAAAATTACACCGCTCCGCCAACGTGCTGGCATTTCTAATAGAACAACTACACTGTCGTTCCCGTTGCTCAATTCACCCAGGAATTAACTAAGCTCAGCATGTCTCTAAAAACAATCAGTAATATGGCAGTTGCTGTTTTCCTGACAATCTTTACTACAACAGTCAAACAAATACTTGTCTTTTAATTGTGATATCTTTTTGAATTCGAGAATCCCCAGCTCGTAGCTTTATCTTTGCCAGTTGCTCCTGCTGATCAAGAGTTCGTGCAGCCGAAATGCCTTCTTCAGCGAATAGCTTGCGCTTGCAGCCTAGTGGTGTAATTTCGGTACATTACAGAAAGCTGCGAAGCAAAACATAAAGCGAAACAAAGGGTAAATGCACACAAATAGGTATAAACTATGTGAATACGTTAAAAGAGTATGGCTGCTTTTCGAGCGAAAATGAATCGGTGAGAGGAGATCACGATTTTCTAGCGCTCGAGACATTGGGACCAGGACTTGTAGCCGGTTGTCTGCGGGACGCGTCCAAGCAAGTCCAAGAGGGCAAGCGTGTTTGAGACCCCTGCCATAGACATATGGGGAGGCATGATGCGCACTATTCTTTGTGCGCATCATGCCTCCCATATGTAGAGCCAAAGCTACGGGTCTCCAGGTCCAATCACGAGCCGGTTAGAAACTGCGTCGCGTATCGCTCCTACAACCGTGTTGTGGGAGCAATATACCGTGTGGTCTCAAACTGGCCTGCGACTGGACCTTGGCAGTGGGCGGCAAATAGCAATTCCTGCCAAACATTGAGCTGTAAGCCTCACCCTAATCCACAGAATGCGCAAAAGCTTGTTCGGAATAAGCCTCGTGGCTTATTCTGCACATACTGTTGCCAACACTCCGGGTCCCAACACCTTGGCGTCCTGACGCTCCCAATCTACACAAGGCATGCTTCCCTGCCATGCAAACGCCCGATACGGGCACCACAACCTAGAATAACCAGGGCCTGCGTTGATTGGACACGAGGTTCAGCTGACTGCTAACGCAGCGCTTGTGTCCAATCTGCATCTTCGTTCACCGTGATGTCAAAATCCTAGTGCACGGGCTTCGACTGCTCTGGGTGTGTATCGGTACGGGAGTAGCCAAAGGAGGGCACGCACCTTGAGCGCGACCAGGAGGGAGACGGTCTCGACCGAGTAGTAGCCTCGGTCCACATAGTCCCCCATGAAGAGGTAGTTGGTGTCGGGGGACCGGCCCCCGATGCGGAACAGCTCCATCAGGTCGTGGAACTGGCCGTGCACGTCCCCACACACCGTCACGGGGCATTTCACCTCCTGTACGTTTGACTCCTTGGCCAGAATCTCCTTGGCCTGCACGTGCCGGGGAAGAAGCAGGGCGTGAATGATCGTTTGTGCTGAGTGTCTGTGCCCAGACCCTACCATTGGCTGAGAAGGAATCCCCAAGAACCCGATTAGTATAGCTTTGAAATGAGTGCTCGGCGAGTGGAAGAAATCTAAAAGAATGCACGACACATTTTATAAAAATAAACATACAATAAAAATGCTACCTCCTGTAGAGTATATTTAGAGCTTTTTCTGTGGATCCATCTGTCAATATGTTCTGTTTGTGCAAAGGTTTGTTCGGGGCACTGTTCTATATTAATACATTTGGCATTCTTCAGTCTTGTTTCAAAATGAAGAAAAAAGGTGCTCGAGTGCTAAACCAAACAAAGAAATTTGGAAAAGTGAGTATCTCTATACAGTGAACTGAATAGTAGCAGAGCTTGCTTTTTCTTTTGCCCCCTCATATTCCGTTGCCTATGTTGCAGGTTATCGTCACTTTATCTATCAGAAATGTAGTAAGCGTCACGTAAACCATTCCGAAACGGGATTTTTTTTTTGCTTCCACTGCTAAAAGTTGCCTCCAACTAACAGCTGACTACTATCGCTATTAAAGGGTGAAGCACACCTATATTCTAATTAGCTCACGTATTGGGGACAGCAACGAGTGAGCAAAAGTTCGCCAACTACCTCACTTTGGTGCGTGAGTGTGAGTATAAAGGCCCGTTTCACACCCTTGCGACCGAGTACGACCGAGAGAGACCAGACCGGTTTTTAAGCCTCTTGCGATCTCTTAGGACCAGCTTGGCAGCATCACATCCGGTCCTAAAAAGTCGCAAAAGGCTTAAAAACCGGTCTGGTCTCTCTCGGTCTTATTCGGTTGCAAGAGTGTGAACAGCGCTTGAAGGTAAAGGCTACCCAGAAGCACTGAATCAAATCACCTGCATGTATTCCTGAATTAGCATTAGATACCACTGGCTGCCTTTCCGTGGCATGTTCTGTTTAGTACCGAAAGTACCATGGCCCATAATACGAGCAGGAAAAAAGAATTCGAATTGGTAGTTGCCACAGTATTACAACCTCAGGTGATAATGCAGTATGTGTACAAAAAGCACAAAACAGAGTGCAAGGAAGTGCCATTAATTCGCATGTGATGCCACTTAGATGATGCTGAAATCATACCAAAGGCAGCATATGCGCTCCTGCTCATACTGTGGTTGGGAGTACTGGAGGTTGCCTTCAATTTTATGAAACCTGGATTGGCTTGATCAAAACACACAATGCTACCGGTGTAACACTCGCAACAGCCGTCACCACAGGGACAGCTTTCTGAGGCGATACAGCCAAAGCTATGTATGCACATCTTTTCCTTTGTTTGAAAAACCACACTAGGTTAGCGCAATGAGATTTCGGGAGCAAAGAACTGTGCCTTCTTGTCCACACTGCTTTGGGTAGACTGGCCGTGGTCTTTAGAAAGGCAGAGTACTTAGGCTCAAGAATGTGACCAGCAATTACACTGTATAAACTCGTGACAAAAAGAAGGTGGATGATAATTAACACTTCAACATTGTCACAAACAAATCACTGGTCCCAATGGAGGAAGCGAGCATTGAGGGAAAGTAAACAGATTAGCCACATCGGCAACAGGCACATCTTGCAGCAGTAACAGTTGGGCTGACATGCCTCCCTTATGTCGTAATGACGTTAATGGCTTCACGCTCATGTCGTAATGACATTAATGGCTCCAGAGCTCATCATATAGAAATTTCACTTCGATGATTGCTTTCCATGCCAACATTAGCCATTTGTGAACCCTTTCTTCATCCTTCTCTTTCTAACACGGCAGGGGCACCGAAATGAAGCTTACTGTGGTTGCTTGCCACTCAAAGGAAATTTTCACCCTTGTGTGGAATTCCCAAGCTAAATTGATACCCTTGAATATATAAAGCTTAATGTATTCATGCCATGAATCATCAAAGCAACATCTTTTACATATTCCTTTTAGATTCTCTGCCGCTACATGTTGTAGCTCGTTCATTGGCAGAACTTCAATTTCCACTGTTGAAAACAATGTTGAGTTCTAAAGGAATTTTCGAAATTTAAAGTCGACCACTCAGTGACTGTGCTTGTTGAGTCATTTTCGAGTGACAGAAATGGAGTGATACACTTTGTCTGTTTTGTTTGTAAAACCAGTAAGAAAAAAAGTGAGCTGACAGAAACACAAAACATTTGACACAATAGACCCTTTCCGGAATTCAGTCTGGCCACTTTGATCACTATCATCACCTGAAAAATGGCATTTTACTGATGAAGAATGAAGTTGAAGATGCTCCTAAGCAGATGATTCGAGGCCTATACGTTCTACACGAAAGCGCGACGTGAAGCAGGAATTGGATGCAAGAGCTGCGTAAGCATTCATTTATAACTCGGGCCCAGTCAATCTGTTAGCAGTACACACTCGGCTTCAAAGCCCCTTGATGTATAGAACTTTATCAAGGCATCTATGTGGGCTAGCACTTCGTTCTGACTGGTTGCATTTTTTTCGCCATGAACATTGAAAACAATTGAAAAAGAAATGTACAATGAAGCACACATTCTCGTTTAACACTGACTTGCAAAAGTGATGGTGCCCCATAAAATAATGCCGAATATAGATCCCCCCCCCCCCCCCCCCCCCCCCCCATTGCCGCCATTAGTATGGTAAAAGTTAAACTGCCATTTGCATCCCCAGATGGCAGTTCCGCATCCCCAGATAGAGCTGCACACATCCCGAAAGGGTCTATGTGTGCAGCTCTATCTGCTTTAAGAGACTCCCACACAAGTGTAGACAGACCAACAAACTATTGTTTTCCACTTACTATCAGTCAATGTTGCTTTCAAATACCCCCTAGCTGCAAGGGGCACCCTTCATAGTCCAGATTACAAAACTGAAGTCCCAACGCACGTACACACATGAGATACCGGCAACCTTGATCTGATTGCGCTCTAATCGTCAGGTTTCAAGACTGTGGAGCTTCGTCGCTCCTTTGTCCTTCGTACAGATGCCACGGTTTTCGAAGTCGGTGTGCCTACACCTCAGAATTGCGACGGTTGTATCAGGGGTTTCCAAGGTTCTCACCAAGGCTGGGGCATCGTTGCATTGTTACGACTGTCCGTTCTTTTTCACGAGCTATGCCAAACCACCCACGGCAGAGGTCGTCGAGAGAGTAACAAAAAAGCGAAGCTGGCTGCAACACCGGTAGCACACCTCCGGGAATACTCGGTTCGGCAACACGACCCGAGGAAAAAAACGTCTCCTAACGATCACCAGCGACGAAATCGTGCGGCGGACAAGATCAAACAAATATCAAGGCCCTCTTCTTTTGTTGTTTATCTCCTCGCCCATCGAAAAACAAGTCCGACGCCGCTGGACGGTCAAGAGAATAACCTCTCGCGCAATGCAAGAGTCAGATGGCTGACCGATATTCCGCCTGTCGACAATCGGAGAATTTTTTGTCGCACTCGGGTCGTACGCACCAACGAGTATCGGACAAGGAGTGCCGAGTTGAACAGCTACATCTACAGCAAACATGCCTAGACTGCCTCCCTTCCGCCTAACTTAGGCCTACTGCTTGGAACGCGGAGATTTGAGGTCGGAATCACGGGAACCGTCCGTGACCGAAGTACCGAGCGAGAAAACCTCGATCGTGACCATCGAGAACTACCTTCGGACAGTAAAAGATGATCTGTAATAAAAAAAGGCGCGGCTCTTGGCGGTCACTCGCGGTAATGGAACAAACGATGCACAACACGCAGGACGCCGTTCTGGGAGGAACCGTGAACTTAAAGTCAAAGCGAGGTTTTTTTTCGTAGTGTCGGTTAAGGCGCCTAATAAATTCCGCGTCAAATTACTCAAGTGCCGAATGGTTTTGCCTTCTCACCTTATCACACAGCGTCTTCACTTGGTTCTCTGTCAACTGTTTGCACTCATTGAGTTGTTCAATCCAGGCGTCCAGCTCCTTTAAGGCTGCTTTATCCTCTATAGACATGCTCGAAACAATTAAGGAACTCCACGTACTTTACGTGGTGTCTATGGTTTTCCTCTGTAAATAACCGTTCACTGACACACAAGTACCAATTAATCTACACAACCGGCCAGAGCGACTTCAAAATGGCTGTCGAAACAAGAAAAAAACAAAATGGAAATGACGTAAAAAGAAAAGGACATTTCTTGTTAACAGTAAAAAATATTAAACTTAAAATAATATTGCCACTATTAATTAACATAAATATTAAAATATCTTATTACGCGACACAATATTATATTCGACGACGGTGAAGCCAACATTAGCTGCGGTCCTTTTTGGCTCTATGGTGGAAGCCGAGTTGTAAGATCTTCGTTAGGAGATTTTGAAAATCCAAATTAATCACGAATACAACGAGTCTGCGGCGAAATGTCCGAGCAGTTGGAGTTGAAAGGGACCCTTAGAGGTCACAATGGCTGGGTTACGCAGATAGCCACCAACCCCAAGTTTCCAGAAACGGTGCTCTCAGCGTCGAGGGGTACGTACCGCTGTGACGGCGACATGTTTCGCCGAATGCTCTACTTTGATCGTCTCCTGCTTGAATGATCTGCACGTTAAATCGTTCATATAGAACTGTCCACGTCACGGGTCTCGAGCCGTACGTTTGATCAATTTTATCGAGCCTGTAATGATATTTGCACCAGCCGTAACTTTTACTCTTGGTGGTGTGTCACGTTTGGCAAGTCGCAGTGCTCGTGAGAGAGCCAGAAATTGATAACGTTACAGCGGCAGTTGTCATTTCGGTTCAAGGTGTATTTCCTTGCTCTAGACAACTTGCTGAAATTTTGAGATTTAGTTTGGATTATATAAAATTAGAAAATGGCAAAAAAAAAATTTTCCTTTATTTCAAACTGCCTAACCGAATCAGCGTTATCGGCCTCCGCCGTGTAAGACTGTGAAGTGGGAACGCCTATCTAGTACATTGCGTTTGTTTGAACATAGGCAGAGCATCCTCCAGATGGTGGCATGTCGTTCATCACCCTCGAAAGTTCTTGGCACCTTCCATGCGCGTCAACTACCGGAAGTTTGTTGAGCGTGCTTCGGCCAGCTTGCTTTATATCGTTATTCTACATTGTCACATCTGAAGTAGGTCGTCAGACACTTCGAACTGAAACGGTTGCATTCTTCTATGGCATCACCAAACGTTGTGGAGCTCTGACACCCCCTCTGTGTGGTTTCAGACAAGACCCTGATCCTGTGGGAGCTGACCAAGGATGAGACGAGCTATGGCATTCCGAAGAGGCGTCTCAGGGGCCACGGCCACTTCGTCACGGACGTGGTCATGTCGTCGGACGGACAGTATGCCCTGTCCTGTTCGTGGGACAAGACCCTCAGGCTCTGGGACCTTATTGTGTGAGACTTCTTCCTGTTGGCCGGGAAAAACGGTTGGGCCATCTTTGAGACGAGAGAGAAAGCGGGTGTCGCTTGTTTGAGACGGATGTGTAGCTTGCCAATGCAACATTGGTTGAACGGATGAGATTGGCTGCATCTTGGGCGGAGGAGCTACAAGAAATGTTACAAACATAACAAAAAAAAAAATGCAAGAGTAAATTGGCTTCCACTAGGAATGGAATGCAACACGTTCCCTTTATACTTGTCGCCTCAAAAAAGAAGCGAGTTTTGCGCATATACGCCGCGGGAAGTAGTTCTTATAAGAGTTGGTTGTCAAAGGAAAAAGTTTTGCCTTTGACGTTTGAAATGTGTACGTCTTGATGAGATAACATATATCTGGTGTAAAATGTACAGTCGGGGACAAAAGTCCCCAGGACACGCGAGCTGCGACTGAAACGCATTGCTCTGCCTTCTGCCGGCGCGTCGCCTGGTTTCGAGATCACACAAATGCGCATGCGTGTCCTATTGTGCCTGCAAACATGTCTGTTTTCCCACTCTTCTGCGGCGCGGCGCCTAACTCGGAATCGGGCGCGTGGTACCGCCTCGGAGATAGCACTTGCGTCTGCTACACATCCCGAAACTGGAGATACTACCTGCAGCATTGCGCCGCATTTCGCCGTGTGAGCACATCTTGCTTTTTAACTAGTTGAGCTTATCGCTCGGTTGAGCAGCCGTGACTCCTTGCATTACAGATCCCATGTCAGTAAGCGCTATCTCCGATGCGGTACCACGCGCCCAATTTCGAGTTAGGCGCCCCGCCGCAGAAGAGCGGGAAAACAGACATGTTTGTAGGCACAGTAGGACACGCATGCACTTTTGTGTGATCTCGAAACCAGGCGACCCGCCGGCAGATGGCAGAGCAATGCGTTTCAGTCGCAGCTCGCGCGTCCTGGGGACTTCTGTCCCCGGCTGTACTTAGATATATTTTAATTCTCCACATAAAGGGGGAAATTAGTAATGCTCTTGTGGAGCCGGACTTATTTACTGTTTCTTGAGGTCAAAATTAGTATAGGCGGCTGGTGTGCATGTCACTTACAAAATCCGTCTGGTCTGGGAGTCAATCCCTGGACCTCTCTGGATCTAGGAGAGTGATATATTATTAAATCCTTTTCAAAAGTTCATCAAGCAGCATTGGTGGTCACCATTGCTTGGACACTAAGCATGTGATTCAGTCAGTCCTCGCCGAATGCTGACGCAGCTCTCGTCTTCAATACGAGCTGAACCAAGTTCACGCCGAATGCCAATGCATGCCTTGTGTCACATGCATGCTCCGGGTGCATGGTCAAGCAAGTCTGTTGAGCTAACCAGGATCTAGCTGTCAATGGAGCATACAAATGTTACTTGTTGCCATCTGTCTTAATCATACTCGCTGCAAGAATGATAGTTTGGTGGTGAATTATAAATCGGCCTGCATCATCTCTGACGAATGTAGATTTATTTTTGTCTAAGTATGTCTTTGCCACCTTAGGAGTTCCCTTAAATCATTATAATCTGACAAAAAAAAATGGGGAAAATGTTTTTGGCGGGCGCCACAATGAGATCTTTTAAAGAAATGCTTAGATGAAGAGTTGACTGCTCAGTGATTATCTTGCATGTATTAGCTGATGATTGTCCGTGATATCAGCCTTTGGAATGAGAGCAGTCGAGCACGGTCACCCTTGGGGGCTGTTTCCATGCTGGACGTGTGTCTGATGAACTATTGCTGTTTCAGTGGCCGCACGACGCGTCGCTTTGAAGACCACCAGAAGGATGTGCTGAGCGTGGCGTTCTCTGCCGACAACCGCCAGATCGTGTCTGGCTCCCGGGACAAGACCATCAAGCTGTGGAACACACTGGCCCAGTGCAAGTACACCATCGTACGTGCACCGCCCTTCTCGTTGATGCGCTGCAAAGATCGGGCTCGATGAACGGAGTAGGGGTTCTATAGTGTCGACGGGGCCCATTGATGTCTCGGTTAACTTTTCTAGTGGGGCCACCGAGGGCCAGATCAGTTTATATTTTATTTGGCGGTTTCGACAACTTTGGGGGAGGCTCCTCCTGCATCAGCTTGTGTTTGAGAGTTTTCATAAACGTACGAAGAGAGCGCAACATTGAGGGGCAGATCAAGCTCGTTAGTGTACAGCACTGATTGCTAGAACTAAGCTGTAGTTGGTGAAAAGCCTGCAAAGCCCTTCACTTTAGCAAGGTGAATGCTGGAGAGGAGGGACTCCTTTTCTTTCTGGCGATCGCTCTGCCGAAGTGGCAAGAGTGGGAACTCTGCGGGAGGTGCGTTTTCTGCATTCTTGACATGTTGCCAACCGTAGTTGTCATAGGTAATGTGCAGCTTTCTTGACACGAGCAGGTCTTGTTTTCAGTGTCTGTGTACACTCTATGAAGTGGTCATGTCTAGTTTGCAGGTTAGCTGTCTTGATTTTGTGGGTTCAGTTTGGCTTTTGACGTGCTAATCGTAATTGATAGTGCTCGGTGCGGTACGAGTTGAAAACTGTATCGGTTGGCCAACTGCTCAGTGATTATTGTGCATGTATTAGCTGATGACTGTCTGTGATATCAGCCTACAAAATGAGAGCTGTTGCCAACCGTTACATTGCATCTCAGTATTGATAGCTATGAGCTACTGGCTCATCTACGCCAGAGTACTTCCCGACTGCCCGTCTTTTGCAAAATTTCTGGCAAGTGTTAACAATAACCCAAATTCACAAAAAAAAAAATTTTTTTTTTTTTTTTTTTTTTTTTTTTGGAAGTAGAACAGGGAGGGGCATGGGAAAATGCATGGTCGAGGTGTTGCGGAGCACAAACCTTGGGAAATTTTAACAAGCTCAGTGTAGCTTTTTCAAGTAAGCTTCCACGTGTGCGTGTGCCTTTGCGCCTGGCCTCATTTCGCGCTGTCGCCATTTTCGGAGGGCACCGTGCCGCACGACCAAGATATTCAGCGCTAGTCTTGGCGCATATTTAGTCTTTTTCGATGATCCTTTCCTTATATTGGTAGCATGGGGCATAAAAAGCACCGAAAACCGATACGACACACGATGCCAATGTGTTCCGACAGGCGAAGGTACGTTGGGTTGCCCTCCGTTTGTAGTTTGCAAACAACTCCCCGGACGGCACCCATTACTCAAAAAGGTCCATTAACGTGTGCGTTTCCGCGGTCGAGACTTTGGGCGTGCTGTCTGGCCGATCGTGGCGGGTTGGGTCGTGATGTGGTGGCTCCCTCTTCCCCGCAGGAGAACGCCCACGCGGACTGGGTATCGTGCGTGCGCTTCTCGCCCAACAACAGCAACCCAATCATAGTGTCGTGTGGCTGGGACTACGAGGTGAAGGTGTGGAACCTGACCAACTGCAAGCTGAAGAAGGCCCACGACGAGGACCACAAGGGCTACTTGAACACCGTGACCGTCTCCCCCGACGGGTCCCTTTGCGCCTCCGGTGGCAAGGTGGGTACCAGGGGGGCTCTTGCGGGGAACCAAATCTTCGAGAGCGTTGTGTGAATCTGCGGAGTTGCGGCCCCGAAGGGAATGTATGAAGACCAACCGGAGGTCCGAAGGATGCGAACTGTAACGACAGGCGAGCTGTTGAACCTTGGTTATCGTAAGCAGATGTCTGAAGTTTGTTGCAACCTGTGCAGCGTCAATCTGGACACTCCCATGAGAAACGGAGGTTGCGAAGACAAAAAATCTTGTGATATTGTTTGGCGGAGACTTCGCTGCCGGTAACTAGAGTGGCGAATTTTAGAGCAGCTTCGATTAATTGCTCTGGCGAATGGCGGTGCTTCTGTTGGATCTTTTCTATGGACAGGGTTCACGTTGCAGACAGGTGCGAGGGGTTTGATGTCCTGTGGAGTAGTCGGTTGCATAAACCAGGTTTTTTCCAGTGTAATTTTATTGTGATTTTCACCCTTTGACAGTCAATGCCGTACATGTACTGCAGCAATCACACATTTGAAATTACCTGCCTAAACAAGAAATAGCAGCTAAATTTGAAATTAGATGCTCTGCGGACGTGATACATGCGAGACGGTCACTTCGAATGTTTGCCGGTTCTGAATCCAGAACTGCCGAAATGTCAGCGGAAGTGAACATTTTTTTAAATGAAATTAATTATTTTCATTCAATGCTTCTAAACCTGTACAGGTCACACTGTACGTGTGCCTGCTAGGTAATTAAAAGAAGAAAGATATATCTGCTCGTTCAGTTTTTTAAAATGAAACTTGATAATTGAGAAACATTTTTTAGAAAACAAAGCTTGACCGTCGAAGGGTTAATATAGCTACCAAAGCGGGCGTGCTTGCGGGTGACGTGGGCCCCCCCATTGCCTGCCCGCAGGACTGCCAGGCCATGCTGTGGGACTTGAACGAGAGCAAGAGGTTGTACACCCTTGACCACCAGGACATCATCAATGCCCTCTGCTTCAGCCCCAACCGCTACTGGCTCTGCGTCGCTACCGGGTCAGCCATCCGCATCTGGGTGAGTGCCGCCCCTTTCTCCCGCGAGGGGCCGGAAGGGGCTGTAGTTTGCGCAGATTCCTCCTCTAAAGTGGGACACTACCCCAAAAAAGTGAATGTTCGAACCACTTGTCTGATTTAAATGACATTTACGGAGCTTGTTTCTGTTGAGAACATTTCTGCCAAATTTTGTTAACTTGGGTGAAGTACAAGAAAAAATTGTAAACGTTCAAAGATGGAAGTGGGCGTGCGCCTGCGTAGGAAAGCTATCCTCTTCCTAGCACACCTGTGTACCTCCAGCACACATAAATACTGTTTTTTTTTCATTTCCATTCTTTGTCCACAATTTTAGTTCTTGAGCATGAAAAATTACGAAAATAAAAATATACAAGCTCATAGCTATCTTTCAAAACAATAGTTTTCCTAAAGTGAAGTTTATGCCAAAAAGTGGAATGGAGAAAAATGTGTTCAAAGTGCTCCCCAACCTCCACCTTTAGCGTCGGTGGTCCGAATCACTATGCTATGTAAACTAATGAAACTTTCTGGGAATACTCTAGATGTTGGTAGATGTAAATGACATTTTTCAAAATATTTTTTTGCAGAAATTGTTTTCTCCGGGTAGTGTCTCCCCATAAAGGGGGGGGGGAGGAAGGAAGGGAAGGAAGGAGGTGCAACAATTTTAAGATCAAAGGAATTTGCATTTCGTCATTTTTACGTTGTTTATCGTGTCCCGGAGGATAGAGAAAACATTGCCTTCATGCAAAAATGTTGCGACTCCGCTGCATATTTGCAAAGCAAAAGTCGAGCTTTTTCTTCCACCTGCAGCCACGAGTGGCAGCTGAAGGAACTACGGCAAAAAGATAACGTGACCTCAGTTGGCTCTAAGCTACAGCATAACGCCCGCTAATGTCAGCAGAGAGAGGGAGAGTAAGCATCCTCCGAGAGAGCACACGGGAAGCTACACGGCACTCTGAATGACGTCGCTAGGAGGGGGACCAGGTGTGGCCCTGAAGGCTGGGAGTGAGTTGAAAGGTGCCAGAAATGCCAATATATATCTTTTCTTACACACCAACTGGGACGTGCAGACAAAATCTGTTTTCTGTTCTTTACTTTAGAAGGGTCAGAGGGCAACTTCCACAAATGTTTGACCGAAGTCTGGAAATCATTGCACCCCAACCGGTGGGGTTATACCAGGGAAACGCTGGCTATGGGAGCTTATGACTTAAAGATTGTCCTAACAAAGCATAAGGTATCAGGAGCTGGCACGAGGATAAGCTTTGGCTGCTAGTCTGAGGAGCCAGGTTTAACTTATGCACAGGTCAGACTCTGATCCCTCCATTTCTATTCTCTGTATTCTTTTTTGTGGTCCTGCCCAATGATTATGACACAGGCTGAAGGATGAATCCTCTGTTGACCAAGTTGTCCTGCAAATATGAGGGCATGGGGCACTCGATTGAGTCCGGCCATGTTTTGGCTCTTGGGTGCAGCTAAATAAGTAATCGGAAGTAATGTGTCTGGCATTCTGTTAATCTGAGATAGGCTTTTTCCAAGATTGTTGTCTGCCTCAGTGTGGAAGGGTGTGTCGGCATTACTAAGTTGTTTTTGACAATCTTAAAGCTAACTTTTGAGGTAGACTTGCTGTATTTTTGTTATCGCTATCATTGCAGGGGTGGAACGGCTGCGCCATTTTGCGCCATTTTGCGCCAGACGCATGTGTCTGCGCCATCCTGCGCCATTTTGCGCCAGACACATGTGTCTGCGCCATCCTGCGCCATGTTGCAGAAACTGCGCCACAGCCAATACCTCGCGCCATTATGCGCCAAATCGCAAAACGTGCGCCAAAAAACTTTTTATTTCGTCTTAGTTTCGGTTTCTATCGACTCGATTGGCAACAATGAGGGCGATTAGCCTGGTCGGCCTTGTAATCCTTTGTTGTGTTTATTCCCCCTGTCTATCCCGAGTCGGAAGCGCGCGAAAAAAACTCGGATTCTAAGCGCTACACCCCCTGCGACTGGATTGTTATTCTTCAACCATAAGCGGTAGGGCAAGTCGGCCGAGGTGAGGTCGAGTCGTTAAGCATCAGATTGCATGAGGCTCTGCGGCCCGGAATCCGGACGTCATCCAGTCGAAAGCAAATGAGCAAAAGATTCCTTTTAGTACTTCATCCTTATGAGTTGGAAACGCATTCTTGCAAGATAAATCGTGATTTGATAGGACTGAAACGCGGTCCGATCCGAAACCTTGCCGGCCAGCAGCTCTTACCTTGCCGGCCAGCAGCTCTACTTATCTGCTCGGCGTACTTTAACCTTGCTCCTGCTTATCGCTTCAAATACGATAACTTCGTTAATCGTAGCCTGCTGCTTCGATATCGAGTTGCGCAATAGGATAAACTCGAAATTTGTTGCACTGCTCCTCCGTGCAAGTGCATGTCCGTTGTTTACGCTCGTCACGTGGTTCGCACATATAATTACTATGTCAATCACGTGCGCGTTGTGCGATAAGTAGTGCTGGTTTGCATCTTGAGCATCTGAAAGCCACTAAGAAAATATCAAGGACGCTATCTTCAGAAACATCAGGTACTAGCTTTTTTATTCTCATTAAGGCTCACAAAGTTTCAAGTTTTCGCATCTATTACACTGTTATCCCATCTACCTGGGTCCCTAACCACTGATGTTCATCTCTGCTCCTAAGCAAAATTGAAATTGTTCCCGTGCTTGTCTATGACACAAGCTGAAGTGCAATGCAAACTGATCTGAGCTGCTCCTAGCCTGCTCCAGAATGTAGTTTTAGCTGCTCCCAACCTGCTCTAAAACGACTGTTTCAGCTGCTCCCGTGGCTGCTCCCAAGTACATTTCATGAGTTCCACCCCTGCATTGTAATTAGAATTGCAATCTTCTTGCACTATTTAAGTGCAGAGTTGCACTTTAATAGCGTCTTCTTACACCTTCGAAATGGCATTAAGAATGCAATCTGCTCTCCCCAAACCCACATTGTCATGACAATTTATTGAAAACTAGATTCAAGCGTTCGGTCGTCATTGCCACGACATAGGGGGGGGGGGGGGTGGGGGGGCACGTGAAAATATCTCCGACCGGTCGCCCCCGCTTCCAACATCTCAGAGTTGTCGGATTAGTTCTGTCAGTGTGCAACGAACACCACATCTTTCGTCTGATGCGTGACAGGGGCAGACTTATGGGGTCTGCTGAGTGATGACCATCGCCAAAAACTGCTGGATGACGACATTATGGCCACTGTGTCAGCAAAGACTAAACTTTTGGCTGGTGTACATAAATTTTTTTCCATTTCAAAAAGTTGACCTTGGGAAGGGAAGGTTTAGTTTTTGGCGACAGCAAATATTAAGTCAACAAAATAGATTTGGGCAACGTCTCAACTTTAACGTCATCATGCATACCCCCGCTTTCAGCCAATTGCTTAGTACCCCCCTTGCCCCCTCCCTAAACCCACCCTCGATACGTGAGCAGTACGACTACGGCTTTTGTGGGTTGCTCGATGCCAGTTTCTCGCGGCATCTGATTATGCGCACGACGTGTCCCCAGGACTTGGAGGGCAAGAGCCTGGTGGACGAGCTGCGGCCGGAGGTGATGACGACCAACGCCAAGGCGGAGCTGCCCCAGTGCATCTCAATGGCTTGGTCTGCGGACGGACAGACCCTGTTCGCTGGATACACGGACAACCTGATCAGGGTCTGGCAGGTGTCTAACGGCGCCACCCGCTGAGCATTGTGGACCCAATAAAAGTTTATTTGTGGTGTACTGCCGTCTTCGTTCCGAAACAGCCCCAAGCCTAGGCTACAGTTGAAACTACAAGCACGAGCTCCTGGCTTTGGGACATGCATTTTTAGCGCGAGCCCTCATTCTGCAGAAAAATGTTTCAAAGCAAGAAACTTGTGCTTGTCGCATTGGCTGCAGTCAGCTTAAAGGGGCCCTGCAAGGACTTTACTGGCTTTTAATCTGCACCGAACCCGGGCTCACTGAACGTAGTAACTTAGTGAAACTTTTTTCTCGAAATTCTCTTTATTTTAAAAGCTATAGGCGAATTATAACTACAAAAAAAAAAAAAAAGCAAAAAATAACCTCCCTCATGACGTCCCTTGTTGCTTGAGAGTGGCCGTGAACTAGAAAAGAGGTCGTGAGCTCATCGAGCACTCACAGCTGCCGCACTCTGTCGACGGTGCGAGAGGGCGCCACTAAAGCATGTTCTGGATAGGCTGTATGCAGCAGGCAGCCAGAGCGGCTCTTATTGCATTTGCTGCACAATTAAATACTAATTCGGCATGACACTTTGCGCTGCCTTACCACAAAATGGCTGAACCGCAGACCTTCGGAACCGGTTGAATCCTGTACATACGACTGCAGCGTTGCCCCGTACATCCGGGACCTTTCCGTGTCGGCGCCTGATCCCACTGCTCCTTTCTAGTATGCGCCACCTTTTTCACCGCTAGGTGGCGGGTATGTCGACGGGTCATTTCTTGTTTCCGTAATTATGAACTGCATTTGTTTCTTTTCTGATCTAAAATACAGAACAAAAACTACTTTTATAAATAATTGAAACGGTTTGTTTTGTATTTCGACTAAAAAGAAGCTTTTAGCGGCTCTGACCAGTAGTAAGCCCAGGACCAAAGATGTCACATTTTGCGCGCTTTCGGTACCGCGGGTCGCCCTCGTCGGTGGAGGACGTTTCCGCGTCGTCTGGTTAAAATATGACGCACTGATATTTAGTTACTCTTTACGTGCCCGCTGGCTTGCCCGAACCCCAAGAGACGTGGAAACCGCAAAAAAGGTAGACGCTTAAATATGATTGCAGGGTTAAGGGTGAACAGAGTATACACATGGTGCATTGTACCACCAGTCTTGCATGTTGTGCGCGTCTTTAAGGGGCACTCCAAGGCGTTTCCTTAATGGACCCCATTTGCCTGAACATTTGCTGAACACGGAGCAAGCATGCTGAAAGTCACAACAGATCTTTTCTCGCAAAGTCGTTGGATTTACAATTTTGGCCCTCGCCATGTTTTCTCAAAATGTCTTGTGGCAACAATGCGAAAGTGACGCCAGCAGCCCCCAGGCAGGGGTTCGCTCTTCAAACTGTAGAATGTGTTCTCCACCGATTCCAAGCAGTATCCTGGTGTCAAATGAATGCTTTGGAAGCTCACTCCAGTATATGCACATCAACACGAAACAACTGCTTGGCATTGTTTAAACTGTTCGCTTGACTGGCAAGCCTGCCTGCCATTATGTCGCGGCACTGAAAAGTGGGGGCATTTTTAAATGTTGGTTTTTGCATCATTTTCATTTGCCAATTTCCTGATATCTATTCTGAATTTTGTGATAACTGCATACTGGAAGGGGTCAAGGCCGGGCATTACAAAGATGATTGGTGTTGCTAAAAGAAAAAAAGCCGGTGTACCTTTTTAAACGGGCAGTGGAGTTCCACATTTGTAGTAAAGGGCGATCCATTTGTTTTTTGACAATTTCCACCTGCTGTTTTAGCCTAGAAGCGTGCGGGAGTGAATGGACTGCTTGGCCGAGGGGCTCTAGGGCTCTCCGGCGTTTTGCAGGGCTCTCTGGGGTTGGAAAAAGATGAATATTTTCAACTTGGGACCCAAAAAGTCATGTTCACGTGATCGACCATCGACGTCGCTCCTCTCCTGCTGCATTTCTCCGGTGCCCGTTTTCTCTTCCTTTGCGGGCTGGTTTGGACTGTGCTTCACCTTTCTGTGTTCGATATCCTTCGTCTGAATTAAACGTAAATTAACATTTAAAAATATTTCCCAATTTATTTTCTGAAAGTTATATACCAGAGACGTAAACTCTCTCGGTCGATGAATTATATTTACTCCACGTGTACATTGTAAAGATGATCATGTTTATGTTCTTGGGTGGTCGGCACTGAGTAGTTGTATTTTTCCTTCCGAGTGCACGTTTGATGAGACTTGTACCCAAGTGTATTGCTAACAAGGCATCCGGAATTCGTTCAAATTTCTTGCAATGCAAAATTTTTACAAAGTTTACTGTTACAAAAAGAAAAAGCTGGAAGCTGCATGTGCCAAGAATACATGCAAAGAGCAATTTTGTCTACCACAGGAGATTTGTGTGACAAAATTAAATGGGGATCACGGCCAAGGCTGCAATACACAGAAGTTTGTGCTGGTTGCCATGACCGCTCGGATAGTGCAATGTAGCGGTAGGTTTGTTTTTTGATTGGTGCAGTCCTAAAGCGACGTTCACAAAGCTTTAGTACATAGTTCCGATAGCGGCACCTGATGCTCTGCTGGTGCCTTTATGCATGCATTGCATACTATCGTTATCGGAACCAACTCCCTTTTGGGGAGTTGATAGACCGTTTTTCTTGCTCCACTATGCTCTCTGCAACGAGGACGCTGCTACTGTGCATTCAGCTCTTAGCCTTTCTGCAGAATCCTGGATCTTGTAGTACAGCGCTTGCCAAACTCTGCCCCAAGCTGACGCTGCAAAGGGGAGCTGCGTGCTCGTCGGCTCGACGTTTAGCAGAGACCTATATTTTGTGTCTATCGACACCACGGCGTAAAGTTCCCGACGTGGTCTTAGGGTCACGACCCTGTTTCACAAGACACTTGTAGTGGGTTGCGATAACTCCTTAATAGAGAGTTTTAGTAGTTTGTTCTGATAACGATACCCGATAGGGTATCGTGATCAGAAAGATTTACTAAAATTGCTTAATATCGAGTCAATTCTCCGTTTGCTGCGACCACGGCTCTCATCCTGTCGGGCAAGGAATCGTAAAGCGCGATCACAAAGCCCGGATCGCCCCTGAGCCGCTTCCATTCGCCATGGACCGCTGCCCACAGTTCGTCACTGGTAGCGCGGTGGAGGAAACGTCGTGTCATCACTGCCTTGATCCGCCCCCAAACGTGCTCAATGATGTTCAGGTCGGCTCCTTTCGGGGGCCAAGGCAGGTCAGCGACACAGCGCTCCTTCAGGAGCGCCCGGACCTGGCGGGAGGTGTGGACAGGCGACATGTCATGCTGGAAAACGAAGTCTCCATCCGGAAACGGGCCGTCCAGGGCGTAGGGCAGCATGACGTGGTCGAGTAGCGTGCAATAACGATCCGACGTCAAGCTGCCATCAATCCTGAAGAGCGGCCCGAGTCCTTCTGGAGAGATCGCGCTCCAGACGCTCACGGTGGTGCGACCGCTGTCAGCTACCTTCTGGACAAACTGCTCTTTGTAACTGGAAAAGAAATGAATGTTAAACCTGAATGTTTAGCGGGTCAGTCATGTGGCATTAACTACTACTGAAGGTAAAGGCTGGGAATTTCTTACCGGCAGTGGATTGGCCGCCACACCTGGAGCCGTTTGTCCCACTGAGTCGTGAACGTCGATTCGTATGAAAACATGACCTTGGCCCAGTCCTCCGTCGTCCATGACTCGTGGGCAGTGGCAAATCGAAGCCTGTCCTGTTTGTCTGATTCGCCGAGGGGTTCTTGGGCCGTCACGCGGCATGATAGCCCTGCCAGCCCTGCCTCGGCGAGTCTTCTGCGTAGTGTAGGTAGGGACGCTTCGATGGCCAGGGCGTCACGAATATCCCGCGCCGACTGGGAAGGGTCCAGCGTTACAGCTGCAACAAGCTGGTGGTCCTCCTCGTTCGTCGTCACTCGAGGACGCCTTCTGTGCGGTGCATCTTTAAGTCGACCTTCCTTTCTATAAGCCTGAATTATCCGGTTCACAGTCACTAAAGGCCGTCCTGTTATGCCTGCTATTGCCCTCTGCGAATGCTTTTTCAGGCTGAGTTCCACAATGCGTAGCCGCTCTTCTATTGGCACTCGCGACATTTTTGCGTTCGGTCTGAGCGCGCAGCGGCCCAGCCGCTCGATTCTGGTTCCCGCTCCGCCGCGAGTTTTTTTCTGCTCGGATAACTACTAATGCAACGGTAACGTCGGATCCACAAATGAATGGGAACGGTGCAACGCACAAGCAACGGAAAGTCGGGAAAGCGTCTCCAAGTCGCCAGCTGTCCTCGCCATCCTCGCCATTCCCATAGGCCGTTTCGCCAGAACAGAGAAATTTATTCTTTTTGTTGGCAACATTGTACGCACTTTTGTTTTTAGTGGTTTCTTTTGTTGTGCTACGAGCCAAGCCAAGCCAGTCAAGTGGCTCGTAGAGCTAGGGTAGTGAACTAGACTAGGCAACTGTATCTAGGGCAGCTGAGCGGTGCGTCTTGCTGTTTTGGTCCAATATTTTGACCCTGAACACTGGTCACACTGGTGAAGAGCCGGCTCAGCAGCGATGGACACGGCAGCTCCGAACCAAGCACCCCGGAGAAGCGTTTCCCTCCTAGAAGGGGCAGCCAGGACCACCCTGTCCACTCTGGCCGTAGGCTCCATCACTTACTGCCTCGTCCACATCGGCCAGCAAGCCTTGCGTGTCGGCTACCGGACCAAGTACCGCGTCATGGTGCCCTCCCTAATCAGCGCCGCCGCCGCAGCCTACACAACCGCCTGGAAAATGAGGGAGCACAATCTCCTGCCGCACTAGCTGCATCCTGTAATGATGGACATGGACTCGTGAAGTGAAGGCGTCCCTGCCTCAATTTTTTTTCCCATGGCAGAAGCCAAGGATGCAAGCTTAAAACTTGACAAATTTCTTTATTTATAGTGTCCAGTTATAATGTCACTCTTCCTGTACTAGCCATACGCTTTACTATGCAAATAGACTCACGAATGCTGCATCTGTGTCCTACTTTCGCCGATGGAGAACGCAATGCAAGCACAAACTTTATAGGTTCCCTTATTTATTAAAGTTATATCTACAGGGTGAAACAAGGAGACGCCAGGCTCTTTAAATCGACAGGGAAATTCGGTTTTTTAACCTATCGTGCTACGACTTTGTGCAGCGTTGCCCACAGATTCTTTTTTTGTAAAATTTGCAAAGAGCGAACTTACCTGAGGAAAAAATAAAGAAAGAAAAAGGCTTAGCTACTATGGAAACGGAGCGACGCTACCAGTCTTCAAACAACACTGCGCCATTTCGCTAGGGAAACACGAGATGGCGCAAGCGGTTGCGACGCCAACTGCCGCCAACGATTGAGCAGACGACGCCGAGAGCCGGCGTATTTAGCAGACAAGAAACTGCAGTTCCTTGTTCTTACCACGCCTCTTTTTGTTTCTGCGACTGTCGCCACCTGCGGAACGCGCGCCGCTTTTGAGTCGAAAAGATTGTCTGCTAAAGACGCTGGCTCTCGGCGCAATATGCTCGTTCGTTGCACCATCTCTTGTGTCCCGTGCGAAACGGCGCCATGCTCTTGGAGGAGTGGTGGCGTTGCTGCGTTTCCATAGGAGCTAAGCCTTTTTCTTTCTTTACTTTTTCCTCAGGTAAGTTTGCTCTTTACAAATTTTACAAAAAAAAAATGCACCATCTGTGGGCAACGCTGTACAAAGTCGTAGCGCGATAGGTTAAGAAACTGAATTTTCCGGTCGATTTAAAGAGCCTGGCGTCTCCTTGTTTCACCCTGTAATTATGATGTTACATTCATTCATAAACGCTCCAGCAAGTCGGACGTGTGTGCCAGGTCTCTTTTGAAGAGGAGGCCCAGCTGCTCGGAGGGCCTGGCCAATGAAGTGCTTCCGACAATAACCTGTCCAAATAAAAAATAAAAAAAAAGTGCAGTTAGCCCCAAGAAAACATGTGACGATTGCTTGCGAGGGGCAGAAATGTTATTTCCCTGCATACCTGCTTACTGAGTTTCCTCGAAGAAACAAAGTCTGCTACGAGTTTCACTTCGGAGGCCGTCACACCGCCAATAATGAACAGAATCAACGTTGGGTTGTCCTTTGGCAGTGGCTTGGTTGTGCTCTTGAAAAACCTGGTGAGACAGATGCATCAGATCAGAAAAAAGTAAATGTGACCATCATGAAGGCTGTCAACACTAAACACTACTTCCATGTGACAGTATTTTGCGGCACACATGGTTACTGGTACTATAACCATAATCCCTGGAGAAGGGGAACAAGGAGGACAAAGGACAAACACAAATCTCCAAACACAGCTAGGTGACTGGAGCATGACCGAAAAAAAATGAAAGCCGTTTACAACTCCCTGTAACACCGAATTGGAGCGTAGCTCATGAGGAGGAGGAGGGAAGGGTACTGAGGGGAAGGTATACCCCTCCTCCTCACGTGCTCATCCTGTCTGCTACTCCTCTCTCGGAGTGGCATCGCTGTCCCCTCACGAGGGCCACGTGATCTCAGGGGGTCATGTGACGTCACTGGCGTCAAGTGACCCCTATCAGGTCATCGGTGACGATGACGATGCAGATGCTGATGACGTCATCAGTGATGTCACGCGTCCCATAATGCACCGCGCAGTTACGCCGACGGCGATGCTGGTCAAGCCGGAAACGGATGCCTAAGAGTGGCGCTCTAAAAATCTGCCTGGTCCTATCGAACCAGGGACCTCCCCATTTCCAGTGGAGCACTCTATCAACTGGAGTTGCATGCACTCAGTTGGTCGAACAATGTTTTAGCGAACGTTGACTTTTCATCGAAACACATTTTAGCGAATGGTTGGTTTACGGATGGGCCAAGGGGGTTAACATTTTTCTAATGAGCTGCCGCAGACTGCCGCCGAAGAGCGGTGTGAATGCAGTGGGAGTGAGGGTTAACACATGCCCTCGTTGTTCGCTAAAACGTTGATTCGCTCAAATGGCCCTGTTCGCTAAAACATCATTCGCTCATGTGATATGGCCCCCTACCAATTGAGCTAACCAAGAGTTATACGTTAATAGAGCAAATGCGTTTTAACAGCTGCCAGCAGTCCAACACCAACAATGGTGAACGACCCACATTTTAAGAGTATGATGAAATACAATTAATGCAATGGTGCATTTTTAAGTCATGCACCAGTCACCTAGCTGTGTTTGGAGATTTTTGTTTGTCCTCTGTCCCCACTGTTTCCCTTCTCAAGGGATTATTATTGTTATTTCGTCCAGCTCGCTCGCACTTTTGCATTGATCGTATTTCGTCATAAACTTAAAATGCAGGCCATTCACCCTTGTTGGTGTTGGACTGGTGGCAGCTGTAAAAATTTGTTTGGTCTACTGACGCTCCTGGTTAGCTCAGTTGGTAGAGCGCTCCACTGGAAATGGAGAGGCCCCTGTTTCGATACCGGGACCAGGCGGATTTTTTCAGTCGTGCAGCTGTCACCTAATTGTGTTCGGAGATTTGTGTTTTTCTCTTGTTCCCCTTCTCGAGGGATTATTATCGTTGTTCCTGTCCAGCTCGCTTGCACCTTTGCAATAATTGTATTTCATTACTCGTACTGCTTACTTAGAAGTCCCACATTTAGAGGTCGACATTTTAGGTCGCCCTCATTCACCCTCACAGCCACACTAATCTAAGCCCCTCACTCACCCTCACAGCTACACTCACTTTCAGTCCCTCACTCATCCTCATCCTCACAGTCACACTCACCTTCAGCCCTTCACTCGCACTCAATGAACCTCATGCCCCTCACTCACTCATGGCCCTCACCGCACTCATACCCCTCACGCACTCGCCGCCCTCATACCCCTCACCCCCCTTATGCACTCATGGCCCTCACGCCACTCAGGCCCACTTCAGATGGGGCAATTTCCCCCAGAAACTTGACGTCGCAACACTAGCAACACGGGCTGTCCGCATTCACACGCAGCAACCAATTGCTGCAATTTACCGTCATCATCATGAAATTTTATTTTTCTTGCACTTTTTAGAAACACAATTACGTGCTATAAACATGTTTTTATGCATCTAAATCTTGTTGAGAATACTAATGCATCTTTCTAAACTGTTTATTTCCAAAAACAATAAATTTCAAACCAGAACCAAGTCCTTTGTTGTCATCATCACCAGCACGAGGTATCACGTGAAAATATTGCGTCCCTGATTGGATGCAGCTGCTTCAAATGTCTTCGAATTACTCCGAGTTGCTGGCTTGTTTCGAGTCACACCCGATCTCAGCAATTCGTGTTGATCTATAGAAAGCTAGGGAACAACTCACCAGCAACTCCAAAATTGCTGAGAAAGTCGCTCTGTATGAAGGGGGCCTCACGCACTCACCGCCTTCACGGCCCTCACGCCACTCACACACTCGTCGCCCTCACGGCCCTCATGACCCTCATACCCTCACGCACTCATGGCCCTCACGCCCACTCACCGCCCCACGCCACTCACTGCCCTCATGCACTCATGGCCCTCACACCCCTTACGCACTCACCGCCCTCACGGTCCCCACAGCCCTCACTAGCCCTCGCGGCCCTCACTCACCCTCACACTCATGAATTTTCCTGATTCAGAAACTAACTGACCTTCACCTCACCTGTGAAGATGAGGGTGAGTGAGGGCCCTCATGAGTGAGGTTTGCCAAGGTATGCCCACATTAGCTGTTAATGCGACTGCTGAATGTTGATTCAATTTCTATTTGCACATCTTTCTAGATAACCAACGTCAAGATATTGGTCCCAGTGAAGGCATTCAAAGCTAGCTAATCTTGAGTGGAATTTTGTTACTTCTACATGAGCCCTCGGTAACTAAAGTAAAACGTGCAAAGAGGCGAAAAAGAAAAAAAAAGAGATAAGTACTGTTGGGATTGGTACATGGTCATTACATAAGTTGACATCGGTCTCATACACGCAAGATTTGCTCTTAATGCACTGCTGCATTAAATAAATGGTAGAAGGGAATGCATAGACCAGTGGTTCTCAAATGGGGGGTCTGTGAACCTTTTGGGACTTGTAAACGCATTCTAGGGGCTTGCAAAGCCTTCCCTCATCAGTCAAGCCTGGCAATAAAAGTTGTCTTTTCTCAGATTGAGAAAGAACTTTCCAATTTCCAGGCAAGTTTTCTGGCGTGTATGTCAAAGAGAGAAATCTACTTCACACAAGCTATTAGTTATATCCATTTATTAAATCATCATAATTAACCTATACAGGGGCTCGAGAAGTATATCTGGTGTGTGGGGGCGTCATCTGGGGCCTCATGTCGCATAGTGTAGTTCACCTTCCTTTTTCTCTCTCTCTCTCTTTATATAGATATACACACAGTGTTTCACGAAAGGTGGACAAATTCGATGTAGTAAAAGCAACGAATCGCATAAAAAAAAGGCTTCTGTTGTTTTGGTCCTAGGCGAGGGGACTATTTAGGAAAATTATTAAAGTTTGAATAATTAAGTTTTTAATTTTTTAAATATTGAGTTTAAGGACATATTTTCAATTAGAATCTTGCTGAGCATTATCGAAAAACTCTAAATCAACAAATTGCAGAACAATGGAAGGCACACGCTGTATTTTACGGCTTTGTGAGAAACCGCACAACTTTGACAAGTTTTTAAGTTTCGGTTTGCAATTGGAGCGCTTCTCGGCACCGACGGCACCACAACTCGTAGAGAAATAGTGCAACCAACCTTTGCTGCGTTGCACGAGGACAGCGCAGCAGAGGTTGGTCGCACTATTTCTCCATGGGGTACGGTGCCAAGAAGCGCTCCGATTGCAGACCGAAAGTTAAAAACTAGGGGTGTGCGAATACTCGAACATACGAATTCGAATCGCATGCCTCCACTGGTTTAGAACCTGTGGGAGCGACTTGTACGGGCTTGTTTGTAAACAGGGCGTTGGCCTCAGCCAGAACCACAAGAACGATAATTAGCTGTAGCAGAAGTCATTGACTTAATTGTCAACAGCCACAAAAAAGGATGCTACAATGAAGGTGCCTTGCCAATCGCCTAGTAACTAACTAGACGGGCCACACGACCAGGTCGGCAAGCAACGGGTACGGCTGAATGAATGATTTACCAGAGAACCCTCACCCGAAGCCAGTCTTGAGCATGTCGCCCAGCCCTCCCGAATGATGGTCCAAGTGAGGCAGCTCCTTTGCGTCTGGGTCGAAGATATCCTGCAGCAGCTGCTTTAGCAGTGGCTTGTACATAGCTGGCTGCATGGGGTCCCCGTCTTCCAGGATGGCTCTATGGGCCAGGAACCAGACGGACCAGAGACAATACAGCACACAAATAAACAAAGATGAGCGAAAGCAGTACACAGGACAACTACTGAGTGATAACTGAAACCCATGAAAGCGGCAGTTTGACCACCCCAGGTTTAGGTTATGAAACTATTAAATACATTTATGACCAGTGGTGTTAACGCCAGAAGCTGTGCACTAAATGCATGAAGTATTAAAATGTAGCTTGACTCCTTTTAAGATTTGTTGATGCAGCACAAAATACTTTTTCAGTTATGTTTGAACTCAAGGAACCTCGTCCAATGATCTGTCATGCGAAAGGAAACACAGAAATGACATACTGTCTTGGGTTGGTACAGTGGCACAAAATAGTTACAGAAAAGGAAACAAAAACACAATACCTTTTGAGTCTGCCAAGTGCTTTCATAGAAATAGTCTGCTTAAAATGCCACTTTTTTTTTCTTTGCTTTCTATCTTTTTCTGATTTCGGCACTGCCATACATGGGTAAATTACTTTCAAAATGTAATTTAATTACAATTACAATTACTTAGCTCCCAAAGTAGTTTAACAATTACAATTACTACTACGCGAGAGTAGTTCATTGCAATTACAAATTACTTTTTAAAAGTAATTACCCCCCCCTTGGGCCATATAACTGTAAACGAGTTGTCACACACTGTACTTTCCTTTTATGAAATTTGTTAAATGGATTATAGAACTTAATAGTTTGGAGTAATGAACTCCTGCATTCTTATATGCTCAAAAAATAAAAATAAATGGCGACAAAATTCACAGGTGCGAGGTGAATCTCCTTAGAGCTTATGCAAATGGTATCCAAGTCAAACCAACAAAAAATAAGCTTAAAAATAATACAAGGAAACAAATATGTGACAGTACTGGTATCATAAAACTCACGTAAAAATGACTAATGAGAGAAACTTGTACACGACGTCAAACATTTAAAGGATACGACAACTTACGAAAACATTTCAGCCACGATGATTCGCTGCCTCTCCCTGTCTGTGGACTTGTAACATGCCGGATGTGGGTAACCGTAGCACGCGAACTGTGGTCGCTTCCACAAAACTAGTGTCACAATAGCAGCAAATCTATTGCCAGGAATTCTGGGTTAATTCAGTGCACGGTAACACCCAAAAAGCTCCTGAGATAGATAATAAATTTAGGATCGTCATGTAGCTAATCATTAGGATAGCAATGATTGTATCGATGTTATGCGTCTGATAAAGAAGACCGATTTGAATTTAGCATGGCAAGAAGAACCTCGAAAAATTCATGATACACTGTAAACGACTTTATTTTCGCGAATTTCGCGAATCGCCTACAATTCGCGAAAAATAAGTCCCGCGAGCAATTCCGGTAAAATGTAAACATATTGGAATCTATATTGCGACTCCATCGCGTCGCGAAAATTAGAATCCGCGAATTATTCCAAAACTGCGGCCTCTTGGACGCCTCGATTTCATGATCTACTTGAGCGTGTTTCAGCTGGAAGATATAGACGAGCCATTATTATTTTTTTTTGTAACTGTAAGTATTATTGAAAGTGACCAAAAAGTTGCCTACCTGCAAATGTTTCCGCAAATTGGAGGTCGCCTTTCGGTTTGTTGAATTTGTTTTCAGAGACGGTGCGGAGAGTTGCTGCTAATTTGTTTAACAAATTTTTCGTAACAAGGCCCCGGCAGCCTTTCCATTTCTATTGTACATAAGACTGTTGCAGGTTCTCAATGCAACAGTCAATGCAAGTGCAAGCCAAGCCCTCTATAAAAAAAGAAGCCTTCAACGAACAACAAATGTAAAAACAAGTTCCCTACAGTCTAAAGCCGCGGTTTGTAAGTTTTGGAATCTCGTCCAATCAGGCTGGCAAACGGTTGAAAGGGTTAGGTAGAGCGAACACTAAATAATGAAGATTTATACAAAAAGGTAGACGAGGTTTGGGAGAAGGAAGAGCAGTGTAGCAACAACAGTTGGAAGTAAGGCAGGGTGAGTCGTGTTAATGAGACCTGCTGCTTCTTTGCTTCTTTGCCTCGATGTTAGAGTAGCACGACTTACTGTTAGTGGTACCAACATACGAGATAGAGGAGAAGGACATGAAAAACTCATAAAGAAAAGAGAATAATTTCATGAACAAAAAAATCTCCAACCTTAACTGAAATATGTAAGCGAATATGCTAGCGGCGAAGACGCGTAAGGAGAACCTCGAACCTCCCCGCCTCGACCGGATGATGTGATCGGAGCCAACCAGCTCGACTTCGACCCCCGATGCCCCCGTGTGGGAATGAGAAATAAGAAAGACCCCTAGAAACAGGAGCAGCGGGAAGCGAACGAGACGAAGAGTCAGATTCAACTACGACAGGAACGAAAACGGATGCGAATGTAGCCCTCATTTATCAAATTATTTCTCAAATTCTTCATTAAATCGTTTTACAGTCTACAAAATCCTTCATTCCGTTCTATCCCAGCCACTCTTTCCCATCCCTCTTTTCCCTTTTTTTTGAGCAGGTTGGGAGACACTCTCTCCACTGTCGCTTTGGCTGTGCTGTCGTCGCCAGGGGGGAGAAGCGCCGCCGCCGCAAAATCTTGCAAAAGTAATTGTAATTGTGCCTGAAATTTAGCAATTACTGATGCTAGAAAATAATTAAATTACAATTACTTTTAGCCAAAAGTAATTATTACAACTACAAATTACCAGGAAAACTAATTCAATTACAGTAATTCCATTACTGTAATTGAAATACTACACAAGTATGGGCACTGCTATAGCCCCCCATCTACATTGCTCTGTGCAATCTAAGGCAACTACCACTTTTAGCCTTACCTGTACTTTTTCAGCTGCTCCTTGGCAAGTCCGAGGGACCGCAGGGTGTTAAGCATCTGGTCAACTGCCTGGATAACTTCGTTTTCGTCGAGGCCTTTCTCGTTGCTGGAGGCTGTCAACAGGGTGCGAGCACATCATGAAGGAGAAGCGGCGACCAGTCGGAGCACAATGCACAGCGGTTGTCCCGTTGTGCGAGATTGTTAATGGGCGACTACCGGAAATGGGGGGGCGGGGGGGGGGGGGGGGCCACTATAATTTATGCAACCAATAACTGTTGTACAAGTTGCAAGCAGGCCAAAATAATTGGCCATATCTTGTGTCAAATGTTGCCGTGCGTTCTGTTTATGAAGAAGGCAGTCAAATGAAGCAGAGTTGTTGGTTGACTGGTTCGACCGACGTACAGATTTCATCACACACTTCGCTTGGGCGTGAACAGAAAATACGTAAGCTGAGCCAGTTACTGTTGGGCATCAATGCAGAAGGCACCAAAGGCATATCTGGAACTTGAACTAAAGACTGAATATTTGGGAACATGCAAGATTTCTAGCAATATGATCACATATCACGGAATAGTGATCCTGCAGTGAGCTGTCATTGTCAGAGTCGGCTTCCGGACGGGACTAAAAAATGGTGAGTTGCCATTCTGTGCATGATTCTTTCCATATCCCGCTACATATCTCATCTCTGCAGTTCTGAACTTTTAAAGTAAAATGGAACGCTCAAGCTGTTTTGGGACAAACAACCGAGAGCAGACGTCACAGCCTCAAACCGACGTCACTCTCCATATTGCCAGAGATGAACATCTACATGTGAAAAACCCACCCGAGCTCACCGAGATTCTGCAGGAATGCAGGAAGCTCGTTCTCCGATGCAGCCTGGTAAATAGCAGCGACAATTTCAGCCTGGAAACAAGAAAGGCCCGTTGAAGACCAATAAAATGGATGAAAGAAATGTACAATCTCAAACAACAGATGTAATTTGCCCTAAGAAAAGCGTGCGGAGTGGGTCTTGGCGCACAAGACAGCACGACCCTATACACCGTCTCACCGTGAGTTGGCAAAGAGCGAACGCGACAGCTTCCCTCGAATCCCATCAGAGCAATGAAGGCAAAGCAGGTGACAACTCTTATCAAAGGTGTAGAGACGAGTGCGTAACCCAACCAGTCAGAGGAAAGGGAAGGGAGGAACTCTCCTTGTGCCCACCTGGACGCCCTTACATGCGTCCAGGATGTGGCTTTCGTCCCCCTTGGAGATTAGCTCCCCACTCAGTATTCATACAAAAGCGGCTGTCCTCCCTCTCTCGCTTGTGGCTTTGACAGCACTGCGCACAACTCGTGAGAGGGAGTACAGTCACGTGTCTCCTTCTGACGCACCGAATAGCTCACCGGGATCGCGGCCTTCGCTGTTCATCAAGTGACGGCGAAACAGAGTGTAGAAGACACGTTAAGGCGTGTACCTTGAGCGTGCGTCGTTCGGTCGCTCCTCCCAGGGTTTTGTCTCCGAGCAGCGAGTAGAGCAGCGTCAGCAAGACCAGGACATCCTCTAACCGGAGACCCCTAAAGTAAAAGGAAAGCAGAAGGGAGCAGTCCTGGCTGAAGCAGTGTAGGCTCGCTCAGTGTGGTCACTGTTTTGGGGGAAGAGGAAAATAGCTGATACAAAAATGGAGGTGTGACAATTAGTACGTTGTAATACGAGCACACTATGCGAGGCACTGAACTTAAGAATACAAATAAGCGAATAGTAGCAATATTATTAACCCGATTGTACGTGTTCACCTGTGCTTATCGAAAGCCTATATCATTTTAACTGGCCCGATGCTCCCACGATCATGTGAAAACGTGCGCGCCAACAAGCAATAAAACAAAGATATTCTTTTTTGTTTATATAAATAGTAGTATGATGCGCCAGGCACACACTCGTGATTTTTTAGATACTGGAATTACCCATTACTGTATTAGCAACACTTCATCCCAACGAGGCATTTCAGCTGCGCTGTCTTGTTTTGAAAACCCGAGAATATCTTGCGAACCAACCTGCTTGCGCACATTTAGCCCAATTAACTTTAATTTATAGGAATACAGGCAGGAACACGTTCCTGACACACTGCTGCTACAGTGTGAGTAAAATTCTGAGGGTTTACACACTAACAACCTACAATTTTGTGTGCAGACACAACCAAGTACAAAGTAACCATACGTGCCCAATTCTCGGGGTGCTGCTCTCTAAATATGAGGTTCTTCGATACCGCTTCTCAATTTATGGTTGCTAGGCGTTTACTGCTTCCTCAAAAGTGCACCCGTGGTTTCCGCCTCACGACACCTTTAAAGGGGTACGGAAACAAAAACTGAAATATTCAGATTTCGTTCGGAAATGAGTCAAGCATGACGTATAATAACCGTAAATGATAATTGCGCGTTTGTATTTTGAACGATTGGCCATATTTTTCGTTCCAAACGGTGCACTCGAGCAAGCGCTCGAAGAGAAGCGAACGGAGAGCGCGATGCGTCATGGGATATCCGGCGCAAACAAAAACAGAAAGAAAAGATTTCCCGTGTTCGTGGAGTAGCAAGGCAGGCGTGGTTATCAGCTTTGCCCTTGGTGGCGTTGTCAGCGTTGTGATGGTGTCAATAGCGTCAGCGTGTTACAACCGAGCCGCTCAAAGTGCCCGTGGGGTGACGAGTGTGTGGCTGGCCCAAGGAGCACGTAGCTTCCACAACACTGTCACCTTAGGGCTGAACGAGGTGGGGAAAGCAACTTTTGTTCGAGTTTTGAGCGACGTGCTAATCTTCTAGGGGGAGAATGGCTATGTCCGGTTGCACGAACGAGGGTCCGAGAAAGAGGGGAGTGCTTCCTTTCCGTCTTCTCGAACCGTTTGGTACAATGCGCGACTTGTGAGTTGAGGAGGAAAGCTAAGAAGGAAAATGTTGAAATACCAAAGAGCGGCGCTGCTCCGAAGGAAACTGCTACGTCACGACTACGTAGCAGTTTCGACAACGTTGCTAGACTACCTCCCAAATAGGCTCCGCATGCATCCACCAGGTGCACATTGAAGATTGTTTATTTAGCTTTAAAATTAGTTTTCTTATGCTTTTCAACGGAAGACTGGTGTTTTTGAGGTTAGGGTGCAACATGCAACACATTAAAGCCAGAAAATGAGCGCTGAAATTTCGTTTCCCTACCCCTTTAAAGGGACACTGACAGGGTATTTATGCTCGCCGAGGTTTTTAGTTGTACGTGACATATGAGAGCTCAACTACCCAGAACAAAATTTGCGGCTCGAAATTCGGTTTCTTTCCGCCCGAAAACCGCCGATCAAGAACTGGCAGGTTCGAGTCTCGCTCACTCTCTTTTCCGCGGTCACGGGCCGTTTTCTAAGGTATCGATGCGACCACCAAATTTAATCAAAGTCGTGGGTCACTGAAAACACACGCTCAATATTAAAAATAGAAAAAAATATGAAACCCATTTTTTGTGGCTTCTAAAAAGCTGCAAATACGTTGATTGAAAAAAAAAGTTCCACAGACAACCGGAAGCATTCTGTGCGTTCGTCGTTTCGCGTATCGTGGGACTCGCGGGAACGGCGATGGCAGCGGACGACGGGCGTGGGACCTCTATTTCAGAACTGTCGTTCGCGGTACCGGCGAATTCTGTCTACTTTTAAAAGAGAAATTTGGGACTGATCAAAAGAAGTGGTATTCATCCCGTACGACACGCCCGACCACCAAGCCGATTTGCACGAAGACGTCGCCGAGACGTCGCTCCCTTCTCGTGGCTGAAGACATTGCTCGCGTAAACGTCAAGCACGACGTGTCTACTTCGAGTTGAATATGCACGCGTACGATTTCTTTACTAGGTGCGAATGTCGCCAATGCGTGGTGCTTCCTGACTTCGACCCGGGAGTGCTTTTGCTAGAGGAAAATCGGCAGCAAACTTTCCAACTTACAGTTTACCGGCTGAATTATTAGTCAGGAAACAGATCTACCATTGAAGAAATGCTCCAGTGGCTCAGTGGGAACGACGTCCGCTTCGCACGCGGTAGGGCCGGGTTCGATCCCCCGTGAAACCTATTTTTTTTTTCAAATATTTTTTGATGTTTACATATTTTTTTTTACAATTATCACTGAAGAAACAAACAAAAAAATAGCAAAGATATGTTGTGGACGACACTTCGCTGAATTAAATGGTATGGGATTTCCTTTTTGACACCTGCGAACTCAATGTAATCACTCTCCACAAAATGCAAGGAGCATATAAATCAGGTAGTGTCCGCTTTCCGAGGTGCTCGTATATGTTCTACATTAATTGCAGCCAGCCATTGGTCCCGATCCCGTTGATCTTTCGGAAACTCTGTCGCACAATGCCCTTTTTTTTCCGGACGCAGGACATGTGAGCCAGCTCTTCACGCAACATCTTGGGTGTATTCTTTTCGGAGCCAATCATGGAAATTCACCACGGGCACTCACTACTCATCTCCAACTCCTCAATGTACAAAACAACTCATCTTGGAGTACAGAACAACGAGCGGAACAAACATAACTGCAAAAGAAGCGCACGCCACGGCGAACAGTTCCCGTACGCCGCATGTCGTGTCGTCTGCTACAAAAAGGAGAAAAAAAACAAAAAAAACGCACAGTTGGGTGTAGCCACGTGACTTCCGCCACTCACTCTCTTCTCTCCACTTCTCCGATCTCCGTCGGGTTTCGGTTTCGGTTTCGAGCAGTTGCGTCTTTTGACTTTATTAAAAAAATACGCTACTCTGTTGCAAAATATTAATTGGGTAGTCCTCCGACACCATAATAAAGCGCCTGGCAAAAAATGAAAAAAAAATTTTGGGGGGTGTCAGTGTCCCTTTAAGGCGTTGCATCATTTCTTGCCGTCATTGGAAAGGGCAGTGCCTGTTCCACTGCCAATCGCTCTGTAACCAGACGGTCGAAGGAAACCGAAATAGATGTGAGATGGGACGCTGCGATGATGGAAAACCTCGCCTTTTTCGCTGGCATTCCTAGTACCGATTGCCAGGATTGTGATGTCCGAGAACATGACACACCAGGATCTGCGATGTAATCTGTTGCCAGTTCGGGACCATTTTTGATGCACGGGCGGGATCGGACGCCAAGCACACCGGTCAAAGATGCATTGTGGGCACCACAGCGATGGCGACCACTTACGTTGTCTTCCTGGAGCGCAAGAGCTGGACCAGGCTCCGGCAGGCTGCGTTGCCGGAGACGGCAGCGTTCTGCACGAGCACCTTCTCTGTGCTCAGCAGCTCCTCTAGCCGGGCGTAGGAGGGACTCAGCATCGCCTGGGCCACCCCCAGCACCTGCTGGACCAGGCCCAGCCAAAGGGCAACGTCTCCGCCGTCCCGCCTGGGGAGGAAAACGAACGCGGTTGGCCACTATCCCGTCTTTTCGGCGACTTCAACTCGAACTGAACGCAAATGCGTCGTGGCTGCGAGAATTCGTCCGAGGCATTACTCGGGTGGCTTCCCGCCGCGTCAAAAGAGGATTCAGAGATACGGCGCGGAGAAGCGAGGTGCACCCGATGAGCCTTGCCTGAGCTGAAGGACCCTCTTCTTCAGCAGTTCGGGCGTCAGCCGGCCAGAGACGTCCAGGCGCACTCCTTGCTTCAGCGCAACGTCCACCAGCAGCCGGTTCAGTTCCATCAAGCACTCCTGTTTAGAACAACGTGCGCACAACCGAGTTGACACCCGCGAAGGGAGGGAAGACAGCTCATCAACGTTTGTTTTTTGCCAAACGCTACAGCAACAACATTCCGCGCTTTAGAAATAGGTTCCACGTTTTCAGTATGCATAGGGCGGCCAGTGTTTATTACGTGGAAAAACAAACCGGGAAGATTGGCGCCTAACCATAGAAAACTCAGGCTTTTGCGGAATGTGCATTTAGGTGGTGAACTTTAGCCTGGGAAATTTCAAGGTATAGTTCTCTTCTCATGATAAATTTGACCGACAAACTTGCCAAAGTGAATGGCGGACATGTTCGCAGACGACCAAGTTGGCATTCAATGTAACTTGCGCCGTCGTCTCCTCGCAGGTGCGGCGAGAGAGACACACTCTGCTGTCTGCTCGCTGCACCTATTGGGAGATGGTGGCACAAGTTATGTTCGTCGCCAACTCGGTCATCTGCGAACGTACCCCTGTTAACGCTGGCAAGTTGCTTGGTCTAACTTTCTACAGGAAGAGAATTATGCCTCGAAATTTCACGAGGTAAAATCCCCCACTTACCGTAATATCGCAAGAAATAGCCCACCTAAAATCGAAAGCAAATCGGGTAAAAATAGGGAGTTAACTAACTTTTGGTGTGCAATAAAAAAATCACAAGTTTCATTCATGAAACTTGTGATTGGAGGGAGGGGCGATGAACCGAAGATGACTGCCCTTCCCAGTTAGCAATGTTTGCATATCTTCCGTCGTGGCCAAGTAACACGTTTTCTGCTGAGGTCAGCATTGACCAGGGCCCTGCAATTATAAGAAGTGGGCTATCTCTCTATGTTTTCAAAGAAATAGCAAATCGTGCCAAAAATAGGGAACGGGTTATCTTTCGGGGGTGGGGCAACTCTCAAGATAAGGTAAACTCGCGTTCGGTAAAAGTTTGAGCTTTCCACGTGCAGGCACCGATTTTTCCAGTTTGTTTCACGGCATAAGAAACACCGAGTCGACGACCGAAAAAACGTCAGAAAAATCAGCAGATTAAAAAACTTGCCGTTATTATGTCTAAAGTGCGAGACACATGGACGGCAAAATCGTCCGATCCGACGTCCGATCCGACAGTCCGAACGCCACTCCGAATCACCGCAAGCGACAGTTTCAGACACACGCTTCCGACCTTGGATGCGAACACGACAATCCGTTCAGCTCCGCCCAGGAGATCCAAGCACTCCAGCGGGGGTTCGCGTTCACAGAACTCTGGTCCCAGATTGACGGTTTAGCTGACACAAGCGAAGTTAGAAGCTCGTTCTCGTTGGCGCGTGCATTCTTTGCCGGGGCCATCTTTCTCGAATGGGTCAGCGGGATGCACGCGTCCGGCTTCCCGTCGCCCGTCCCGTTTTCTTGTTCGTCCTGACAGACCCAGTACGTCATCATGACGTTCGCGCTAGCTGTGCTGCCATTGGCTGGACGCATCCGACAATCCGTCCGCCGTGCGAAACTATCTGGCGCGTTGGAAGCATGTCAGATCACCGATCCGACGTCTGAAGCGACCAAATTTTTCGGACCAGGCAGTCGTACTGCCAGATCAGACGTCGGATCGGATGGATTTTTCGCGCATGTGTCTCGCGCTGAAGCGAGCTTAAAAAAGCCATCAATAGTGCCTTGCTTCAGGTTACGCCCCCGCTTGCGTTTGGCCACTTTCTATGAGCTTGAGAATAGCTGCCTTCTTTTCTGGCATTATGGTCGAGTACTTTTTGCGCTTCTTGGCGACACTTCGCGGCGGCAGAACAGATGGGGCCATGACGTCCAAGCCACCGTAGTCCGAAAACATGATTCACCGAGACGAGATAAAGGTGCAAGTCCACGACAGCAGAATGGTGAATGAACAAAGCAAAATGGTAACAATATTAAAAATAATAATGTGCAGCTAGAGATAATTTTTCTTTTTTTTGTAGCACAGCGACACCTAGCAGGAGTACCCAAATGGCGCTGCCAAACCAAGCCAATCCATGTGTGGCCAACACAGAATCTAAAAAGGTGGCTTCTCGGTGGTGTTTCCCACTGATCGCTCGTGACGGTTTTGTCCGAAAAATCAAACTTTCAGACTTCCAGCTGTCTGAAACACCGGTTGTGAATATGCACCATTTCTATCGAGTAGGTCACAGTTCCTGCTTTAGGTTCAAAATATCAGACAACTAAATTATAGTGCCCGAAAAATTAGTCGACTGTATATACCGACAAACCCCAAAAGTAACTCCCAAGTTGGTTTTACCAAACTCGGAAAAAACAAAGAAGCCCCAAATTAAAGCTGCTTCTAAATAAAAAAAACAAAACACACAAAAAAATTTCACTTATGAAAATAAATCTTCACCTACATCTTTACTTTGTGTTGGCCTGTAACCTGCACCATAGAATTTACGATAAACTCTAGAGGCTCATGTGGCACTAGTGTAAAGGGGCACGTGGCAATATTGGTGAAGCCTAGTGATAAAAAGTTTAAACAATGTTGTGGCCAATGTGACCGTAGATTTTATGGCAACTGGTGCGCGTGACATGTCACGTGTGAGATAGATGGTTGATTGTAGAAGGATTCCTTGCAGGCTTGTGCGCGCTAGACGAAGGCTAGCTACGGTCACGTGATGTGGTCACGTTGGCATGGTAAGTGAGGAGAGTAAGGAGGAAAATGAGAAAGAGGCGAGGCGTCAAGGGAGCATGGCTTGTGGAGGCTACGCGGCCGACGTCATGCCCTCTCCTACCCTTCTATTCCCCCCCCCCTTGGTGCTGTTGCATTTTGAAGCGGACAGCAACCAGTCTAAATTTGACTTCCGGTAATACATTCCTATGGAAAAATGCAAATGCATTTTCTCTTCAAGCTCGATTACAAGAGGAAATATTGCTTAGTGCTGTGACAAAATAAAAAGTTTGGAATGTTTTACAATCGGATGTACAAAAATATGTGTCGGAGGGTTTTGCTTAGAAATCATGGCGTCGAAAACCGCGCTTAGATAGCCCAAGACACATGTATAATACATGTTGACGTTGCAGAATGCTAATATAGGGCACATATTTACCCATATAGTGAATGCTACGAAGCACAAAGAGTGAATCAGATTAACAAAAAACCAAAACCAAAAGGATGCTAATATATACCAAATCAAACAATCAAAACAGACGACAAAGAACGCATACTGGATTAGAAACTAACTGTGCATGAATAATCAAAATAAAACAGTAACCGAGTGTTTTTGTTCTTTCTTGCTCTTTTTGCTTTTTAATTGTGCTTTTTGCTTGAATTAATAGCTTATGTTGACATATGATGTACAACAAAGACATGGGTCTGAATTTTTGCTAACTTAAACTTCGCTCAGTAATAAAAAAAACACGATTAACTAAATAAATTACACTGTTATAATGCGAATAAAGCTACACAGTAAACATTTTAGAGAAAACCAAAACTGAGGTATCGATAGACGACAAAAGGAAGAGAAGGAGAATGTTCTTCTTTTCCTTGTCGTTCTTCTCTTCTTTGTCATCATCTGTCAAAACCTCAGTCTTGGGTTTCACTAAAATGTTTGATATACACCAGCTCACTTGCGCGCTTACATTCTGTTCATTACTACATAGTACCCGTTACGAGTAAAGAAACTACGCTGATTTCTATTATTCCCTGGCAAAGAGAAAAATATAAGAAGAAAATATATGGTGCTATGGAGAATATCACAAATTTTCTCACAGGAATACACAGGAAGACTGGAAAAGTAGACTGTTTGCTGTCTTCTTCAATTTGAAACCGGAAGTCCTGTAGACACTAGCGCCAGCTGAGCCTCTAGCGTTTATTGTAAAAACTATTCCCTGTACCTGTACCTATACCCTGTACTGAAATGTCTGCGGGGCTGCTTCATCTTATAAAACCACCCTCATTTCATTTCCTTCTCTTACTAGTACTGGGGAGTTTTCCAAATATTTAGGTCACATACACATTCTCTGGGGGTTGGAGAATCCTGTGGCCATGTCCTATTTTCTTTGACGTATGCCCAGATAAAAGCCAGACTTTTGTCCGACACTAAAACTAAACACCAAACATGTAAAAAAAAAACAAAAAAACTCCCCTTCCCCCTTCTAAAAAAAACAACATATCTGAACAAAAAAAAAAGATCTGAACCCTATTTATAAAACACAGTGCATCCTAAATGCTAGTTAAGAAACGATTTCTCAGCAAACAATAAATCTCCATCCTTGCCTTATGTTTGGTGCTCACAAGGTGGTGCATTGCCAGCCTGGAATCTTCGTGAGCAAGGCACCCGGGATACACTGCCGCCTCTGATGGAACATCCTCCCTGAGAGACAGGGATGGGTCAGTGCAGACTTGGTAAAATAAAACATACGCACTCGATTTCTAACCTCGACCCCGTTCTCGCCTATCGGCTGCAACTTCTGGTCTCCCCACACGTGCATTTACTTATTTGATTCATTTATCAATACTGTTGGCCTTCTCTTGAAGGCCATTGCAGGAGAGGTTGATAGATATTTACACAACTGCACCAATGTTGCGACAAAAAAAAATTGCACAAAGCTAAAAAGCAGATGAACACAACAAAAGGAAAGCATAATACAATATCAGCTCAACTTTGCACATATAAAAATTGAATATATAAAAAATTAACACCAGTGGTATACATTCAAACTTTTAATGACATATTTTTTAATTTTTTTATTGGGAAAACAGATGTTTTAATGAAAAATTTAAATCACATTTGATAGAGAAGTTAACAACGCACTCTGGAAGTCTTGCCACTCTGCAATTGCTTCAACAGAATAAAAATGTGAAAATATCTATACTTGTTTGCAAGTGCGGTCTCAGGGCGCCGCCATCTTTACGATTATGACGCCTTAGCAAGGCTTTGTAATCGGATTAGGATGCGTCCAAGCGCACCCCAGCGAGCAAGATGGCAGCGCCCTCAAGCCGGACTTGCAAACGTGTATACTCCTCTTGCCGGGTTGAGCTGCTGTATTATGGCAGTCTAAATTATCGCTTATGCCCTTTTTAGATATCGTTCCAGGGTGATTTTTAATTATCTAACAATGACATTGTCCGATTCCAAGCCAATCCCTCGACAGTTCTGCTTTAGAAATAGCAAGATTACCATCCTATAGGTTGACCTACTCATTTATTTAGTAATACTAGCACTTACATTCAGAACTTTAGCAGGGTCAGAAACCTTCAACATGCTACTGGTCACGGAACTCCTCCGTAACACTGCGGGGGAGCTTGGTACGCGACCACGTGTGGCTCTAGTATCAACGAGGGGGATAAGAGTCTGGCAGCCAAAAAGTGATATCGGAATTTCGAAGCCACTCTGAACGATCCACCAATAGAATGTGGTGATGCGTCATCGAACTGACAGCGTCTCTCGTTGCCGTAAGCGTCTTCAGCTCTGCATATTCGGTCAACGGATGAATCTTGCTTTGAGTGAGCTTGCCGTGAGACAAAGCCCACATGCCTGCACAGCGCACAGCAGCCAATCGCTGTCATTTAGGGAAAGCGCTCGGGGAATTACGAGGAGCAAATGACAACTGAACTGGAAAGGTAACCCATGCTGGGAAATGAGCGTGACTGTTTATATATGGTCAGAACCTGAGTGCAGATTGCAGCTTCAAGCCCAAGCATTAGTGATACCTTAAATTCGTAGGATCCTTCCACAAAGTGCGACCACTCGTTCTCACGGCACACGCCATGGGAACTATGGTCTGTCCGAGATTCATTTTTCAAAAGCTGCTAAAATGCACCAGAGCTCTTCCGTGCATTCCTTGGTGCTTTCACCGGTTGTGACAGTTAAGAAACCACCACTGAAAACGCCTAGCTTAGCCAAAAGCATAGGTAGAAAGCATGACACAGTTAGCATCTTCGGTTTCACCAGTTTCTTCTCTCATGTCTCAAACACAATCATCAAAATAAGTACACTGGAATCTGCCCAAGCGTGGCACAAACCTCAGTGGTAAAATTCAATGTTGGAGACTGAATTCCGCGAGGAAAAAACATGGGTGTTTTGTTTGCACGAATGGTGTTGCGCAACATATGCATACAAGAACTATGCCCCGTTCACCCCTAAGCCGACAGTGCGGTGAAAGCTACGTTCTCGCTGCACCAGTTATATTTCTATCCTTCGCCATGCGATCACGCTCCTGCCCATACCCACGCACAGAGAGCAGGGTCAGGTGACAAAAGAAGGCCGGCGACCGGTTCGGCAAGCACACAGCTTCCACCGTACTGTCGGCTTAGGAGTGAACGGAGTATGCGGAGAGAACTCACGGGGCAAGAGGAGATGAGAGTGCACAGGAACAGCAGAGTGTCGAGCTCAGACTGGAAGGAATAGCAGGTAGACGCACAGGCCGGTTGCCTTTGTAGCTCTTCACTCTTCGAATGCGTTCGGTGTTCCAACATGTGACGCTGTGCGAGGAGCAGACGACGCTTTCGTTTGCTGTCACTCGAGGGATACAGTGGGTAAGAGCACAGGCAGCTAGCCCTTGCATCCACCCACTAACGCTTCCGATCAGAGCTCAGCGCTCCTACGTCCCCGCACACTCTCATCTCTTTGAATCAATGATGCAGAGAATACATGCCCGTCTCTGGCACTCACTCAACGGAAGGAGAGGAGCAGAGGAGGCGCATGTCCACGCACACATCCAGGTTGTGGCCTGGCCAGGTTGGCAGCACCCTCGCCAGCCGGTCGAGCAGGGACTCGCACGACGAGGTCAGCGGTCCTGCCATGTCCAGGGTCCGGTCCACAAGCACCAGGGAGACTCTCGACTCTGCTCCCTGTTCATTCGTCAGTGTCATGGAGGTACGAACCTTCTGGAGGCGATGAGGCCACTGGAGGTGAAGCCAGAAGTGTGGAGGGACAGCTTTCCTTTTCGTCCAATAGCGTCTCTTGGTTTTGGGTTATCGTTGGGACCGCGTCCCTCCACACTTCTGGCTTCACTTCTAAAGGACGTCATGCCACCTCTGGAAGCTTCCTATTTTCATTGTCAGTGTACTACTACTTAGTGGAAAAAAAAAAGCGGACGAGAACAGTTTTATGTTTTGAAGCATATGAAGTGCTGTTTTCCCCGCTCAGTCCGGTCCCTCGCTCCTTTATTATCCTTTGAGCTCGGAGGAGGAGGGAACAAAAACTATTTTAAAAGAGACTTTTCAAAACCCTATCGAGCAACATTGGTGGCCGCCATTTCTCGGGAACGAGGCACCCGATCGGATCCGAGTCCTTGCCAAAGGCACTCATTCTCGATCTGAGCCGTGCAGAGTGCATGCCGAACACTGACGCAGCCCGTGTATGCCTAGGGTGCGTGCCCGAACGATGGCGAACTCGGGTAATTGATGGCGCACAGTTTTGAAAGGGAGTCTATTTGCGATAGCGTTTAGGAGCTTGCGCCGCAAAAAATTTAGCGTCGGCGGGATCTTAAAATTTCATAATGCAATGCATGCCGCCACATGTGAGGTCACACTTGGGTGTGACGTCATGACCCGATCGACCTGCTAAATTTTCCCTCAAAATTTAGCAGAAAAGTTTCACACCAAATTTAGCAGAAAGTTATCACACCAAATTTAGCGGGTTGATAGGGTCATGTTATAGGCACACGCGACGTCATGTGTCATGTGACAAGATGTCACACGTGACACTACGGATTAGGCCATGCACACAGGCTTTGGGAACGAGCAAGGGTTAATATGAGACGGCTTTGCGAACGATGCCCGATAATGCTATCGTGTTTCACTCTTAAAAGGACACTGACACCCCCCAAAAAAAAAATTTTATTTTTTGCCAGGCGCTTTATTATGGTGTCGGAGGACTACCCAATTAATATTTTGCAACAGAGTAGCGTATTCTTTTAATAAAGCCAAAAGACGCAACTGCTCGAAACCGAAATCGAAACCCGACGGAGGTCGGAGAAGTGGAGAGAAGAGAGTGAGTGGCGGAAGTCACGTGGCTACACCCGACAGTGCGTTTTTTTTTGTGTTTTTTTTCTCCTCCCCGTAGCAGACGACACGACATGCGGCGTGCGATGCGGCGTGCGGGAACTGCTCGCCCTGCGATTCTTTTGCAGTTATGTTTGTTCCGCTCGTTGTTCTGTACTCCAAGATGAGTTGTTTTGTACATTTAGGAGTTGGAGATGAGTAGTGAGTGCCCGTGGTGAATTTCCATGATCGGCTCCGAAAAGAATACACCCAAGATGTTGCGTGAAGAGCTGGCTCACATGTCCTGCATCCGAAAAAAAGTGGCCTTCTGCGACAGAGTTTCCGAAAGATCAACAGGATTGGGACCAATGGCTGGCTGCAATTCCTGTAGAACATTTACGGGCACCTCGGAAAGCGTACGCTACCTGACTTATATGCTCCTTGCATTTTGTGGAAAGTGATTACATCGAGTTCGCAGGTGTCAAAACGAAAATCCCATACCCTTTAATTCAGCGAAGTATCGTCCATAACATTTGTTTGTTATTTTTTTGTTTGTTTCTTCAGTGATGATTGTAAAAAAAAAAATAACATATGTAAACATCGCAAAATGTTTTGGGAAAAAAAAATAAAGTTTCACGGGGGATCGAACCCGGTCCCACCACGTGGGAACCGGATGTCCTTCCTACTGAGCTACTGGGACATCTCTTTTCTGGTAGATCTCTTTCCTTAGTAATAATACAGCCGGTAAACTGTAAGTTGGAAAGTTGGCTGTCGATTTTTCTCTAGCAAAAGCACTCCCGGGTCGAAGTCAGGAAGCACCACGCTTTGGCGACATTCGCACCTAGTAAAGAAATCGTACGCGTGCATATTCAACTCGAAGTAGACCCGTCGTGCTTGACGTTTGCGCGAGCGATGACTTCAGCCACGAGAAGGGAGCGACGGCTCGGCGACGTCTTCGTGCAAATCGGCTTGGTGGCCGGGCGTGTCGTACGGGATGAATACCAATTCTTTTGAAGCTGCCCATTATGCGAATTCTGTCGGTAGACAGAATTCGCCGGTACCGCGAACGACAGTTCTGAAATAGAGGTCCCACGCCCGTCGTCCGCCGCCATCGCCGTCCCCGCGAATCCCACGATACGCGAAACGACGAACGCACAGAATGCTTCCGGTTGTCTGTGGAACCTTTTTTTTTCAATCAACGTATTTACAGCTTTTTAGAAGCCACAAAAAATGGGTTTCATATTTTTTTCTATTTTTAATATTGAGTGTGTGCCTCCAGTGACCCACGACTTTGATTAAATTTGGTGGTCGCATCGATACCTTAGAAAACGGCCCGTGACCGCGAAAAAGAGAGTGAGCGAGACTCGAACCGGCCAGTTCTTGATCGGCGGTTTTCGGGCGGAAGGAAACCGAATTTCGAGCCGCCAATTCTGTTCTGGGTAGTTGAGCTCTCATATGTCACGTACAACTAAAAACCTCGGCGAGCATAGATACTCTGTCAGTGTCCCTTTAAAGGTGAAGTATAAGCGTCCTCCAAGTTTCTTTTTTACTATTAGGAGGTTCTAACGGGTCGTGTCAGTGGCAAATGGTTCCCAAATCTTAAATGCGAAATGTTAGCAAATCAAAAGACAGGTGAATCCATCTTAACAATGAGGATGATGATGTGCCGCTAAGTAGCGGTGCGCTCCGCAGCACGGTGCTGAAACCAAGACTACCAGGGCCATATTTACCCCATTTACTGGTTGGTATTTGCAGAGGTCTCGAGCGAGGTAAATTAAAATCAGTTCGAGAGACCACGAAGGTAAGAAATGCGCATACTATCTTCATGAAGGGAAACTATCGTTCTCTTCACGCTTCCCCTACTTGCATGCAGTAAGAAGGGCGGCTCGAGGCACACATTGTTCACAGCATTCCCAGTTGCTTGTCACCATGAGCTATCCTAAAAAAAATTAGATTCATTCTTTCAAACAAGATAAACAATACCAGAGTGGAAAATCACTTCTTAGTTTTCATTTCTCTTTTTTCGATCAGTACTCGATAAGCTAGCTTTCCAATATGAATCTTCCGATGTAAAGTGATGCATCCGCAGTCTATGCTTCCATCTCTGCAACATCTATTTGATCTCTCGCGCCACCCTCCCTGTGGCTCTCTCACCTTCCTGTGACCCTTGGAGAGACGGGCCAGTTCTTCCCCCACGAGCCGAGACAGGGGCCCCAGGGAGAAGGTCTCCTCTCTCACCCGGAGGACTTCGAACAGCGAGTTGAGGTTGCCTATCAGGGACTGAACAGACATGCATTCATCCCAGTTACTCCACCCGGACACAAATGGCTACGACGGTCGCCGACAGGTTGAGGACGGCAGAAAGGGGCATTGGCCGTTTCACCTCTGGTGCGAGTACCTCCGACGATATCAAGCGTGTGCAGCCAAAGCACACTGGAAGGCAGCGAGAGTGTGCTCACTGCCTTCCGCCACGCTTTCTCATTGTGCCGATCTCGCTTTATCAGCGACTACGGAGAGGACGATTTGCCTTTTCTGACTCGTGGCACTGCTACTGCCCAGCGGTGCAACAGAGTGCAAAAGAACACGCGCTCCTCCGAGTGAAGTCCGCATATCAAGCCAGTTGTATATTTTAGAGGAGCACTTTCTGGCTGTCCCAGATTACAAAATCACCCTGAAAAATTGGCGCCTGGACCCAGCCACCCGTAGTTCTAAAGCACGAGTTCTCAAACTGGGTTCGACCCCATGAGTAAGCTCAGGGGTTCCCCGAGCATTTCCTCGACTGTCCCTGCTCCTAAATAAAAGTGTTTTTTTTTTTCTCTTTTATATCAGCTTTTATATTAATGCATAATTATGCGCTACACATCACCTAGTAAGTGCATTGTTTACACGGTCTGTGAGCCCCTGCACTGCTTCCCTAAGTCAGTGCCGAGACTCGAAGGAGTTCCCCGGATATCAATCAATGGTTACGGGTGCTCCTCGAAAAGGAAATAGAAAGTTCCAGAGGATGCATTTTGTGTGGGAGAATTGAAGTGACACACTATCTTGGCAATACCAGAAAATCAAAACCCCTGCCAATATAAATGTCTCCAATGAACAAACAGTGACTTAACCCCTTGCCTTCTAATAACGAGCATTACTCGTGCCAACTCTTATGAACCGTAAAGCCCGACCACGAGTGTGACTCGCGCTTCGGTTTCGGCGCTTGTTTGGCGCGCTGTATGGCAGATGGCTAAACCACCCCTGTTGCTCCATTTACCTTGGGCAGTTAGCTTGTTTGTTTTGCTGTTTGACAGAAAGAGAACACTACATTTAGCCAAGAAAGAAAAAGCAGTCACTTGTGAGCGTTCACGCTAAAACAACATGGCTCTAGTAAAGGACGACGGGTCCTTCGCCTTTCCAATTTTTAGGAATAAGACAATAATTTGATGGGCAGTGACGGGAGTGACGCAAACAATGCGAATCCTGCCTAATTCGGGACTAGATGTCCCAATCTAGAGCAACATATGACACCTGGAAGTCGAGGAAATATTTCTGTCCTATTTTAATGCAAATTACCTATTTAAAATAAAATTTTACTGTTCGTTCCTTGAAGAAACAAAAAAGAAATAGGAAAGGGGTTAAACTCATAAATTTGGAAAGTGGCCGCAAAATCAAAGGTTATTAGGTCAAAATTGTTTTTTCTACCACGATTGCATGCAGTGTGCACGAGCGATGCACGCGACATGCTATTTTTCGTTGTGTAACTATGATCCTATGTAACAGTCAAGGACGGGTCTTCGCGGCTTCACTTCATGTTATATTAGAACAAAAATGTAGGCATTTTAACCGGAAACATTGAGGAAGGGGCTGACCATTCCGGCAATATCTCACACTGCCTGGTGATAGTTATACAAAAATGTAAAGGGGAAGGAAATTGGCTTAGATGGGCAAGGAAAGGAATTATACTTTTGGTTTCAAGGCTAGGTGGCACAAGCTTGCTGTTATAAAGGGTACAGCCATTAGTGTCCATCCATCCATGCCTCAACTATCAATATTGAAAATCACATGCCAAAGAGTCAAAAGTGTTGCACAGAAAACTGCATCCCTTACCTTCAGGTCAATCTGCATCTCTCGGGGTAGAGCTCCAAATTCTAGCAAAGGAGGTCCCTGGTTTGTGTTCTGTTGGCAAAAATTTTAAAACTCAGTGTACCACATTCACTACAAAAGCAACTAGGCCCAGTGTTACCAGACGATAGAGTTGGTTGTGCATCAGTGGTTAAAAACCTACCTACAAAAAGTTTTCTCGCAAGCTGGAAAACTCTTCTCGCCACCCCTCCCATTTCCCCCTCTCCCACTGCTGTCTTGACGGAAAGGAAGTCTTTTTTGTTGGGGCTGGATGAGCCAGGATAAGCTTCTGGCTCATCCTGCCCCAAGATATGCAGCAACAAAAGGAGTCCCCCGCCTTCAAGATAAGAGAGGGAGAGGGGGAAATGAGAAGGGTGGCAAGGGGGATTTTCCTACCTTGGGGGAAATGATTTTGCAGGTCGGTCTCTAAAGGAATACTTCGGTGAAATTTGAAATATACCCATCGTGTTCAGAAGTAGGCTGAATTTGATCCAAAATATCAATAAATGACAATTGTCTGTTTATATCTTGAGCCTGATGGCTGTATTTTTTGTTATAAATGGCCCACGCTGGCAAGCGATGAGACAGCAGCCAGTGAAAAGCACGCAACATCCGGCGCAATCGTGACTTGAATACAAAAGGAGTGTAAAGAATAAGGCGCAGTGTTCACAATTGCAAATCATGTTGGTTCATGTAATTTTTGTACTCCTCATTGGGATGGAACTTCCATTCTGTGCAACGAAAAAGATTTGTTTAGAAGGCTAATTAAAGGAGCTGTGCAACGATTTTAACGTTGAAATAATTGGCGTCTTCTACTTTTGGCATTGTTCACCTTGTCACAAATGACAGAAAACACACCTCCTTTTGTCAAAATGTTGCGATTCAGCTGCGTAATAGCGAGGCAAAAATTAGAATATTCCCCGACCTGCAGCCGCGAGTGGCGGCCATGCGAAACATGCGGCGTGACGTCAATGGGGGTCATGTAGAAAGATAGCAAGTTGTGCGAATACCTGCTCGATAAAAGGTAACTTTTCTATAAATCTTGTTGTTCCAACATAAATATAAATGCGTCCAAAACCTGGTATCATCGACAAAACTTTCATTATACGGGGTTTTAGTGGCGCCATCTATCCTAGGTCCACAAAACCGTGAGCTCTATCTGCTACCGCGAACAGCCACCAGAAGCCAGAGGTGGAGGGGAACGGGGCCGGACGGGTATGGCCAAACCCAGATGAGACTTTCCTCCTTTGACCATATTGTTCGCACTGCGCCTGCCAGCACGTGGTCACGCGGTCGTGAGTGGATGAGTTCTCGCTGCTCACTGATGGCTCTAGAGAGAGGACTTTACCGGAACACTGCGCCTACCCCATCAACGTCACTGCGCACGTGACCCGGAAGACGATGTATGAGTTGAGAGGTGGCAAAAACCTAGATCTTTTTCATTTCTTTTTTTTAAATAAAAACTAGGGTATCCAGGCAAAATCTGTTTTCTGTAGTTAACTTCAGAAGCGTCAGGCATCAACTTCCACAATTATTTAAGCAAAGCCCTGAAATTGTTGCACAGCTCCTTCAAGGAGACTGTGTATCTGCGAGCGGTGGAATTGTGTAAGCCAGCCGTCTTTGGTTATCAGTGATCAGATGAAAGAGTTTCTGCTTGTGTGAGGGGGGCTTGAAACTTGTGGTGGGGTGAGAGGGGTGAAACGGAAAGAGATTCGGAGGTCGCCTTGCGTGTTGGACCATGGGACTGTTGTTGTTGGGGTGGCGGTTCCCTTTCCAAAAGTGTGGAGCCAGGGAGTGGCTTATGCTGTCTGGGTTAACTCCCTGGTTATCTTGCTTATGTGTTTAAGTTCCTCACTTCCCTTTCTCTTTCTCCATCTGTTTGGAAGTCTCTTTATTGGTGTGCTCAAATCAATAAATTTCAGCTGAGTATGAGATTTTGTTGTCTTTGTACGTTTTTTTTTATTGTTCCCCATCTCAGGGTCCGCAATTCATTACCAGCTCGCCTGCCCTCATCACTGCTTAAGAAATTGGTGTGCCTGATGCAATACTGCTCCCTTGAACCAGAATCGAATAAGAATTAAGCGCCAAAATTTCGTTGTAGTATCCCTTTAAGGGGCGACGCAGGTCTTTAAATGTATTTTTTTATTTATCAACATATTTCTTTTCTTTTTTTAATTAGCATGCAGATATGTTTTTTAATGGTGATTTCATATCAGGAGTGGACCTTTTTCGAGTAACGAGCGTTGTCTGGGGAGTTGTCTGCGAACTACAATAGAAGAGCAGCCCAACATGCCTCCCTCCGCCCGTCAAAACACATTGGCATCGTGCCGTTCTATCAACTAAAAATATTGGCAAGTTTAATATAAACACATCGACATATGTTCGTGGTTGACTTATTTTAGAGTAAATAAAATAATTCGAAAGCCGTTTTTTGTGTAATAGACCCTTCCCGAAATTCAGTCTGGCCACTTTGATCACTATCATCCTCATCGGAAAAATGGCATATGTGCCATACCAATGGCGGCTTTCTATTTACTGATGAAGGAACATGCTGAAGATACTCCTAAGCTGAGGATTCGAGGCCTATACATTCTAGACGTTAGCACGTTGCAAAACCGGAATTGAATGCAAGCGCTGCGTAAGTGTTCATTTCTCTAATTCGAGCCCAGTGAACCTGTTACTGGCACAAAATCGACTTCGAAACCCCTTGACTTATAGAACTTTATCAAGGCGTCTGTCTGGGTTGGCGCTTCATTCTGACTGGTTGCATCGTTGTGGGAATCGAGACTGGATGAGATGATCCAGAAAAACCTGTATAGCGAAAAGTTTATTCTCGTCTGCCGTTGACATGCAAAAGTGACGGTGCCCGATAAAATACTGCAAGCTACGGGTTCATTGCCGCCATTCGTATGGCAAAAGTTAAACCGCCATTTCAGCCACCAGATGGCGCTGAATTTCGGAAAGGGTCTATTCATACTTCTCGTTTTTGCGGCCCCGTTGAGCGCGCTTCTTACCGAGCGGCAGTGCACTGCAGAGAAGCAACACTTACGGGGCTCACTTTATCGGGTGTCGCTTCTCCGCAGTGCATCAATGCTCGGTAAGAAGCGGGCTTAACAGTGCTAATAGTCAACAATAGACAAGTTTTTTGCCAGATGAACAACCTTAATTTTATTTTAGTGTGTCCTGTGCTGTATAAACAGTCCAAGATAGACAATGTTTCTGAGAGATGAATAAACTTTTGTCATACATTTCCCCAATGTTCCATGTGTGGCATACCTGCTTATGATTACTAGGCCCATGTACAGGAAATCATGAAGTATCTGCTTTGTATATGTAGCCTTCCATATAACAAATTATAATTATAACTTGCATCATATTTAGATGAATTTCTAATAATTCAGACTTTTGACAATTCAAACCGAATTCGTGGCTTCCTGGAGTTTGAACTAACGAGGGTCTGCAGTAGTTCCCCTGTTATTCATCCCCTCGTGACTTATCGTTCGTGACACTATAACTTAATTATTGATTCTACGTTGTTGTAGAACCTCCGTACTCACAAAATGTTCCTGGAGAGGTGGGAACACGTGGCAAAACTGGGGCATCACAAAGAACTTTGAAGTGATGTTTACCACGGAAAGCGGGACATACATGACTTCAGCTGTGAGGGTCTGAAAAAGAAGACGGTAATACGTGGCATTCAGAGATTTCTTTTAACATTTTCAGGGCTTACAAAGGCTTATACGAATGAACATAAAACTTCTTTTTAGTGCAGATATAAGTGCACATTTCCAAACTTTCAAGTGGCAGAGAAGATGCCCATCTTAATTTATAGCAGAGACGGTGAAGCACTAGCCAGAATGGTGACTTCACTCGTAATGATTAGCCTATAGACCTTTTACCAAATTACCCAAGCATCAAAAAGAATGCCGGGAACGTAGGTACACGCGCTGGACATGCTGGCATCTTCAGCTCTAAGTGCTTGGAAGTAAAAATCTAAAACAAAAGGCATTTTGCGCATTCCAAGGACACTTTTTTTTTTGTTATTTACTTGAAAACTTTTCCATAGAGAAGGCGAGCACATGCAGCGCGTGGACCTACATTAACAACATTCTCTTTGATGCTTGGGTAGTTTAGCGAAAGGCCTATTTGACTTTATACTTAACGTCAACCCTTTTGTCCTTCATTGTCGAGGCTAGAGTAGCTTCCACAGTGCTGCAGCCCCGCACTGCCGCGAGAGCACGTGCACGTGACTTCCTCGTGCATCAGCCTCGACAGCCTTGGGGCACTCCAAGTCTCATTATCCTAGACGACGTACTAGCCCAAAATACTTGACGTAGAGTATAGCTTTTTAAGCTATACTCTACGTCATTTTTTGGGTTAAGGAAATAAAGAAACACTTTTAAGATGCAGTCTAAAATGTGTCGCTTTAAAGAAACACTGAACCTAGGAAAAAAAATTTTTTCTTTTCAACCTGGTTAGGACAAACACGTCATAAAAAAAACGATCATAAGAAATAATTTTGTTTGCCCCGTTATTTTTTTTTTTTGCTACAATACGAATATTTCGATTTGCGGGCAAAACCGAAACTGTACATCTGTGGGGTGATGATGATAGCGTTTGTACCCAATTAGTGTGCACTCTGATGGCTTGTAGACATTTGCGGAATCGCAGGCTAATCTGCGGAGAAATTGACGCCGGGAGGGGGAGTCCCCTTGAGGCCAATGGAATATTCGATCGTGGGAGCAATCAATCCGGGACCGATTTTCGCTGCGCAGAAAAAGTTTCCACGCCGCCGCAGTTAATCGGGATGCACGGAGGTAATGGCCCTTGCCGGCCGAGTCGTCGAGTCGCTTGAGTTGCAGGGTTGCAGGGTGCCGAGTCGTCGAGTCACTTGAGTTGCAGGGTTGCCGGAGTTCCCAAGTTGGGCAGCCGACGCTGTCTTGCCGGTATCGCTGTATTGGCAGAAATACCTGATAGAGACTAAATTATTCAACCCCATTTGACAAGAGGCATCTGAGCAACGAAGACAGTGCCTACAAAGAAGATCTGTGGAATAAAATTGGTGTGAGTGCTACATACACACGTCTCCGTTTGCTCGTTTTTTTATTATTTCCTTACCGTATCGCCGAGAGAATGTTGGGCATTTTTTCGGCACTGCGGGTTAGCGTTAACTGCAAGAGGAAGCCTGCAAGAGCATTTTTTTTATCACCATTCGAGCCGGGGGCAGTCTGCGACCGGAGTTGCACGAAGGCGGCAGGTAAAAATAAATGCTATTGGCGCTGTTTTTTTCTGTGCAGTAGATTCTGTCGGAGACAAGAGACTTTTCCGCAAGTGTGAACGCGGCATGAGGAAATACTGAGGTCTGGCGAACTTTGCTATATCTCAGTGTCGCTATCATCATCATCCCACAGGGGTACAGTTTCGGTTTCGCCCACAAATAAAAGAATTTGTATTGTAACATAAATATTGGGCAAAAAAAATTTGTTTCTTCGACAAACATGATTTTTGAGACATGCCTTTCCTAACCAGGTAGAAAAATATTCATTTTCCCCCTAGGTTGAGTATTTTTTTAAGAGTACTAAGGACAGGGTGTATTCATGCTCCTAAATGTGATAGTATTCCCCAAGCTGAATTGAAAGAGAGAGCACCACAGCAGTCAATTTGAGTTTTCCCGCATAAAAAAATTAAAGCACGAAATAAAAACCCAACAGACATTTCGTATTCCCAGCCAAGCAAAGATTTTTTCCTAAGCATTAGAAAGTTTTAGTATATCGTTCCGACACTCCCACTACGCTATAAGCTAGAGTGATGACGCTACTGCGCATGTGCGATGCTAGCGGAGAAGTAGCGGAGCTGCGGAAGCTAGCGGAGGTGCGCTATTTTACGAGACTTGCAAGAAATGTAGCATGCGTAGCGCAGTGCCCAAGCGTGGGTCTCGCGAGGACAAGTCTTGGCGGGACTAGGGAGAGCCAGAAAGATGGCTGTCCCGCCGCGCCTGTCCGGTCTGTGCGCTTCGAGAGCACAGTTCTGAGGGGCGAAGTATATCTTGCTGCTGCGACAAGTGGCCACGACAAACCCGTTCCAGTACTGCAACAGGTAGCGAATTATGGCGGACATGCTAAATACAGCCACGGGAGGGAAAAGCAAGCTTTGCAATTCGTGGTGCTGTGACCGAAGGGTGCGGCCTCCTGCTCGGCCGCTTTTGTCGCGAGGACAGAACCGACCAAGGAAGAGAGCGGACGGGCGGATCTGAGGGACTTTCGTGGCATTTCATTTTTGGTGAATAGTGAGAAAGATAAAAGAAGGACCGATCACAACGACATAACATAGGCTGTCATCTATTTTTGAAGATTTCTTTCAATGGCTGTGGTGCTCAACTGATATTGGATTGCCTTGGACAGCTTGTCCGTCAGCTGTATTCAATTACAAACATAATAACACTTACTTAATAAAAAAACAAAAAATTAGCACTTTATTCGGTAAAGGAAGAATACTCTATTAAGATTGCGACCCTAATAAAAAGAATGCAAAGGACTGCTTTACAAACTTTTGTTTTACGCAAGCCTTGGTGCCTGAAAGAGCCGCTAGTGGCGTTGAGTTAGCTATCGTAACGCTGTAATGTGTAGCGGTCTGCAAACATTGTACTAAAACTTGAAATGGTGGTTCCGCTACGCTACATACAGCGGAGGACGTAGTGGATTGCAGATAGCATAGCTAGAGTGACTGAACGATCTACAAAAACCCTCTATTATCCGAGACAAAATTAGAACCGCTTCCCGGGGTTTTAAGCCAGACACTCGGCGAGAAAGTCGGCGAAATCGCTGACCACTACGTTTGGCTGGCGCAGTGCTCGACCTCGGTGCCGGCCAATCGCAGCACGGCACTGGCAAATTACAGCGGTTGGTGGTCGTCCAACTTAAAGGCCCTTGTCTCTCTAGTTTGGTGGCCTACACTTACAAACAGCTCCCAAAGAGAGCTCACCGGGTTTCCCATCCAGTCAAGCAGCTGCTCCTCCGCATCCAGAAACGCTTGGGGCCCTCCTGGTCCCTCCGCTGAGCCGTACCTGGAAAATCGAGGGGCCCTGTCTCAAGTCGAGACTGCAAGTGACACACCGGCTCGAAACTGTGTTGGACGAGTAAAGGTATAGGGCCTGCAACGCGCCTCCAACCAGCGAGTCTACCGCGTCTTAAAAGGTGTTCCCTCGATTTCGGAACGGTGATGGCGTCGAAGTGTTGTGCTGTCTACGGAAGCTTTGGCAGCCAGGAGTCGGGACACTGCGACGACGGCGACACTCACATTCGCTTGTACGTTTTGTTGGGACTTGTGGCCCAAACCACCGGGATTGCGACATTCGGCGGTGCGACACACCGGCTTCTGCGACGTCGTTTGCTGCCACTACGGGACCACTTTTGAGTGTGGGCTAAATGGGACGTCAAACACACAAGCTGAAGACGTGTTCCGAGCATCAAAGCAAGATCATCATAGATTATGACTAGGTTATGACCGAGCATCATAGATAACGACTAGGGTTCTGCCCTTTTGGCGTTTACGAAAAAACCTCAAAAATTAAACCCCGAGCTGGTTCTTCTTAAAATCGGGATCAAGAAACCCCGAAATGGAGCTGTTTTCGAAAAAACAAAAACCCGAGCTTTGGTGAATGAAATTTACATCTACGGCTTTGCTTTATATTGACCTGGAACACAAGCAGCACCGAACTGTCTGCAATTCCAGTTCTTCGTTTGGTAGCCACGCCCCTCACCTTCTTTCCTTTTCACGTCGGTAACCGAAACGTTTTCCGAGCGTTCGGGTCGTGCGCACGTCCCGTTCGGGTCGTGCGCACATCCCCCACAGATCGGGAAATTGGATGTCCGCGTCCCATTTTCCACGACAACGTAAGCCCCAACAAATGGCAATTTTTCTTTTTAGGGGCGAAGCTCCTCAGGGTCTAGCCTTGTCCGTCCGACATTCGTGCTCACATCGATCTTGCTGGTGCTCGTGCTCGTGATCGCGAGCTCACAAGCTCACGTGCTCGTGTAGAAAAAAAAAAAAAAAAAGATGAAAAAAAAAAAAAAAGTTTGTGCAGTTGACAGGATTCGAACCTGTGCGGGGAGACCTAGTCCATCGCCTTAACCACTCGGCCACGACTGTGGGACGAGTAGGGGGCTCTGAGATGTGGTAGTAACTCAAGAGCTGGGGATGTCATGGATGAAACGTTGCATATAGCCGCTCAATGTCTATACAGGAGAGGGCGCTGTGGTCAAATGCATACATAATCGCGTTAAACTTTGCATGCATTGGCTCAACGTTTATGGACGAGAGGACGCTGCGGTCAAATGCTCAAATGCGTATATAACCATGTTCCATACCACACATTCTCTTTCTGACATGGATGAAAACGAACGAAAGGCTGGGCATGCTCCAGCTCAGCGTCTACGCCGACAAGCACCACCAGAGCTTCGCCCCGATCAACATCATTCACCACATGGAGATGCGGTCAATTTTTTTCCGGCACCAAAAATAGACGCAGGAAAACACCAAACATGTTGGAAAATATGAAGCACAAAAAAATTCCCTCCCAAATTTAGAAAAGAAATAATAACTAAGCCCCGAGAACACAAAACTTCAGTCATAACCTCTCACGACCTTCGTAAGAATGACGCCGACCCAGGTTGATAAACTGTAGCCACCGACGGGCAAGAACAATAGGGAGGTCTTTCAGTGGTCCCGTCTTGGGTGCAAGCGTTTTACCATCGATAATACTTAAGAGCCTCGCGATCCTCAAATGTGCATACGCAGCCAAAGCAAGGCGGAAGTTAACGAGCACGTCCTGGAGGCGGACAGTCCCAGAGAGACGTCCCGCCGCTTTCATTCTGTCGGCGACTGCGGCGACAACCCGAAGAGGCGCGGGTTCTCAAACTTTTCTATCTTTCTCGAGGAACCCCTCCCGGTCGGCATTGACGCAATAAAGCGGCAGAGAGGTCTACAAACCTCGTAAACAATAATGCACACACTAGGGACTGTCCAGCTCGTGGTTCTGCATCAATGGGTGGCTTTTAGATCTGCTCAAATGTCACTCAAATAGGGAAAACGCTTTTCTTCGTGGCACCCGAGCTCCCAAATTTTTTCTTGATCGCGCCGATCAAAAAAAAAATTTGGAAGCTCGGGTACGGACCTTTTGAACACGGGCCGACGAAAGCGTGCGACGAAATAATAGATAACTGGAGATATTTCCGACTGTGGCGACGTTCGGGGTCGAATTATGCGACCTTTCTCTGGCCATTTGAGCTTTTTTCCTCTGGTGAAGATGTCATTTAGAGAGTGAGAGAAGCAATCACCTGGCCAGCCTCTGGGCTGCGGGCGGACAGGAGGTGATGACGCAGCACGAAGTGAACACGCTCGCCCGCACGACGGAGGACAGGGTGGAGAGGGTGCGTTCTGCCACGGGGCTCGACACCAGGAACAGGGCCTTGGGCTCGGACGCCGACCCACGCTGCGAGAGTGGCACGCTGTTCTTTGCTTCATACCAACTGGCGGACTGTCTAGTGGTGCAACAGATAGCAAACGGGGGCTCCAAGTTGAATGATCGGCGAGATCTCCGACCGCCGCAATTGGCCAGAATTAACAGTGGCCCATCGCGGCGGTCGGAGATCTCGTCGACTTTCTCGCTGAGTGTCTTGGAGCACCAAATCAGGATGACGTGGTACATCTATCTGTCTGTATAGTACTCCAAGCAGACGGGGTTACGACCACATAAACAGTGATGAATTAGAATTAGGGGTTGATCGTACGGCGTGATGCATTTAGACAGCCGGAGCTTTTTTGTTTATTTTTGTTTACGTTCACGCGGTCACTAAATGTTTCTGCAAAATTTAGAGGGGAAACTGAATTGGTGCATAAGGGACGTAAGAATTTTTCCGCTAAATTTAGCGGGGAAGCTGTTTTTGTCTGTAGGTCTTGTGACGTCGAACCACATGACATCAATTTTCTCACAAAATTTAGTGAGGGAACTGAATTGGTGCATAGGTCACATGACATAAAGTTTTCTGCTAAATTTAGTGGGAAAGCTGAATTCTTCTATAGGTCCCATGACGACAGGTCAAGTGACATCAATTTTCCTGCAAAATTTAGCGGGGAAACTGAACTTGTGAATAGGACAGGTGGCAAAAATTTTTCCGCTAAATTTAACGGGGAAACTAAATTTATTTACGCTCACACCATCGCGAAACCGGGGGGACGGGCCAGTAATAGCTGCCCCTGTAATAAGCAAGGACGCACTTTGGAGGTCTAAATACTAGATGAAGTGCATTGCTGCATACAATGTAGGGGTCACCAGATTTTGAATCTAATGATAGCTTTAAAGAAAAAAAAAAGAAATTTCATTGTAGTGGGTTTTGATCATGCCAATGGGACATTCTATGACATGTATATGTGACATCAATCTGCCATATGTTCAGCCCCTTCTGTCTGTTGCCTTTGCAAGCAGGAAAATGTGCAAAGAACTCCAGATAGTAGCTATTTCTACAGGTTCCAACATTTATTGACATCCCCTTTTCTAAGCCGGGTACACTGCATGTTTTATCCGTGACGGCACTTAATAATATGTTTGCAGCATAAAAAAAAAAAAAAAATATGTGTTGCTAGTATGTTTAGACAAGCCTTGATGTTAGTATGCCTCCATGGGTGACCGGCCCCTTAGCTGTAGATGAGAAATTTAGCTAGTGCCATACAACCGCTAACCTCGGGTCTTTAACGTGCACCACGCAGTAGTGATTACACGATCGCGTGCCGGTTCGAAACTCATCCAGATCGAAACGGGCGGGGGATGGGGATTGAAGCCAGGAGGTTCTGCAGCGCGAGCTTTCACTCCACACTCTGAACCAAGATGCGTTAGCCCACTCGGCCACCGTTCCCCTGTTTGCAGCATGTCTACATCTCACCTTATATGCCCCACAAGCCAGTGCCTGACACATGCGTTATTTCATTAGCTATGCGCTACCGACATCGAATGTCGGCAGTGGTCCTAATGACGCAACTCGACCCTGCACGTCGGTGAAAAATGTGAATGGCTTCTGGCTCATAATAGATTCAATGTTATTAAACCAATACTGGAAAGGCTGATTTTCAGGTTACATCAAGAAGCAAGGGCCATAATTAGACCCCTCTCAAAACCTCATCAAGCAACATTGGTAGTTGTTATAGATAGCGGCGCTGCCGATAACAGTTTATCAAAAGCCGCGTGTGCTCACGTGGTCCCGGCAGCTTCTAGAAAAGCAAGCGCTCTCGCTCCTTGCACTTCTTCCCACCCTTGGTTCTGGTCAAGTTGCACCATGTAGTAATAAACGCCTACCCAGTCTTCAAGCTGTCGTCTACCTTCATACCCAACAGTAGTGACCATTTTGCCTGATCCTCCAAAGGTCATTCTAGCGACACCCCACACTACCTGGTGATAGTTGCAAGATTGCAGAGGGCAAGCAAATTGGCTTAGAAGGGCAAAGGCAGGAATCATACTTTTGGTTTTTGATTTCTAGGCTAGGTGGTGCAAGCTACCACCCGTTATGAAGGCTGTAGAGACTGGGACCAGACAATCTCAGCTGGGCTGCATGGGTAAAGACCTGCGGCAGCTTTATTCATGGCCTATATACAAAACGTAACAGTAAGGCAGCATTATCTATGATAGTGTGTTAGAATCAATTAGTATTGTTAAGAAAGACACCTGCCGGTAAAAAAGTACAAAAGGTACAGCCTTTAGCACCCATCCATCCTTGGGCACATTGGGTAAGAGTCCTCACAGAATGCTGATGTGGCTCTCATGTCCAATACATGCTCGCAGTGCGTACCCAAACAATGGCAGACTCAAGCAATTGGCCTAGCAGCTACAAGACTGCGCTCACTTTTGAAAGGGGCCTATTGCCACACATCTGCAATATAAAAACTGAAAAAAAAAAAGAAAAAGTTCCGGTCAGATGTACAGTGCCCCTAAAATTAACACCGCTACACAATTGCTCGTTTGCCAAATGACAGTAGTTTAGTCGCTACTACTCCGGTGTACCCTGCCAGTTGCAAATTTCTTGGCCACTCCCCGATTTGGGTACGCTGATGAAGCTGGTCAGGTGACTGATGAACTGCTGACTTGCTTCATAATACAGTCAAACCCGTTTATAACGAACAGCAGGAAATGCTACGATGAGTTCGATATAGCAAGTAGTACGATATAGTGAAAACCATTTACAACGAACTTCCCCGATGCGTTCGTTGTAAGGCGAGAGCTTCTCTTTTTCTCTCGTCTCTTCGCTTCCACCTTGTAACAAAGTGCTAAAAATATATATATATATATTTTTTTTACATGCATGCAGATTTAGTTGTTTTAGCATATCTCCCCTTCTGAATCACTTTTCATCGTGAGCAACTGCTTTAGAAATAAAGTTTTTTTTTTTTTTCGGTGCATGTGTGCAGTGTTCTTTTGTTTCTTTTTAGCTTTCTTCCTTTCTGAATCGCTTCTCTTTGTCAATTTTGTTCGCGGCTTTAGATTTTGAAATTTTCCATCCTACTCCTTTTTTTGGGGGGAAGGGGGGGAGGGAGGGACAGGTTATGAGACGATTGTTTGCGCATTTTTTAAGCCTTCCCGGGGGAAAAAGTTTGATATAGCCAATAGGTTGTTCGTTACAAAAAGCATGTTTTACATGCATTTTTATTTAAATTTTCTGCGAGTTAGATATCAACAATAATTCGCTGTACGTGGGTTCGTTCTAAACGAGTTTCACTGTATTGTGGAGGTGCTAAAGGACTTATGATACCCCCAAAAATAATTATTTCATGGTGCAAAGCGCTAAGGTAAGGTGTCAATACACCACCCAACTAATATTTTGATACAGAGTTACTACTATGTATTTGCTGAGAAAGGCAACCAAAGTCAAACCGAAACTAGAGGACAAGTGCATGAGAACCTGATGTCAGAAACTAAAAAAGTCACTTGAGTTGTTTCACTCTTGCAGTTATGCACTCAAGTATTTTTCATCACACCACCCCGTTTTTGGTGTTTTCAATGGTCATAAAAATTATGTCTGGCAAATTATGTTTTTTGATTTGTCAGTTACATGCGTTTGTCAGTTACGTGCATTACATTCAAAGTCACAAGGCAAAAAAAGGGGTTAGCAATAGATATTGTTCAAACAAAAAAAGAAGACAGACTAACTGCAATGTCCCATTGAAAAAACAGCTCCTGTAGGGTACTGTGGCAAGTTTTCATCCAGCCATTCTTAAGACCGTTGTTTTGTTAGCTCCTAGTTTCGGCGATGTTGAATTATGACCGCCGTACGTGACAGCCGCAGTTTGCTTCAAGGTAGGCATGATTGTGGCGCACCTCGAAAAAGCAGAACTCTCTGACAGCCAGAGCACCGGCTTCGAAGAGCTTGGGGGCTCCTCCGTGCCAGTGCAGCGCTTCGGCCATGGCATTGTCCAGGAACACCACGGCATCCTTTGCTCGCGGGAGGACCTCCTCCGTCCACAGCTCTTTCGCCAGGTCGTCAAGAAGTGGCTTGTTCAGGTTCTGCATCTTTGCTTAGTCTGTGTGCCCTGCAGGGGCTTCCCCAGGAATTGAAATTAGGGGAAGTGTCTACACTTTTTTTTTTTCTTTTTTTTTTGGGGGGGGGGGGGGGGGGGGGGGGAGGCGGGAGTGGCATTGAAAATAGAGGAGTTGTAGCGAATTAAGGGGGTGCCTTCAGAAAAACAACAAAGGGGGGGGGGGGGGGGGGGGGCTGTAGGGAAATCACTGCTGCCCTGTCACCAGGTCAGAGGCCATCACTGGTAAACTACAAAATGCCGACGGAGCCATCATCATCATGATTATTATTACGTAAAAAAATAGATGGAGAGACCATCTCGTGGTCTACACATGGTCTTTATAAAAGCCGCCTCGGTGATTCCGAGACAAAAAGCCGGCTACGGATTACCAGGTGTTCGAATCCCGGCCGAGGTGCCAGTAATCTGACGGAGGCTTATTGCGGAGAAGGCGACGTGAACCCGAGATTTCGGTTGCAAGTCGAAAGCTCCAGGCGGTCGAAATTATCCTCAGTCCTTCGCTGAGGGTGCCCTTCGCTGGTCTGACACGTAAAAACCTCAAATTTGACTTTCGTGGTGTTACCTTCTCAAAACAGCTGTTCAACCGCACCTTACGTTTGCTGCGGTGTCACATCCTTTGCGTGTTCATTTGTTGTTACGCGTCAACCACGACCAACTCTCGCGTCAACACACGGTAGAAATCAGTGTTGCCAGATGGAGAAAAAAAAAGTCAGCAGATTGATCCCCAAAAAGTCAGTAGATTTGCACAAAAATCAGTAGATTCCACGAAATATGTTTTGCCATGTTTTGCTATCTTCATTAATACACACTTTAAAGTAACAATATAGAGTAGCAAATAACATGGTAATAAACACAAATAAAAATGAAAGAAAAAAAAAAGACCAGTTCTCGAGTAACTTTATATGACGGACAAATTAAAATGGCACCATAAATGTTTTTGTTTTAGTCATTATTGACTATTTCGAGGATTATTCTTTGAAATCGAGACTGAGGGCACTTTTGGGATCACAGATGAAGGCGACAGTGCGACGTTCACCTGTCGCTATTATTGAAACGAAACGGAAACAAGACGCTCCGGCAAGTGCGCGCGAACATGTCCAATGGAAGTCCTCTGCATGCTGCCATCTTTCCTTACTGGGCTGTGGACGGTTTTTGAAGCAACGCTGTTGGTCCGGAGCACTGTTGAGGCTACGCGTCGTCTGCTACGGGCTTATTTCTTTTTCGCCTGACCCAAAGTTTGCGTTCAAACGTGGAGAAACTTCATTCGTTAGCTTTTTAAGCCACCGAGGAGTAGAATTATATCATTTTCTTGCCACAGCCTGCCAAATAAAAGAAAATAACTGAAATTCGGATGTCGATCCCATGCATTCCGCCGTACGAATGAATGAAAATTGCGGCTCTCTCCGCTCAAGTCGGAGCTATTCTAGTAGATTGTATCAAAGCAGCCGAGAGTTCAGGCGCATGCGCAAACACCTCTCGCTCTGCGCCGCGGGCTGATTGGCTCACTCGGGAGAGGGACGTTACGGCGAGATCATAGACTAGCCAAACTCTCTCCATATATGGCTCTCGCCCGGATGTCACCGTCGAACCTGCCGAACCTGCTCTGGGTGAATAGATAGATGAATATACGGCTACGTCACTCGAAAAGGACGGGCTTCTGGGCCATCTAGCCAGTGCTTCGTTTTTAATTCTGGGACATTATGAGTTTCCTTTGATAGGCGACACTGGGAACTGAAGGGGTCATATAATAAATTTTTAATATGTTTACTAGAAAAAGTCAGTAGATTTTCTTGTTTTTCAGTGAATCAGTAGACCCGGAACGAAATCAGTAGATCTACTGATAAATCAGTAGACCTGGCAACACTGGTAGAAATCCTACTGATCACACATAAAGCCCCTTGATAAAGGTGTTTTCACAAGTACCGCCAACCATTGTTGTGGAAATGCGCAAGACACGTGCCGCGAGCGGGTGCTCCGCCGCCATTCGCTTCCAAGGGCCGCTCATTTCAGTGCTGCGCCGCCATTTGCTTCCAAGGGCCGCTCGAGACCTGGGCCACGTGCGCTCGCGCATTTGGCGCTACTTGCAAAGACAAACGAAAACATATCGAGGGGCTTTAATCACACAAGTTAACCAACGCGACCGATTCATTGAACACCACGCACAATTTTTTGACGATGATGATGGCAAAATTTTTAAACATTTTCTATGTTAGCTTTTACGAATTGGGTAATAATCAGCGCTACCTAGCCAGCGTGGTGGTCTCCAAGCGCCAAGCAGCGACGTCAATGGTAGTCAATGGAGCCTCCCTATACTCCGTTTCAAACATCGCGTGCAACGCTGGGAAAGCTACTGAAGTAGTGCGCATGAAAAAACACAAAAAAATGTGTTACTCCGCGAGATTTCGTGGACGAGCGGTACAAGGCGCTGCTCTGGCGATGCCGCAATCTCGTTGGCGGTGGTTCGAATCCACTTAGGGCGCAAAAGTTTTTTTTTCTTTTTTCCTCGACCTATTATTTGTGAAAGATTGTGCGTATTGCGGAAGAGCATATTTAAATTCCTTTTTTTTTGTTGATTTTTATTTATAAGAAGGTAGACTAGGGGCTAGTGTTCCGCTTGAACTTGCGCCGGCCTCGTCAAAACGGAAGAACGGTCGAGATCCAGGGCGTCTCTATTTAAAACCGTTTATTTACATGGTAGCGTGAAAATCAGAGAGTACCTTGAGAGTGTGGTGGACGGTCTTTTATATAACGAATACTGTGATTAGGGGACCGCACTGCCATTGATCAGACGGCTTGGCATTCCCTCACGTGATGTGACTTCATGGAAGTTTCCTTCAGAGTCGGAATACTCGCCGGTGTATGGAAGTCATCCAGACGGCAGTATCTCGGTGCTCTGGTGCCGGCGCCCCCATAACCGGGAGTGATTCACAATAGACGCGTATACAACACACGGCACTCGAGATCAGGATCGAGTGTTGTTTCCTTTTCGAGGAAAGCAGGGGCCTCGGAATACAGGCACGGGCATGTGCGTCGTTTACTTAGCCGACCAAGGTTAAGGTGCCTCAGGCAGACGGAGCCGACCAAGGTTACGGTCCCGCAGGCAGAAGAACCCAGACGCTTCGGAATGCAATCACGGGCACCGCCTGCTGTAAGGTCCCGCAAGCAGACGGAGCCGTAGGCACGATTCATCACCGACACAGTTCCTTCTTGAGGCTTGTTTCACTTTGAAGCCATAAGGCCGATTTCAACGCCAGAAATAACAGGTGGCAGTTCACAACACTGCTCGGAACTTTCACGTTGCGAGGTCTTCGCTTCGGGAACGCCACCTTGCCAGACACTCCGGTGTCGTTGCTGACCGTCTCCAGGACCTCACGGACCGACGTCTCCGGGAAACACGTTCTTGAACTCGCGTACACGTTGGCGATCACCTGCTTGCACTTTTGCGAGATCTTCACACAACGAATCTTCGAAAATATCCGAGCAGGAAAAGAAAGCTTCCCGCGTAAGACGCCATCTTCACGAAACCGGCGAGAGCCGGCGAGGCAGGAGCAGCCGCACAACCCGAAAACCCGAAGCGTGTGCGAGTGCCGCACGAACGAAAACGGAAAAATAATTTGGAGTAGTTTACATTGTCTTTTCCTTTTCATTGAAAAAGAATCAGTGTTCCCTCGAAATCATAACGCTACTATTAGTTACTAGCTACAAAAATGTACACTTTTCGCCTTTTTTATTATTATTTTTTTTTTCTGGGGCCGCACTTTTTTGTGGAGCGAACGTAGTCGCGGTCGGCTGTGCAAACCGGCGCGCTAGCTTTGACTACGTTGCACGCTATGTTTGAAACGGAGTATAGTCAATGGCGCCGACATCGGCGACATCTTTCGACTTTCATAACAACTACTCAGTATCTGCCGGTGGCTGACGGTGGCATGGTCGTTGGTTGTTCGCTGCTCACCGTCGTGCTCCCTGTACTCGAGTTTTCTCGGTGAATTTGCTCTAGGATGACATTACGTAAAACGAAGTGAACTTCACTAAGCACTTGCTCTCGACCCGCGCCCGTGGAACCTCGGTAACATGGTGAGGCTCGTATTTACATGCTGAAACTGTGCCGTGTTTCTGTATGGCATCGAGCCGTCCCAGCAGCTCCTCGTTTGTTCTCTCGTTTCGTAGATTTCAATTCATAGTGGGATCGTTATTCCGGTGAGCTTGTCACTGTTGAGGCACGGAGACGCGTGTCTCAATTACTAAGGCCTTCTGCATGTCTGGGATTGGAAGCATATGTAAAAGAGAGATTCCAATGGTGTTTTTACTGCGCTTGGTAGTACGGTACTTTCGCATACTGTACAGTCGGGAGCAAAAGTTTGCGGGGCACGGCAGCGCATGCCGAAATGCATCGCCGCGCCGTGCAGCGGCGCGCCGCCGGATTAAAAAGCCGCGCTTTGCGCGTGCGTGCCCTTCGCGCTGGCAGTCATGTGGTCATGTCTCTTTCGCTCATTTCTGCCCGACTTACTCCTGATAACCGGAGTCGGCGCCAGGAGCGCAAGTTGCCGTTTCGCTGCCTGTCATGCCTCGCGTCCTCTTCACCTGCCTCAGCAGCCGCGCTGAGTGACAGAGCGCCTGGCTACTCCCCCCTCCCCCCGCGAGTTCCGTGACAAAGCACGGCGGCTGAGGAGGCTGCAGCAGACGCGCAGCATGACAGCCAGCGAAGCGCTAACTCGCGCCCCTAGCGCCGACTCATGTTATCAGGAGCGCGTCGGAAAGAAACGAGCGAAAGAGACATGATTCTGAGCACGAAAGGCGCGCATGCGCAAAGCGCGTCTTCTTAATGCGACGGTGCGCCGTCGGACGGCGCGGCGAGTCATTTCGGCACGCGCTCCCGTGCCCCGCAAACTTTTGCTCCCGACTGGACTGTACGTACTGTCATTGTGTGCTGCTGAGAGCGTGCTGCATGCGCAGTATTATTTTCACACCATTGAACTTGCTTCCCAACGGGCCGCGGATGTTTCTTCTGGGAACATTCGCGTAAGTAAAGATACCTGGCGGGAAAAATGGTTACATTGCTCATCCACTGCACTTCCTCATCTGTTACGTTATCTCCCCTCTATGTGTGTTGAGATTAGCAGTCAGCACCTCTTATTCAGTGTCTACCACACCACCCCACACCAGAGATCAGCTGTGTGAACTACAGTGTGAACCGCACCACTGTGGTTCACAACAGCCATATATGTAGAGAGTTTGGTCATTCATTGGGAAGTATAGGAGACAAATGAGGAGGCGTCATTGGCCGAAAGCGGGCTGGGCGTGTTCCAGGGCGTCTTTGCAAATTCGAATGTGGCCAACCAGAAGCTGGATATAATACCCTGGCGGTGGTCACGAGGAACGAGATTAATAAGTGCGTCGGAGTAACTCTTGGTCACTGAAAATATAGTACACGTGATGTTTCAATCACGGTCATCCAAGATCATGGTGGAAGAGTGCAACTGGTGGAATGATCGACATAATCCGTACGGCAGGCACCGAGGGCCGGAAACCTGTCGTCCGAGCGGTCACACTCTCTCCTAGCAAAACAGAGTTCGAGCGACACCTTTGTTTCTTACATCTTTCTGCATCATCATAATTAAAACATCACATATGCACCCTACTTTCAACCAGGAAGGGTTACTACATTTAAATCTTATGTGCTAATTAATATTAGATACCAGTGATTAAAACTGTTTCTCGCTACTGCCACTAGGGGATTTTTTTTGGCTTCTGGTTGGCCAAGAGAGCATGTCAAGCCCTGTTTCTGCGCCTGGTGCACGCCCTGGCTCTGCCTGCACCTTCCATTGACCAAACTCTCTCTATACACTGCTCTGTTTCACATCATAGTTGACACAGCTGACCCTAGTATGCATTTTGTTGTATCAAACACACACATTAGCTAAAACTACTCCTCGTACACTTTTGGTGGTGGCAATCAGTTCATTGAATGATGTTTTATTGGCAGCTTAGATTAGCCTTTTTCTTTAATAAGCTGCACGAGACTGTCGCCGCAAAGCGACGTGTACGGGTCGGTCGGGTGGGTTAACATTTTTGTAATGAGCCGCTGCAGACTGTCGCTGCGCACACGCACCCCAGTGATACACGCGTGACGAAATGTCCCTACAGCGTGCAATTCGCGTAACAAGTGTTGTTGAAATGTTCATGTCGACGAAACGTATGTCCATGAAAAGTTGTCCACGAAACGAGTTTCGACAAAATTATAGTTCAGTGTACAGGCAATATGGTTAAACAGTAATCTGATTTCTCCATATTTCTGTGACTGCTTGCTCACTGCTGGTTGTTTGCAGTAGAGCATGTACTATGTCAGAGACTGTGCAGTGGCAATGCAATGGCATAGACCAATTCTTTTTTAGGGGGTGGAGTGTTGAGGTGGAGAGGAGGGGTGCAGGTTTGAAGAAGGGCACCATGCATGTATGGTTGACTACAGAGAAGTCGGAACTATTCGGGAGATTGAAAATCAAAATTCAAACTTGGTGGTTTTACGTGCCAAACCAATGACTGGCATCTGGCACGCCCCAGCGGAGGACTGAGGATTAATTTCTACCATCTGGAGATATTCAGACGTGCAGCCTCAATAAGTCTCTGTCAAATTGTGGGCACAGGGAAGGAGGGAGGGGGGTCTTTCTGTTTTCTCCCCCTTATTGTTTACTTCAAATTTTTTAAATGTCTGGGGGGCACCCTCTCTGTTCCGATTCTACTGGTCAACTACATCTCAAAGAGAAGCTTCAGCCTTCTCCCTCCTTTCTGTATGTGCCCCTGGTACAAGGAATACCATGGAAGGTTGCTAATGCTGGTGGCATGCACACCTATGGTGCACAGTGAAGGACGCATGGAGGCAGCACATCTCTAGTGTTTCCTCACTGGTGACTTCGTTGTGCTTTATATTTCATGCAGGCTATGTTGGTGAAGGATGTGCACCTCCCGAAGTCGCCTGTGGCAGAGCTGGTCTTGCCCAAGCACAAGGAGTACCTTGCTAGCTATGGCACCAAGAAGGATGACTATGTGAGACCTTGCATAGCTCTCCAGCCAATATTGACTACTATACATGACTCAATCGAGGCCTCTTGATAAAAGGCAAAGGGAATTCTTAATGTTCAGATTCAACAAATGAAATGTGAACGAATTAAAAATAAAATGAAAATGAGCTTATGTTTGCAAAAGAGCTTATTTAGTGTAATGAAACTTAGTGACATGCTCTGAATTTCTTGGGAGTAATTTTTATCATCTAGGAAACCCAAAATCGAGGAAATGTGGAGAAAGAACAAAAAGAATGGCATCCTATCTCTTGTAATTGACATACATAATTCTTGAAGCTTTTCGGAATTTTGGTTAAATATTGCGACCCTCTGCATCAATATAAATATTTCAAATGTTTCTTTATATAAACAAAATGTTTATGTAAATAAAACATCTAAAATAAAGGAAGCCTGAGGCCAAAATGTACTCTTACTTGGACATCTTTATTGTGCACCCTCATTGACAATTCTTGCAGAAGTGTAGCCAGATTTTATTGTGTTTTGACTCCCAACGCTTTTGTGGGCCCCCGGCAGTAATTGCTACAGTCACACTTCCATTTGCTAATGCAAAAGAATGCCTGTCATGTGCGGATCACATGGTCCCGGGGCGCTAAGTAGGAGTGGAGCAAAAAAACATTCTGGGAGGCAGACTTGATGGCACAGGAAAACTTGCCACACTGAAACAGAGCTTCTTTGCTGTTGTTTTTGCTTGTCACCTTTCAGGTAAAACCCAATATTTCTCGATATTGGGAGACAAACACGTTTCTTTAAAATCTAGTGAAATTTGAATTTTCCCCGAACTTGGAAATTGATTTTTACCATTTTCCAAATTGCTCTACTCCGAAACTAGTTTCTAGAAAACAAAGAGGGAACTAACCTAATTTCTGTTGGCTTCAGTGAAGTTCAGTGATGCGGATCAAGCCCCCAAATGTTGCTTTGATGCCCATTGTGAAGTATCCGTTGTCCTTCTCTTTTTATTTCAACCAGTGAAAGAAGAAAAAAAAAGGTGGAAAGAAAAAGGATGAGAAATTACTCTCAAACTTTGCTGATATTTTAGTCCTGTCGAACTGAACTGATATTGTTGTGATATTGAGACCAGACAGGGCCTAGGATGGGGAAAGAAATGCTGTGCATGGCAGATAATTCTGTTAGTAAGCAACGAGGATTTATAAAAATTTGAAAAGCCCAAATGAGCTCTTGTATCATATTCTAATTTGTGTACTTTATTAATTAATTGCAAAAAAAAAAAAAAAAAAAGCTATGTATTTTAGTTGAATACAATGTTTGTCATCATTGGTCCACCTTTTCCAGAAATATTGGTTCGAGAGTAAATGGATTTGGTACCCCATTAACTCTTCCATCTGGCCGAGCAAAGAGGGAAGATGGCTCCTTTGTATCAACTTCGGGGCCGAAGATAATCCACACTGGTGACAAAAGCAAAGCTTTGGGGGAGCTGTATCTACGTCACAGTGGTTTCAATGGACCGACAGGGTGTAGCTGACGTTACAGGTGTTGGAACTGGTAGGAGAGTCCTCGTTTTTCATGTTAAATATAACATGAAAAACCTAAATTTTTGAATAATTTCTTCAAAACCCGATTTCTCTTCAATTACCAGCTTGGATCAAAGCTCCAATTTTTGGATATGGTTAGGTGCCAGCCATAACACTTCCTGCGTTAAAAGCAAAGTTCCCATCTCACCACTTTGTGAACGCCAGATCTGTACGAGGCTGTCCTGCTGCATCAGCGGTGTTGCTGTTACTTTTAGTACATACTCTCGTACAAACTTTTCATGCCTGCTGCTGCAGGAGTACTGCATCACCGAGCACCTCCGCATGAGTGGCATCTACTGGGGGATGACAGCCATGGACCTGATGGGGGCCCTAGACGCCTTCAACAAGGCCGAGATCATAGACTTTGTGAAGCAGTGTCAGTACTCGTGCGGAGGCTTTGGAGCCAGCGTCCACCACGATCCACACCTCCTGTATACACTCAGCGCTATACAGGTGAGGTGTCATCCAAGCTCGACGCACAGGATGTGGTTGGTTCTTGGGCAGCTTTTAGTAGCAACCTAGGCAAGATGTATGTTCTGTGGCATTTCTACTAATTGAGGTTTCTGGCAGTGGAAGAGTATTTTTCTGGTGACCGCACGAAGAAGTACCTGAAGTCAAATTGTGCCCTCTTATTTCAACTTCTTTTACAGTTACAATGCGTTACTAAAAAGCTTGTGTTATGCTCTTCATTTGGTAAATGGTGTTATCAAGAGGTTTTGTTTTTGTAGGAGGTTGTTAACAGAATTGTCAATTCCCGTCTCGTTAAATCCACTTATTTTCACATCCTGTCACATACTAGCTGTAATCACGGTGCTTTCTAACCACATGCGCTTTTTGCTTTATTTTTTATTACAAGATTCCAACTTGAATTTAACAAGTGTGATTGTCCCCACCCTGAACTGTTTTGTGAAGTAGCAGCATTTTGCCATAATCTTGAAGATATATTATTTATGTAGGGAGAGTTGGATATTTGTGCTTCTATTAGAGTTATTTATTCATTGTGCACAACGCAGAAGGCCATGAGCTCTTTGTGGACATATAAAATAAATATCATCATCATCATCTCCTCCTCCTCCTCCTCCTTCTTCGTGCATGTACGGGTTTGGTAGTTTACATCCATGATTGATGTACCATATCTCATTAATGTATTGTTATTGCCCTTTTCAGATACTGGCAACATTCGATGCATTGGATGCAATTGACATTGACAAAACCGTTAGTTACGTTAAAGAGCTTCAGCAGGATGATGGCAGCTTCTACGGGGATAAATGGGGTAAGCTTTTCAAAGCAGACAAGCATTTGTCAATGTTTTTTTCTTTCTAGAATACTGAAATAGTGTTTAATGTTCTGTATTTCATTTATTCAAAGCAGACAAGCATTTGTCAATGTTTTTCTTTCTAGAATACTGAAATAGTGTTTAATGTTCTGTATTTCATTTATTCAAAGCAGACAAGCATTTGTCAATGTTTTTCTTTCTAGAATACTGAAATAGTGTTTAATGTTCTGTATTTCAATTACACTGTCTTGTTCCTCTTTGCAGGGGAGGTTGACACCCGCTTCTCATTCTGTGCTGTGGCTTGTCTTTCTTTACTGGTGAGAGCACTTCTCGAGAGCTTCCATTGTGATCTGCTGAGGTGCTTCTCTTGAACCTTTACATCATTTATTCACTTTAGCATATTAGCTATGGTCGTGTTTGATAGCAGCAGACAACCTAATAAGGGTGAGTCCTGCTGCACATTCTTAAAGCTACGAGCGAGCTGTTTTTTGTCTCTGTAGTACCACACAGGGCTATTTACTAATTGCATCATAGCTCATCTTGCTCTTGGTACAAGGGATATGTCAGAAATATAGGGTGTTCGAAATAGCCAGGCTCAACCTTAAATGGGCCGTAAAAATTGGCACTTGCGCATAGCAATCTAAACTTTTCGTCAAAGGTGTATTTCACAGGGCATTTTTATCTTGTAAAGTTACAAAGCGTAGCTCTCTTTTTGTAAAAAATAGGGCCAAAAAACTTGCCAGGGTCAACAGCGGACGGCAACGCAGATGATCGAGTTGAGTGGGGGGCCTTGTTTGGGTGCACGTATTGATAGACGGCGTCGGGAGCAGTGTCAAAAAGTGTAGCTGACCAGCAAAAGAAAGCAGACGACACACAGACGAAATACGTCGGCAGCAAGAGCACCATCGTTATGCAACCGCCTTTTTGTACATTCTTTTTACTTCAAGTTTTGCTTTTACTGTTTGCATTTATTTTTGAAACCAAAGGGAACATTACGAAATTAGTATGTTCATTTTAATAGACCACAATCGTCGCGAGCAGTCTCGACAAGGTGGAGGCGCCACCTACCAATACGTGCGCCAAACGTGCCTCGCTACTTGACTTGGTCGTCTGCGTTGCCGTCCACCTTTGACTCTGGCAAGATTTCTGGACCTATATTTTTACAGAAAGGAAGCGAAGCTTTGTAATTTTAGAAGATAAAACTGACCCGTGCAATACACCTTTGACGAAAAGTTTGGAGTGCTACGTGCAGGTGCTGATTTTTACGGCCCATTTTAGATCAAGCCTGGTTATTTCGAACATCCTATATATTTGGACTTGAGTTCATGACCAATCATTGTGTGACAAATATCACCAAACCCTAACAATGTTCAGAGTACATTACAGCTTAGACTTTTTCTATTGAGGTGAACGACTGCAATGAATGTTGGAAACATGAATCAGTGGAGGAACACATCATCACCGCTTCTCCTGGTGTGCAAGTTGAGTAGGTTTTAGTATTATTCAATTTTCTTCGGTGCTTTATGCAACAGCTAGCGTGCGACTAGGACTAACGCACACCTCTTTTATTGTAAGAGTTGAGGATTCGTCTCTACCAATATAGACTTAGTTATAAAATTGTTTCATGGTCCCCCTCAACACGTGCAAGGTGGCATTGCTGGAGACACTTACAGGGAAGATGGGGCACTTCTGCATTTGAGAAAAAACACTTGTATTGCATTTATTTGGCCTTTAGAATAACAGATATCACAATTATGTTTCAATGCGACGCGCCGAAGAGCCATAAGAGCACTTTCAAAATAGGGCTGAATCCCCGCCTCCCTAGCCTTGGGCCGCCAAAAGATTCGTACACGACGTCACATACAGCGACTGTCTTTCGCGTTTTCTCGCGTTTAACACTACTTACGCAGCAAATGGTTTGGGTATTCGGGTTCACTTGGTGAAAATACATCAGAATTAACTTCTAATTTTTTTCAAGAACCTCCATAGCTTCCCTTTAATTTTGAATTGTTGCTTTTCGACCTGCAATTCAATGCTTTTGTTGTTTTTTTAGTTGCAATGTTTTAATGTAACAATGCAACATTAAAAGAACACTTTTGGAATGACGAAAATAATCCCTGGAGAAGGGGAACAAGAGGGACAAAGGACAAACACAAATCTCTAAACACAGCTAGGTTACTGGTGTGCGACCGAAAAAATCCGCGTGGTCCGGGTATCGAACCCAGGACCTCTCCATTTCCAGTGGTGCGCTCTACCAACTGAGCCAACCAGGGGTTAGACGTCGGTAGAGCAAACGGGTTTTATCAGCCGCTTGGAATTTTCACTTAAAGTGTATGCATATGTTATTGACATTTAGTGTATGAAGCCCTGGGTCCTTATAATAATTGCCAAGCCTGGTTCGGTTACTTGTTCTTCCTCCTTAGTCCCTTGCATTTCCTTCAGCCAGAAAGATTGATGTCCTGGCTGCAATAGTTCTTGTCAACGACGTGTCTGTCTTGTCCTGACAACAGGTGTTGGAACTTCTAAGTATTTCAGCACAATAAATTATTCAGGTTGTAGTCACGAAGTTAAGCTGAATAAAGGGAAACTATGGGTTCTGTAGCTTTTACAAATTTCTTGCCATTGGTTCTTCTATTGCCTATAAAAATTAAAAAGTTCACTCTGGTGTCAAGGCAGAAGCAAGCTGGTCGTCATCCTACCTGAAGGAACCTGATACATGGCTGTGAATTCAGAGGCTCTTATTATCTTAAATTTTAGTATATGTAGCTTTCTGAATTTAGTGTGATTCTGGAATAGCCCCAAAAGGGCAGTGCATCAATTTTTGTACTTTCAATTAATACCTAGAACAGCATTCACCCCTCAACTTGCACCCAGAACAAGCGGCCACGTGATCTGATTCATTCATTCATTTATTATTCCTTGAGGGCCCGTTAGGGCATTATACAAGGGGGGTCAATAACACACTAATAATCATTGTTTAAACTAAATTAACACTCACAGAGAGGAAGTCAGCAATACAGATGAATCAAAGAACAACAAACTACCAGTAGTTATCAACATTACACAATATTATTAATATTTTAATGGTATGCACTGTGAACACAAAAAGGAAGAAAAAAAAAATTAGCAGATAGACATGTTTGTAAGTTCCAGGTAATTGATCAGTTCTTCGGCAAATCTATCAGGGTTAGTCTCGGTTACAGCGCTATCGGGCAATTTATTCCAGTCCTTGATTGTCATGGGCAGATAGGAATTACAAAAATGATACAGTTGAACTAAAAATCGGGCGAACTTTGCGGGAGTTATCATGGCGGAGAGATATGCTGTGGGGTGGAAGGAAAAGGGATGCTCTAATAGAGGCATTGTTATAGTATAATTTATGAAACAGGGTTAGTCGAAAAAGAACGCGCTTAAATGAGAGTGCGTGAAGGTTAGCTTTGCTTCTTAGGCCTGTTACGCTAGTGAAACGAGAGTAGTCTGAGAAAATGAACCTTAAAGCTCGGTTTTGAATTGCCTCTAATTTCATAACTAGGTAATGCTGCCATGGGGACCATACAGAAGACGCATACTCTAGACGAGATCTAACAAATGTTATGTATGATAATTGTTTAATTTCAGGTGAGGCCAGTTTGAGGTTGCGCCGAAGATATCCTAATGATGAATTAGCCTTAGATAAAATAAAATTAATGTGAGTTGCCCAAGATAGACCACAGGTTAAATGAACGCCGAGGTATTTATGAGATGTACAGGGGTCAATTATTGTGTCGTTGAGTTGATATGAAAAGGGTGATGGGGACTGTGATCTGGTGAAAGACACTAGTTTCGTTTTATTTACATTAACTGTCATTTGCCATGTTTGACACCATTCTTCTATTATTAGTAAGTCAGCCTGTAAGAGTAGGTGATCATTATTATTACTTATCATTCTGTATAGAGCACAATCGTCAGCAAAGAGGCGAATTTCAGATGTTAGGTTAGCAGGAAGGTCGCTAACGTATATTAAAAACAGCAAGGGGCCGAGAACAATACCTTGGGGTACGCCGGATGTTGCACGAGAAAGAGGTGAACGGGACTTGTTTACAACAGTATATTGTGTACGATCGGATAGGAAATTTTTGATCCAAGTGATTACTGAATTATGAATACGCAGTTGGGTTAGTTTTTGTAGCAGACGTTGGTGGGGAACTTTATCGAACGCTTCAGAAAAGTCTATGAAAATGACATCGGTCTGTAATCTGTTGTCAAGGTTACTGTGAAGCTCATGAATGAAATGTATTAGCTGGGTATCACACGAATATGTCTTACGAAAACCATGCTGATTTTTAAAAAGCAGATTGTAATTTTCCAGATATTTCATGGTAGAAGAGAAAATGACGTGCTCTAGTAATTTACATGAGATGCTGGTGAGAGATATCGGGCGATAGTTCGATACAACATTACGATCCCCACTTTTAAAAATAGGGATGACTCTACCAATTTTCCAACCAGACGTAAGCTTGCCGACATCAAGTGACTGTTGAAAAATAAGGGTTAAAATTTGGGATGAGATATGTTTTGTGTTTTTCAGCAATTTAGAATTTATTTGGTCATCACCGGAGCTGGCAGAATTTTTGAGATTTTCTATCGCTTTCACTATACCCTAATATGTTATTTCGATTGAAGGCATAGCAGAATGAGAAAGGTGATTTAGGAGAGGAATATTGTCATTGTTTTCTAGTGTAAATACTGAGCTAAAGTAGGTATTTATTAGTGAGGCGCTTTCGCTATCAGACGCGGGAGTTCCATTCATATTAGTCAGGTGGATGGATTTATGCTCTTTAGGATGAATGATCTCCCAGAACTTATTAGGCTTATTCTTCAAAATGTTAAGAAGGTCGAAGTTAAAAAATTTGTTCTTTGCACTTTTCACTTCTCTTTTATATTCCTTAGCAGACGCGTTGTAATTATCCCATGCAATAGTATTGTCCTTCTGATGCCGTTTTTGTGCCGTCAGTGTTCATGACTGTCGTGCACCGGAGTTGGCAAAGCACAGAGCACGTGCTGCGGTCAAGACATTGTGAGAGCATGGCAATTCTTGTCATTGCAACGTTCGGACACAAACCACTAAAATATTTCTCAAGGCATCGATTGTCAGGAGCCTAAGTTGAGTGCTCATGGAATGCTCGTGTTCGATCCATGAGCCACGTTCAACTATTGTCGCCAAAAGGGTAAACCCCACAACTATGTCAGCATTGCTATCCCTGTGACTGCACCATCAAACTTTATAATGGAGAAAATGAAAGAAATAGTCCGCTTTTATCCTTCAGTGGCGTTGCTTGCGAGCATAATTAGGTCACATTAATGCCAGTATGCTTGTGTAAAGCAAGAACATTCAGTCCCCATATTGTTGCACCTCCCTTTTGCATTTTTGGGGTCATTAATACCGCAACTGTCTTAATGGCATTTAGGCTTTGCTGACTCGGTGGCTCCGAGGCAAAGTGCCGGCCTATGGATCCCCAGGTGGCAAGGTCATATCTCGGCCGAGGTGCCCGCAATCTGTCGGAGGCTTATTGCAGAGAAGGCGCTGTGTAACCAAGTTTCGGTTGCATGTCACAAGATCCCCATGTGGTCGAAATTAAAATTCAATCCTCCGCTGGGGCGTGCCAGATGCTCGTCATTAATTTGGCACGTGTAAAATGCCCAAATTTGACTTTTTGACTTTACTGCCTCTACAGAACAAGCTGCATGCCATCAATGTGGAGAAGGCAGTCGATTTCGTGCTTTCCTGCATGAACTTTGATGGCGGTTTTGGCTGCAAGCCAGGCTCCGAGACTCACTCGGGACAGGTAAGCCATCCAGGCAAACGCTGGCATCGGCATGGAGTTGGATGACTTCAGTCTGTGTACCGAAATGAATTCTGTGTTGTTACTCATCATTCAGGATATAATCGTACAATGCAAGTGATAGATATAGTTGATGGCCCCTCAAGAAAGGGACATCTGGACATAGAATTGTGATTTCTCTTCAAAGCTTATTTTAAAGCGGTAGCTTTATAGTCCCAACACCGCTCAAGGTCACATTATCAAGGTCACTTAAAATCAATGCCTGTGGCTGAAGCGACGCTGGCTGAAGCCTAAGCTCCGGTTGCGTAAGCTCTTAAGTGCCGGTTGCGTAACGCCGTTTGCTGACATGACGCTACTTGACGTCTTGGACGTCATCCTCGACGGTGTTTTCGAGGTCGTCCTTTACGCTTTCCTCGACATCGTCCTAGATGTCGTTTTTGATGTCGTCTTAGAGGTCGTCCTAGACGTCATCCTTGACGTCGTCCTCTAAGACGTCGTCCTATAGGTTGTCCTCGACGTCGCCCTCGACGCCAACCTTGAGATGGTCCTAGGCGTCTTTCTAGATGCCATGCTTGTTGTCGTTCTCGATATCTTCCTAGATGTCGCCCTTGACACTGTCCTCAACATCATCCTAGACGTCCTTAAGGGCATCCTAGACGTCGTCCTAGCCGCCATCCTTGATGTCCTCAATGTGTGTACGGCATATTACAACCCTTTCATCACCGTACCATTTCCTTTTCTAGTTGTTTTCACTAGCAATGTTCCTGTAAAGCTACCGCATTTCATCGTGTTTGGCAAAGTGGCCAAACAGGCAGCCATTTTTGTTAATGCCCGTGGTAGAATACTAAGGACTGACCAAGCAAACTTTGGTTCCTTATTGGGCACTGATTCTTGAATGAATTTGAGGAATGAGATTGTGTATTTTGGACACTGCTGTTTCTCTTCCCCCAATCAGATCTACTGTTGCCTTGGGACTCTTTCCATATTGGGCAGACTTCACCACATCAATGCAGACCTCCTGGGCTGGTGGCTGTGTGAGAGACAGTTACCTTCCGGTGGGCTCAATGGTAATCCATTTTGTTCATTCATTCTTGTAACATTTTGTAGGTAACTTTACAAAGACAAGAGGCCTTGAGAGCAGACCTCTGTACTCTGTTTCAGCATAATTTGGCAAAGAGCAAATGCCATGGCCCCCTGAAGTCAATTGCAACATAGAAATGAAAGATCTATTGAGCCTTGCGAAGTGATTTCATGAGTGTTTATTTTTTCTTATCTAGGTCGTCCAGAAAAGCTTCCTGATGTCTGCTATTCCTGGTGGGTCTTGGCATCCCTCAAGATTATCGGGAGGTTGCATTGGATAGACAAGGTAGGGCTAAAAGACAGTGCAATATAGATGCAACATTCAGTGCTTCTTGAGAGCTGATGCATATATTTGCCTCTCAGTTGCTGAAAATGGTACTAACAAAATATCACGTGGCACTTGCATTGGACAGGTGTCTTGACAGCCTGCAACAAGTTTGATGGCAAGCATGAGTGAATGGTTGAAAAGGATATATAGAACAAAGAAGATAAAAATTTTGTGCTGACCGAACAAAAAGTTTTATCGCATCTACACTGCAACAGCCCCTTTTGTTATGTGCTTATCATTCGTCAATCCTTTTCAGTCTGTGGTAAAGAAAAATAGTATAGTATGACAATGTAATCTGAACTGTTGCATAGTTTTTGAACTTCATTGAGAAGCAATTGTTCGAAATTATGTGTCTTGTTGCTTTTACTGTTGCTGGGAAACTAGCATGATACGTCAACAGCCAGAGAAGACATTTCGTAAACAATATTTTCAGGAAAAGTTGGAGACGTTTATCCTTGCATCTCAAGATGAAGAAACGGGGGGTTTCGGTGACCGACCAGGTGACATGGTATGTTTACAAGATGAATCTTGTCACTGGCAGTTCATAGGCCACTTGCAGAGCTTAGCACCGTTCGTTGCATGCCTTAATAATGTCTAGCACATCAAGATTGATCACTGCCAAGCACAAACCACTGTATTTAACTACAAAATGCTGTGTTAATATTTTATGTTTGCTATTCTTCCATTGACTTCTAAGAGGAGGTAGTGTCACCTAAAGCAGTGGAGGGTGCAGATCCCTGTGACCTTATTCTCCCAGTTTGGGATTTGAATTAAAAAATTATGAGCCATTCCACTCTGTGAAGGTGCATGACCAGCGAAACTGTGTAGCACACGACACAGACCCGCCCCGAGGATCTGGAGGAAACTAGACACGCGCGACGAGATTGCTACCCTAGGAGGGCGGAAGGAAAGGAAACTAGGCATGCAAGCACTTGGAACGACGACAAAGAGAGGGTGGTGTGGGCGTAGACATGGCAGATGCGGGTCGCACAGCGACGAATCTTTGAAAAACCTTTATTATCTACCTGAGAGTCTACTGATCTTGAAAATGGTGCCTATTGATAACTAATCTACTGAGTGTCCTATTGCAAAATTACCTAAGCATCAAGGAGAATGCAGAAAAGGGTGTTCCATGCGCCACACGCCGAATGTTCCAGAAGCCCACGCGTGTACAAAAGGGGCTCCGCGTGGCAAACCGGAGTCGGTCTCGCCCCAGCGTTCAACTCTGCTCTTACGTCGACTTTGACGCCCGCGAGGCTGTGCTGTTATCTTCTGTTTCCTTTTTATTTTTAAGCACAAGATCACCCCATTGAATGTTTCAGTTTCCCCAGTTATTCTTTGTTTCACCTTGTCATTCGTGACAATACTCTGCGAATTGCAAACCTTCTTTAGGGATTTTTCAGCAGTTTATTTGCCAAAGGAAGCACAAAATTGCAGTCTGTGGCGAACCAGCAGTTTTTGTGTCGGCGACAGTCTGCCACTCTGCACGGAAAGCAAATGGGATCATTTCTAGGCCTAATCACTTGCGCAATGTCACTGTCCAAAAGCGGACTACGGACCATGGCACGTTTGTTGACATCAATATATTTGATGAATAAAACATCTCGTAGGGCTGGGTAATGCTTCAAACCAAGGTTTGTTGGTTGTATCTGCCTTGCAGCCACGCTTACTGTCGTAATTACTTCCGTGGAAACGACAGCATGCATTGATGTGCTTGCTCGAAGTCAGACTGGCTTGACTTGGCTTGGCCGCCTGGCAACTTAGTCGCGTACCGCGCTCGTTCCCTTTTCCCTATCCACGCACACGGTAGATAAAAGAGAGTAAGTGTGCTCGGGTACGATTTAAGCTTTGTCAGAATTATTGCGAGGCTTTTTTATGCTCACAAAGTTGCCAGACTTCTCGAATACGTAAAAAGATAAAAAAATTAACTGGTCCCAGGGGTTAAACTTTGGATTACTGAGCATTTTCTCCCATACACTCGTATGTAATTGCAACACCGTGACCCTGCTTTTAACTAGCCAAAAATTTGAATAAAGCGAGTTTGGATTACCAAGAGTCGACTGTATGAGTGAATGATGCACTGAAATGAATACATAACTTCCGTGCACTCGACCAAAAGAATACAAAACAGAACAAATTGAACATAAAGTAAGATGATGCAATGGTTGCTCGAATAATAACCAAAAAGAATATGAGACAGAACATATGCTTAAATATTCATAATTCATCATTTAAAGGAGCTGTGCAACAGTTTCAGTGCTTAGCTTAAATAAGTTGGCAGTTGGTGTCTCGACCTTTCTGAAGTAAAGAACAAAAAATCGCTTTTGCCTGCATGTCCTAGTTTTTATTTTAAGAATGGAAAAAGATTGAGGTTTTCGGCACCTCTCAACTCCTCCGCCATCTTCCGAATCACGTGTGCTGTGACGTCAATGTGGGTGGCGCGGGGTTCCAGTGAAGCTCTCTCTCTAGAGCCATCAGTGAGCAGCGAGAACTCGTCCGCTCGCGACCGCGTGACCACGTGCTGGCGGGCGCAGCAAACACAATATAGTGAAAGGAGGAAAGTCTCACCCGGGTCCGGCCGTTGGCGCTGTCCCCCTCCCCCTCCGGCTTCTGGCGGCTGTTCACGGTAGCAGATAGAGCTGACGGTTTTGTGGACCTAGGATATATGGCACCACTAAAACTCCGTATAATAAAAGTTTTGTCGATGATACCAGGGTTTTGACGCATTTATGTTTATGTTGGAACGACAAGATTTATAGAAAAGTTACCTTTTATCGAGCAAGTATTCGCACAACTTGCTTTCTTTCTACATGACCCCCATTGACGTCATGCCGCGTGTTTCTCGCGGCCGCCGCTCGTGGCTGCAGGTAGGGAAATATTCTAATTTTTGCCCTGCGATTACGCCACAGAATTGCAACATTTTGAAGGAAGGAGGTGTGTTTTCTGCCATTTGTGACAGGGTGAACAATGTCAAAAGTAGAAGATGCCGATTATTTCAACGTTAAAATCGTTGCATAGCTTCTTTAAGTTTTAAAATATATGACCTTTTGTTTTTAAATTTCTGCAAAGAATTCTCCACAGGAACTATTAAAATAATCGCATGTCTGAGATCATAAAACGAGAAATCTTTATCTGCAATGCAATGTGTATAGATCATTCATTTTGAACATGATTGAGCCGGCAAACAATTTGATTGGTTTGGAAAGTGTTTGGGGACAGCTGGGGAGATGTTGCTTGGCTAGCTTGGGAAAGCTCTTTGTTGATTCCTCCTATAGGTGGACCCTTTCCACACGGTTTTTGGTCTGGCCGGGCTCTCTCTCCTGGGCGACCAGAGGCTGAAGCCAGTGAACCCCGTGTTCTGCATGGCAGAAGAAGTAATTTCCAGGCTGGATGTGCAGCCCCAATTGCTGTTCATGTGAGGAGCTGATGGGAGTGAGAAATAGTGTAATTCTATTCTGAATGTCTGCTGCATTCGAGCTGTTGCCCCATACTACATGCTATCCAATTGCTGTGTCAGCCTTGTTCCGGGACCTAGCACTTGGTTTTGCCAGAGCGCCATCCCACTTTAAAGATGATTGCATATAGTTTGGGATGAATTTCTTGCATATATAAGCAGGTGATATGAGAGAATCACCAATCTTGATGTTTCCTAGTTGAGTGTATTATGGAATGAAACAAGTAAAATAAATGCTATTGAATCATAAAATCATTGGAGATGTACTATGTGCAAGAATTCCTGGGCACGTCAGGCCGTTTAAAAGCGTTTTAGAAACCTAATTTTTTTCTGCCTTCTTGAGGTGTTCACGATATGAGGGCTGTTTTTTTTAACCTCCGATGAACTAGGTAAAAAAACAAGAGTGATGAGAAACGTTTTGACATACACCAAATTTAGATATACATACTTTCTTCCCCACAATCATCTCTCAGATTCAGAACTGTATCATGATGCAGCACAAGCTTAGGGATGCCCCCTTCAAACAAGGTTTTTCCCCGTGTTCTCACGGGTCCTTAGTTATTCCATAACACTTTTAACAAAACCGTCAGGCGCAACAGACCTTTTTCATGACCCCCATCATCACGGATGTCTGTTTGTCCTCCCCGAAATGGAAGACAGTTTCCTCCAAACACAACGTATGTCTGTGGGAACTGATGGTCTTGCTGAATACGTGGTGGAATGACTGAGAATCCAGGAAGTAACCTTCTTTGAACAAGGCAACCAAAAGCTTGTGCCACGTCATGATGAGTGCCTATATCTGTGTGATACTCATGTGAAGAAGTTGCTCGATTATGTATCTAAGTTGTGTGTATATTAAAGCATTTTCCTAAATGCATGCCATAGAATACCGCGCATCCACCCATTCCACATTAAAGGGGCCCCGCAAGGACTTTTTTTACTGGCTTTTAATTTGCACCGAACCTGAGCGCACTGAACGTAGTAACTTAAGGAAACTTTTCTTTTCTCGAATTTCGCTTTATTTTAAAAGTTATAGGCAAATTAAAATACAAAAACAAACAAAAAATAACCTCCCTCATGACGTCCTTTGTTGCTTGGATGACCGTGAACTAGGGGAGGGGTAGTGAGCTCAGCGAGTGTTCACGGCTGCCGCAATCCGTGTGGACGGCTCGAGAGGGCGCCACTAAAGCATATCCTGGATAGGCTGTATGAAGCAGGCAGCCAGGGCGGCTCGCATTGCATTTGCGGCGTAATTAAACACTAATTCGGCATGAGACTTCATTAGCTACAAAGGACAGCAAACACGGGGTAAAGATCAGTTCAGAATGGGAACCACTTCGCACTGCCATTCTGCCAAACCTGCTCACCGAAGCAGCTGAAAGCCTTCGGAACGCTCGGAACCGGTCGGATCCTTGACCGCAGCGCTGCCGCGTACATCCGGGGCCCTTTTACGCTCGCCGCCCGTTGTAGACTGATCCCACTACCCCTTTCTAGTATGCACCGCCTTTTCCACCGCTTGGTGGCGGGTATGTCGATGGGTCATTTCTTGTTTCCGTACTTTATAAACTGCTCTTGTTTCTTTTTTGATCTGAAATACTGAAGAAAAACTACTTTCATAAATAATTGAAATGGTTTGCGCTCCTTTTATTTGGAATTTCGACTAAAAAAAAGCTTTTAGCGGCTCTGACCAGTAGTAAGGCCAGGACAAAAAATGTCACATTTTGCGTGCCTTCGGCACCGCGGGTCGCCCTTGTTGGTGGAGGAGGTTTCTGCGTTGTCCGGTTAAAATATGACGCACTAATATTTAGTTACTCTCTCCGTGCCCGCTGGCTTGCCCGAACCCCAAGAGATGTGGAGACCACAAAAAAGGTAGACGCTTAAATAGGGTTGCAGGGCCCCTTTAAGCACCCATTCCCAAATTCCTATGATCTGAGAAAATATGCAGAGTAGATTGATATGTAAAATGATGACCGGACAAGTGCCACCTTCCATTTTTTTGTGATTATCTCTAAATTTTGAGTGGGCGCTTGTCCGGTATTTTACGGTAGTACATTTTTCTTTGTTTCGCAGATTTTTTTTCCCTGGGGGAGGGGGGGGGGCGGTTGCAGAGATAAAGGCGTGGTGCTTGACAGGACCTCTGACAGTCTGACAGGCGATGACAAATACAATATGAATAAATGTTGGAGTCAACTAAAGCAACACGAAACAAACTGAACAAACAAAATAATTTGCAAAGCTGTGCAAACGTAGGCCGAAATTACAATTGCACAAATGTCTTAAAAAAAAAAAAAGACATTGAAAACATTAGAAATGTAACCATTTCGTCGTTTACCCTGAGACTGGGTTTTTTTTTGAAGAGCAGAAGTAACAGAAAAAACAGACGGGTCTCTTTTCTGTTACTTCTGCTCTTCAAAAAAAAAACCCCAGTCTCAGGGTAAACGACGAAATGGTTGACTTCCACCAGCTAGCCTGTACTTTGACTCTATTCTTATTAAAAATGTCTTTGTTGCACAATAGGGAGTTCAAGAATAGCGCACACTAAAGCTTTGCGTATGCGAATAGCGTCGTCGCCACTGCGCATGTGCCGAATGCTAACCATGTTTTGTGCTTTGCATGCACTATTGTAGCGTGCACTATTTTTTGGAAATTGTGTGCGTACGCAAAGAGTCTTTGCGCTCCTTTAAGCAGGATTCGTAATGAGAAGTCGGCTTAAGCCAAGACAAGCACAGTTAAAAAATGGCGGCTCCCAGGACCATGGCTGCGGCCGCTTTGGCGCTGTCCTCGCGACTGCAATTTTCAATATGGGATGACATTGCACTTAGTTTGGAAAACCCAGTAAGGTGGGCAAGGATCACCGGCAGCTTGATGCTTGCGGCGCACGAACATTTCTCGGCGAAGGTACGATGTGCGAAGGTCAGTGCATGAGACCTCTCTTGCTGAGGCGATGCAAGCGGACACGACCGGTCAATCGTTCGCGTCACGTTATAATGTTTAATCAAATCTAAAATGTTACTCTGGACAAATAAAACTTTTCTCGGGTTACAGCATTTCGTGTGAGAAATAAAAATTGTGACTGTATCTTGGTGGCGTTGCAAGCACGAGATGCTTGGGCTTTTGTATTGCGGCGGAGAATTGCTATCCTAAAACGTTTGCGTAGCGTGCGCTAAGGCAAGCGCTAATATAATAAACCTGCAACATAAAAATCTGCCACAACCGTGTGACATATTGGAAAACGATCTAAAAAAAAAATAATCTCTCGTACTTGAGCATCACAAAATGGGGAATGAAGATACACAAAGTTCAGACTGCCTATAAATAAATAACAAGAAAAAAAAAAGAAACTATTTTTTGTCCCACAATGTGCAAAGACACGAAAGAGATAGCTGTAGCATAGTTGTGTAAAGCGCGGATGGAATGGTGCTGTCATGTACCTGCAGATGAAGGTGTGACGTGGTTAATTCTCATAGCCGTCGTGGATGTCACTCACGGCTGCCACCAGTGATCTGTGAAGTTAGGGGGTAAGCGTGGTGGAAGGCTCTAAAGCCATCCAACATTACACATAGCAGCTGGATACTGCCAAAGTGGGATTTTGCATAACGCAAGTAATGTTTGAAAAGAAATCTTCCTAGCAGACAACACAATGATTCTCCCTTTTATACCAGGGCTTCCCATCCCCGTGCTGCGCGGCCGATGGAAAAACCTGACTTCCCTTGCCTCACTTCAATAGCGGAGAGTAGGGTTTTGGGTTTTAGTTGAGCTAGTTGGTACATACCAGGGATGGGCAAAATACATGCAAATATGTATTGAAATACAAATACAAAATACTTCGTCAAAAATGTATTTAATTACAAATCTAATTACATTTCTGAAAAAGCATTTAAGTACAAGATACAAATACAACCGAGTGTATTTGGTCTCCTGCAAGTACTTTTCCAAATACATTCCTCAAAATTTGCGTCAGCGACTTCAGGGAACCTGCAACGGGTTTCTGGGTATCTCATTTTAATTTTGCATCGCACACTCGGGAGTTAGTGTGCGAGGCTCTGGTAACGTAATAGAAATATAATCACAAAAAAGTGTAATCAGCTTGGACGTAATAGGTGAAAAAAGTACAGAGCTTCAAGCAGCCTTTTTTTTTTTGTCGATTACATTTTGGTACAGACCAACAAAGAACCGAGACGACCAAGACGTGCAGCACTAGCTAGAGAATTTTCTATTGTTGCAACTCGCACCAGTTAGGAAAATCTGGACGACCCACGAATTTAGAATGTTCCAGGCAAAAATATGGATGGAAATCAGGCTGGAAAGCATCACAAGTTGTCACAGGCACTTATTGAGCCAGTCTGCTTGTAAACGTCGATTTCGTCCCTATTCTTGCCCTGGACTAGCACCGCAATCACAAAGTCACTAAACGCTTGTGCTTGATTGAGAGACATTGCATTCGGTGCAGAACGTTGTTTTCATCCTGCTCTGGACAGTGCCTTTAAAATAAAGCCGGAGGAGAAAAAGAAAAAAAGCCCCATGGCCGAATGAAGGGTGGAGACTATATCTTACCAGGGCCGTACCCAGAAAAAAATTTCGGGGGAAGGGGGGGGGGGTTTTCGGGGACAACGGCGGCCATTTTGAAAATGTCCATTGTCTTATTTTCGCCTATGAATCATCTGCATCGGTGGCATATAATGGAGAGCTATAGCAAACCGGAGAACCGGTCCCGGTTTGGTACCCGGTAGCCGACCGGCGCCACTGCGCGTGCGCAGAGGTGGAGATTAAAATTGGCTGGCTGCAAGTGCACCGACCAGGGCCGTACCCAGAAAAAAATTTCGGGGGGGGGGGGGGGGGGGGGGGGGGGTCAGAACCCCCTATCCCCCCCCCCTGGTTACGGCCCTGTATCTTACAACCACATGCATAAAAACAAGAATTATTGTGACAATAAATTTAAGGGATGTATTTTCGCCCACAAAATTGTATTTAATTACAATTTTATTTGAAGTACCCACGTTTTAGTATTTAAATACACGCGTCAAATACATTACCCAATTTGTAATTAAATACAAATGCAAAATACACAAAGTATTTGAAATACTGCCCATCCCTGGTACACACTGTTGGCAATCGGGTTAGCTGAACACGGAAAAACGAGGACACAAAGGAAAGGACTGGACAAACACACTGCTGACTAACAAATGACTTTTACTTTATCCTCTTCCCAGCCTAGGCCCTTTCTTCTTCATCCTACAGCACATTAAACATGT